CCAATGGAAAACACTGTTTTCCTACGGATTTTCTTGTGCTTCCTTAGGATCTGTCTGGTTTTTGCTCTGGAAAACACGATATTCCTGCGGATTCCGTGGTATTTCCCTCAGTTTTCCTTGATTTTTCGTAGGAAAAACCTATTTCCTATTACCTATGGCGTTCGTGTCATTTCTTCAGGTTTTCAGAAGGACAACATATGGTTGTTCCTCGGGAAAATCAAATTTTCCTTCCAATTTCACATTTAGGACGGATTTCCTGTTGTAGCTGTTGCTGGTATTCCGCTTCATCATCTATCTTAAACACGCCCCTCATTTGGCGATTCTGGTTCAGCATGTATCTACAAGGGCGGAGACGCCCTCATTTGCTGGGGTTCAAAAAAGGCATATGCTTCAAAGCAACCCTGCACGGCTTAAAACAGCGGGGGGGTTGGGGGGGGCGCAGCCCCCCCCATTTGCAGAGACAACGTTCACATGATGGGCTTCGAAAACACTCTTTGAATCAAGCTTGCACGTCTCGAAAAGCGCGGCGCCGGGTGTTTTGTTCTTCCGTGCCTGTTCGTGTCTCTTCTTCCGTTAGCATTCTAACCTAATATATATATATATATATATATAACATAGTAAACCAGAAGAACGACATAAGATGGTTCGACAACACAAAAATTGTGTGACATTTTCTGACATAACAGAACCTTGCTTCTTATAGCATATAATAGCATACTAAAAATACAACAATACAATATAACAGAAGATGACATAGAACAAAACAACATCTTAGTTTATAGTGTAGTACATTGTAGCATAGTACAATACAGTGTGTATATTTATGTAGTATATTTTATAACATTAGGTTACATTATGTTATATTATGTTACGGTACATTACGATATTATGGTAAATTCGATTGGACTATGTAGTATCCTGTTGCTTGTATCTTTGTTTCTGTGATTCTTTCATATTCTTTCTCTTTCGTCTTTTCCAACTTTGCTTTTTTAGTATGGACTTCTTTCTGTCTTTCGCTCGTTCATTTATTTTCTTTCTTTCTGTTGTTCTTTCTTTGTTCATCTCATACTCCATTCCTTTCTTTCTTGCTTTCTTTCTGGTTTGATTTATTTCGTTCTTTCTTTGGTTCGTTCTTTCTTTCGTTCTTGCGTTCGTTCTTTCTTTCGTTTTCGCTTTCGTTCTTTCGTTCTCTCTCTCGTTCTATCTTTCTTTCTTTCTGTTGTCCTTTCTTTCGTCCTCTTTAGATACAGCAATTTTCCTACGTTTTCCTTGATTTTTCGTAGGCAAAACCCTATTTTCCTATTACCTATGGCGTTCGTGTCATTTCTTCAGGTTTTCAGAAGGACAACATATGGTTGTTCCTCGGGAAAATCAAATTTTTCCTTCCAATTTCACATTTAGGACGGATTTCCTGTTGTAGCTGTTGCTGGTATTCCGCTTCATCATCTATCTTAAACACGCCCCTCATTTGGCGATTCTGGTTCAGCATGTATCTACAAGGGCGGAGACGCCCTCATTTGCTGGGGTTCAAAAAAAGGCAAAGGCTTCAAAGCAACCCTGCACGGCTTAAAACAGCGGGGGGGTTGGGGGGGGCGCAGCCCCCCCCATTTGCAGAGACAACGTTCACATGATGGGTTTCGAAAACACTCTTTGAATCAAGCTTGCACGTCTCGAAAAGCGCGGCGGCGGGTGTTTTGTTCTTCCGCGCCTGTTCGTGTCTCTTCTTCCGTTAGCATTCTAACCTAATATATATAACATAGTAAACCAGAAGAACGACATAAGATGGTTCGACAACACAAAAAATGGTGTGACATTTTCTGACATAACAGAACCTTGCTTCTTATAGCATATAACAGCATACTAAAAATACAACAATGCAATATAACAGAAGATGACATAGAACAAAACAACATCTTAGTTTATAGTGTAGTACATTGTAACATAGTACAATACAGTGTGTATATTTACAACATAATATGTAGTATATTTTATAACATTAGGTTACATTATGTTCTATTATGTTACGGTACATTACGATATTATGGTAAATTCGATTGGACTATGTAGTATCCTGTTGCTTGTATCTTTGTTTCTGTGATTCTTTCATATTCTTTCTCTTTCGTCTTTTCCAACTTTGCTTTTTTAGTATTGACTTCTTTCTGTCTTTCGCTCGTTCATTTATTTTCTTTCTTTCTGTTGTTCTTTCTTTGTTCATCTCATACTCCCTTCCTTTCTTTCTTGCTTTCTTTCTGGTTTGATTTATTTCGTTCTTTCTTTGGTTCGTTCTTTCTTTCGTTATTGCTTTCGTTCTTTCTTTCGTTTTTGCTTTCGTTCTTTCGTTCTCTCTCTCGTTCTTTCTTGCATGGCTTGCTTTCTTTCTTTCTTTTGTTCTTTCTTTATTTCTTTCTTTTGTTGTTTCTTTATTTCTTTATTTCGTTCTTTCTTTCGTTCTGTCTTTCTTCCTTCCTTTCTTTCTTTAGTTCGTTCTTTCTTTCTTTCTTTCCTTCTCTCTCTCTCTCTGTCTTTCTTTCCTTCCTTTTTCCCCTTCCTTTCGCGGATACCCGTTTAATTTTTTTTTGATCCTTATTTAATTTTTTTTTGATCCTTATTTAATTTTTTTTTGATCCTTATTTAATTTTTTTTTAACCCCTATCCCCCCCTGTCCGGTGAGCGCATACTATGTCAATAGATTTCTGCGCCACCCCACTTTCAATTAAATGTAGTTTGAATTTATCTTGCTAGGCGAGCGTCGTTTACCGACTCAACCGCAGAGAAAAAATCATACGGAGCATACTTTCAGGCATCGAGGGCTGAAGATGATGGTTTATGAACGCTATTCCTTGTAATTCTCCCTAGTACTCCCTAAGGTTCCCTTACAGTCCCCTAAGGATTCCTTATACCCTCCCCCCTTGAACCACCCTCCCTTAAGGATCCTATAACTCAAATACGGGCTTCCAGGTCCTCTGGGCAGTTCACATAGTTCCTGCACCCTGAACCTAAACCTCAAACCCTAAACACTCATTAATACTGGGTTACGGCAGACGGAACCCTCAAAGAAACCCAATCCTAGTCCTGTAAAACTTCAAATCGAAAAATCAGAGCATTCCTAACCTGCCGCTGAGCTGTGCGCACTAACGCGCGGCATCCGGGCAACCGGCGGTCCGTGAATTGTGCTTATAGGATATTTTTAGGTGGTTGGGCTTATATAGGGTTTTGGTACAGAGTCTTTGTGACGTTTATGGTTTATGGCTGTTAGAGCTTGTAGGACTTCTGGGAATTGAGGATTTTGAGGTTCGTAAACCCTAAACCCTAAACCGGGGGAACTTGAGGACACCGGAATCCTGAACTTCCTACACACCAAAACCCCATACCGGGTAGTAGGTTGAGGGGGTTGGGGGTTTAGGTTTAGGTTTAAGGTGGAAGGTGTTTCGGGGGTTTTGAGTTTGCGGTTTAGGATTAGGATTTAAGGGTTCGAGAGGCTTGGATTTGCGGTCCAGGGTTCCAGTATTTATTTTGCGGTTAAGAAATTGGTTTCTGAACTCAGGATGAATCACAGGGACCCTTAGGGGGGTAAGGGGGGAGGGGTGTTGGGGACTTTACTTCCTTTTTTAAAGCCTTATTACGTCCCTATTATTTTTGGTGATAAGGCCCCTACCTCCTTAAGGGACTTCCTTAATGAGGCCTTATTAAGTCCTCATTATTATGTTTGGTATTAAGGCTCCCTAACCCCCGTAGGGGGGTCCTTTATGAAGGAAGCCTACAATGCCGTCCCCGGAAAGAGGCCAGACTTGAGCCGAACGCTGCCGTCGAATTTTGAGGGTTTGGGGTTTTGGGGTTCAGGGGTTTGGGTGTTTAGGGGTTTAGGGATTTAGGGGTTTAAGGGTTAGGGGTTTAGGGATTAGGGGTTTAGGGGTTTAGGGGTTCGTGTTCAGGGTGATATGTTCACGGGAACTGTTTATTTCGGACAGACGAATTAATGCTACGCCGAAATCATTCTGAATTGACCATCCCTGCCTCAATCTACCATAGCCTACCTGTTTAGTAGGATCTTATTGAAGAACCCACTATGAAATTTAGAGGGACCCTGCAGAAAAAGCAGGTTTTCGCAGACTAAGTTAGCCTTTGGCTGACAGCGGCCTCCAACTATCTCCAATATTGGTTTCGGCTAGTGAAAAGCTTCCAATTGCGCGTCCGCCTTCGCGGCCTTGGAGGTATGGATCTGGTGTGAAGGCTTCTAGGCTTCTGTCACAGGAACTACAATCAGGCGTGCCAAAAGGAACAGCTGACAGCCACGCATATTCTGCAAACACTCGGCCGGAAACATCCGAAACCCTGAACCTCTCTCTACCTCTCTATCTCTCTCTCACTCTACATATATGTATATATGTATATATGTATAATATTATAACTCTCTCTCTCTCTCTCCCTATATATTATATATAATGATATATATATATATATATATATATGTATATGTATATATATATAGATGTATGTATGTCATAATTGTTTATGCCGGCTCTGGATTTGGGGGTTTTGTTAAACCTGCGCCAAGCAATCCATAGACAATGTGCAAAAGCTGCCCGCTAAACCTATCAATGAACTGTTGGCTAGGACCACTGGGCAGCGTGCTAAACACGACTATCACAGGAATTCAGGGTTGGGGTTCAGCATAGCATGTGTCAGAACCCAATACCTCTACTACTTCAGGTAGCAGCCTGAATAATGAGTAGTAATACTGTTCCACATTGGTTGACACATGCTTACATATTGCCCAAACTGTGTAGGTGGGGAGAAGGAAACGGGCCAGTGGAATAGGTGCAACTTCGAGTAGCGTGAGCCGACCAGTTGCAAGGAGGCCCCTGGAGCAAAGCAGGCATCTCCGCCAAACACAGCAAAAACAACGGTGTCTGCGCGGCACAGTTTTGTTTCTGCGGCAGCCGAGCATCCTGTCGTTGCAGACGAACAAGAAGGTTATAGCAGGCGGGTGCCAGGACGAATCAGCTATACACGGCTCCATCTCCCCTGAGCAGAGCTTGCGCCTCCATTTCATCCTGTCCCACTTTGTAGACCTGGCCGGAAGTAAAGTCTTTCTTGAAAGAAGTTTGGGCTTCCAGAAATCAACCCAAATCCAAAACCAACAGAAGACCGGATAATCTGTCTTGAACTTCCCCACCTGGCGCAGCAATGTCACTACGACGGAGGACGCGGCGATGAGCTTCGTGGCCATCGAAATAATCGTCTGCTTGTCCACTACTGTCCTTGTTGCGCTCTCCAAAAAGCCGCAATTCAAGGGTGCAGTATCAATCCTACAGATCACAAAACAAAAACTTCTTTCGCAGAAAGCTCAGATTCAACCTCTTCAACCTCAACCACAGCTAGCACTTAAGTGCACAGAGGGCCATCTAATTTTCGCCCGTTCCCGAAATCCAAACTGAAAGCCAGCTCTAAACAAGCAATGCACCCGAGTAGTTTGAAGCCCAAGCCATTCCCGCGGTTTGCATCTTTGATGAAGCTGCGAATGAGTCGAATTTCTCCTTGGCTGCATTTGCCAGAGAGGGCTTCAAGCACTGAAGTATTGGTGTTTCGTAGCTTGTACAACTTCAGAAATGCACGGAGAAAGGTCGGACAGATTGGCACTTGTTCGGGTGCTTGGAGGAGTTGGACTACCAGACCAAATCTATAAACATGAACCTCGTTCTGTTGTGAGCGCAGGCTCTGTCCACCTCAGCACTGCAACCTTCCTTGACCGGCTTGATCCGCAGCTCATTCAAGATTTCCAGTAGGTCTGCAAAGGCATCAGAAACTCTAGCGGGCAGGAAGAGGCATAGAGGTCCAACCAGAAGATCCAGCAGCGCCCATGCCAAGCAAAGGGTACAGAGGAACACCTCTGTCGCAAATGCCGAATCACTCAGATGGCCTGTCACATCGAGCCAGCCAATAACATAGGCAAAATGAGTGGCACCCTTCAACGCTGCCAGGCACAGGGTTGGTCCACTAATCTTTGCCAGCTCGGGAAGGATCTCTTTTGCGAGCCTCCCGCAACCCGTGCGGGCCTTCGTCACCAGATCTGGGTCTGCCACCACTATGTCAAGGCCCCTTTTTACTTCGACAATCTCTGCCTCAACAATGCGGCCTGCAATGGCTGCCTCAAGCAAGAATCTGCTCATCATGAGGAAGGTCAGGCCTTCACAACAAAGAAAAGCCAGCAGCCGTACGACAGACCATGGATTTAAAAGTGATTCCACTAAAGGCGTCGATCTCAGGTACAATTGGCAGCACACCACAGGGAGGCCCGCACACAGCATCCCTATGCAAAGCATAACAGACAGAAGGATTTTCGGTGCAAGCATACAGGCTATCAAGCGGAACTCGCTTCGCAATGACATCCGAAGGTCTTCAGCGGAGTAGGCAAACGTGACCCTGCTCATACAACGGAGGCCCCAAATGACGGAGAGACCCAGCATGAGATGGCATAGGCATATGAACCACACCACAGCCGTCTGCAGTGTCGGAAATCCCGAGAGCGGGAAGCAGGCCCACAACAAGAGAGAAGCGAAGACGATCACAACACCAACCCGCACGCAACTCCAATCAGTGGCACGTGTGAACCAGCTTTGCTCCAGCCAGGTTGCAACGTGATCGGGAGATTGAGGACCTGGAGGAACTGCTGCCAACACGATCCCACCGCAAGCACCACACAGCCGGCAAAAGAAGCATGGCACGATGAACACCCCCAGACATGCCTGAGTGTCGCAATTGATTGGTGGAGCCTCACGCAGAGAAACAAGAATAACAAAACTTACTGCTGCATTACCGGAGCACAAACACAAGTAGAAGTGGCAGAAGCGCTGCACAACTGCAAGCCACCAGGACATAGTCCACGTCTCCTAGCGGCGTAAATGCTTGGACATCACATCCCAACTCGACCGGGTAGTCCTTTCGGCCGCGTACCATTGATGCCCAATGAAGCAAGATTGTTTCGTAGTCGTGCTGGCTTGCATCGAGATCCCCAATCTTGCGCACGTACGTTTCGAATGCTCTACCAGAAAGATGCTTTCCCAGCAGGGTCCGGGATGCGCAACTTTCATTCACATAGTACGCTGGACACAAAACCGCGGCTCCCTGCCCAGAAGATGTTGAAGAAAGGACTACACCTGGTCTGTATAAGTGCGGAAGCTTGACAGTTACAGGCCTGCACTCCGTCATGTTTGTGTCCGTGTCTCCCTTCTCCTCCAACGTTTTCTTCCTTTCAGCAGCGGCTTCTTTGATTGGTGAAGCCTCACCGGGCTCTTGACTCACCTCCGGTCCGATCTGCTGCTGCTCCGTAGGTTCTTCTGTCATGTCGCGGATGGCAAGGCCACCCGTAAGCAGGGAGGGAAGAACCACCATGAGGAGCATCATCATGAACTATAGAGAAGACCTGATTTTGGATGCCGACACCTTCAAGGGACTTCGGCGATGATTTGCTAGACTACTCCAGGTCTCGGCAACATTGTCCGGACCTGCTTCTCCATGGTCCCGAGCCAAATTTTCCCGCGACACGTGGCGCATTGGCGCAGCAAGGCCGTCACACTACTCTTGGTCAGAACACATCTCATGAAACAAGTCGACACCACCTCAGAACCGCAGCATCCATCACGCGGTGGTACGACGTTGATGTTCAACATCTGCCGCTACAACCTTGCGTTTGGGGTGTAGTAGAATTTCAGACTGAAACATGAAATTCTAACTACCGGCCAACGACGTGCAGGCTTGAGGCCTAAGATCTGTAGGTTTAGGTGGCTTTAGTACTTTGGTGTAGCATACGCACACCGTGGGTAGGACAAATGATCTGGCCGGCGCCGGCTCCGCGATGGATACCCGACGATGTGCCACGTTGCAACCTTTGCCACTTTGATGTCGCAATGCACAGCCATCAACCTATAGAAACACTGCACGCGTGCGGACCACTCTACGGCATGTGTGTACTTGGTGGCCCCCACTGCACTGGCTAGAAACTCGTCTCATGGTTGAGTTGCAATGCTTTCGGTCTGATTTCAGCCTCATTGCTATATGAGTGCCCTCAACTCAACCTTCGGACTAATCTGCCGACAAAGAGATGCTAATGACTGCTAGTGACGACAATGGATTCACGAGTGAAGGGGGTGTGTGTGTGTGTGTACTGATGCTTTGCTTCATGTAGTTTGCTGCCTTTGAGAGGAACTGGCGCCTGCTGATACTCGTCAGTGCCCGAAGATCCGTTCGGTTGTTCCCGGGACAGCGTTGTGATTGTACCGTTGCGCAGCTAGTGATGCAAGAACATTTCAAATTTCAAGGAAATAGTTCGAACTGGGGCCCGAGTATAAGCAATCAGGAACTCCACGCGCTGCGTGCAGGCATCCGCACCGAGCCCCACTGTTTCACTGCCAGCCCCGCAACACGACAAGCTCAGCGAGCTTTCCACACGAATCTGCTCAAAGAAGCCACAGAGTCCCAGTCACTTCCACAATTGTCACGCATCCCCAAGAACCCTAAACCCCCTAAACCTTATCAACCCCTAAACCCTATACCTTTAAACCCCATACCCAAAGAAGCACTCAAAGAGCATCCACCAACCGCCTCAAAGCTGCAATGCTAATGTAGAAGCCTGATTAAGAAACCCTGGTCCTTTCATCCCAAAATATTTTGATCCATATGGAGAGCCCTAACAAAGACCCAAGGTTTTTTTTTATCTCGGGAGGCCCTGGACCGCGTCAATCTCAAGTTCAGCATCAGCTGCTTTGCGCCCGGCCTGCATGAAGCTCTGGTTTTAAATTTCGCCTATTTTAGGGACACCCAAACATATCTAAACAAAAACCACAAGGTTGGGATATCCCAGAATCCACTCTTTTTGGTTCTGAATGATTCTGAAAGTAGCCTGTAGAGCTTTGGCATGTATGGCCTTAGAAGGCGGTCCAGTATGTAAGCCGTTTGAGGTTCTGATTGTGTTCGAGCTGATTCGGTTTCCACGGCTTGAAGGTCCGGAACAAGCTACGCTCTCAGAAATCGCACTGAAGCGCTGGTGCAAAGAACACTGCAAAAATCGAGCATACCTGCGTGCTCGGGTGTGGTGATGGGAGGCAGCAAGGCATCGCAGCCGCACCAGCGCAACAGTACCTGCTAACAACGTAATCTCATCTCCCAACTCCAACTGCAATCAGACGGCAACGAGCGGATTCAGAGGTCTAGGGCTTATATAGTGTATAATCGTTTGGTCACAGGAGTATGTACACAATAGGCAATGTACACAACCTGTCTGAAAAAAACTGACGAAGATCTGCTGCCCAGGACCACTGGACAGCACCACTGTGACAGTGTTGGGTACATGTCAGAAAACAACAACAGCAGCAGCATCAGTATATGATGATCTTCATACTGGTAATAATACTATTGACAAATCAACCGTAATCATAATCACTCGCATGCTTTCGCAGTCATAACATGTCATAACCATAACCATAGCATCATAATCATACCCACAGTCATCATAACGATCACAACTAACAGTATTTGTTTGGAGGTCAGAGATTGACGGGTTGGGTTGAGAAGTCCATGGCTAGAGCTCGGTAAGATTTGGAGTTTGGGGCAGGCGGCTTCGGGCGATTCAGTGTTTGGGGTTCAGGCTTTAGGGGTTAGGGAGCTAGGGGATCTATGGTTCAGGGTTAGCGGTTAAGTTTAGGGGTTTAGGGGTTCAGGGTTTAGGGGCTTAGGGGTTAGGGGTTTAGGGCTTAGCTTTAGGAGCGGTTAATGGAGCCACGTGCATTGGGCCATGCTCAAGATCCATCTAGTGTGAAAGGAACAGATCGTATAAAAGGGGGTATCGCGTGTTCTGGATCTCTGACAGCTCCGAGATGGAACCCTGCACGCTTTGTCAGCTCATATGTTTGAGTGTTTGACTGCAGGTAAGGGCATCACCAGATGGGATGAAGGTAAGTAAGATCAAGACTCCCTTAGACGGGGAGCCATATTTGGCATCTGCCCACCTAATATAGGGCCCTTAATTATAGGGTTTTCGGGTACATTATCCTGTAATCATAACGAGGAACCCCCGCAATAGTATTGGTAACTATGTAGGCCCCTATAATACCTGCATACCACCTTCGGAGCCCTTTGATGCAGACAGCTTCGTAAGCACGAGGCGCGAATTCTGTACAGCAAAAGTTGCAAGCTGCCCGGCCACCATTGCAGCCGAGCGTGGATGACAAACTTGAGCCCTGAACTTCCATTCATGCTCCAAAGCCTAAACCCTAAACCCTAAAGCCTAAACTTCCTAAAGCCTAAACTCCAAAGCCAGTCGCAGTCCCCTACTCAGCTACAACGTAGTACAGCCTATTATAAGAATCCTTACACAACGCATATGACTTAGGGTTTAGGGGTTCAAGTTTCAGGGAATTCGGGCTTAAGAACTCCATCCCTTGGAACCTAAAAGCCATCAGATCCACACTCGCTGACTGAAGTTGAGAAGTTGAGAAGGGCCTGCAGGGTTTTGACTAATGTTAGGATCTATAGTATGAGAGGCCTTACTTTATTGTTGTTGAGGGAAGGGAGTTGATTACATGATTATTAAGGGGTCTACATTACAAAGGAACTTTGTTCAAAAGCTAAGTTTAGGGTCTGAGGCCTATGGTGTAGCGGCTCGGGACATTAATGACCCCGAAAACCCAAACTGCTGAACGTTCTGCCATCGCCACGTTTCTTGGAAAGGCGGCATCATGGCAATCGTCGCCGGCAGGCGAGGCTTAATCGATTTGAGGGCCAACCTCGTGTTCCCAAACTAGACTCGAAAAAAGAATGCCCATTTAGATGTCCATGGCCGGGTTCTCCATTGTGTAGTAGGGTTGCGGGTTTCGATTCATTCTTCCATTCCCTACCAACCAAAGGTAAGTGAGTGGGTTGCGGGTTGTTGGGGCTATCCGCAGGGTCGAGGTTTCTATTCAATGCAGGTTCCCAAGAAATGCTAAAAGTTGCTTACCCGCCGGGTATCACTTCGGATAGGAAATATGTTGGTTGGCAAACGAACCACTGAAAGTCTGACATGTAGCGAGCTTTGCAAGTCAGTGCGTTTAGGGTTTCTGGGTATAGGTTCTCCCACCGTTGGCGTTCGAAGTAAGATTTAAGACCAATTGAAGGAGTTGCCCGCTGCCGAACGACAACGAAGAGAGGCAGTGCTCAGGCACGGCCAAGAAAAAGAACCTAAACTAAACTTTGCTTGTGCGCAAGAGACGGTCGAGGACAAGAGAAGAATGTCAGTACGTTTTCGCGTTAAAGCTGAGCCCTGAACCCTCAACCCGAAACCCTACCCGAAGCCCTAAATCGTAACACCTTTTTAAAGCTGAACCCTAAACCCTAAAACCCTTTTTAGGGCTAACCTTTTAGGGTTGCCTGGGTATGCCTGGTGTCAGGCTTCTGTGCGAGACTGCTCCGTGGTTCCATGTACTCTTCACTCCCTCAACTACCGTCCTTCCTGCAGAAACGCACTGCGTACCGACGAGTTTGAAAATCACAATGCCTTCAAGTGTATACTGAAGTTCCTCTAAGGGTTCCTTAGGGTTTAAGAGTTCCTTTAATTCGCCTCGGCCCCGGCCGAAGCGGTCAGAGGTTCCTATTCGGATTCCTCTATTCCCCACCTCTTAATCCCCTCCCCAGCCAGTGACCCCACCCCCAAAAAAGGGGGCCCCCCCCCCCCCCCCCCTAAAAAATGGAAACGTGTCGATCCGGTGGTGAATTCTCTGGTCTTCTGTAGGCAGTCCCCGCTCTCCCTCCCCCTTTCCCCCCCCTTCCTCCCCCCCTCCCCTCCCTCCCCCCCTCCCCCCCCCTCCACCCTTCCCTCCCTCCGCTCGCTGACAGGTGCGAGCTTTCTGGAGTTTTCGACGACACGGGACTGCAATGTAGCATCTTTATGTGTTGGGGCTCACCGCATGCGTTTACAGCCGGGCCGAGGCGGACGACGCGCAGCGTTTCAAATTAAGGGTCCCTTGAGTTTATGAACTCCTTCAAGGGTTCCTCAAGGTTTATGACTATGATTAGATATACTTAGGTCCCTTTATGTTCCATAACCCCAACCTTGGGGACCAAATGACCCTCATAAGTAGTGGTCCTATACCCTTATACTATGAATCCCTATAAGGTATATGAACCTTAAAACCTTTTGAGGTTCATTTCGTCCTTAAGGAAAATAGTAGGGTTCATACAAAGAACTCTAATTCAGGCCCAAGGTTCCTTAATCGGGTTTCTACATTACAGTAGAAGCCGGAAAGTTGGAATATCATTATCATAACCCCTTTATGGTAAATTATAGGGGATCCTGCCATTATTTCATATTCCAACTTTCTGGAGTTCCCTTTATATACTCCAATGGCAATTCCGTGGGTTTGGTGCCGGAAGATCCGCAACGGCGCATTCTGGACTCGTTGATGGGTTTAACTTAAGTTACCATAATAAGGACCCATATATAGGGAATTGTATGGTTTCCTTATTAGGGTAACTTAGACCATGAATGCCTTAACAAGAACGCAACATTCCTTCGAATCCTCGAGAAGATGCCGGGCCTCTCTCGAACTTCGACAGACGAGGACCAATGTCCCCTAAACATCTAATGGAAATAAAAATCATAACCACGATAATGGGTATCATGAAGAAGAAGAAGAACGACGGTTTCATGATAAGACTATATAGTAATAGAAGAAACCGTATTTCGACAGCTCATGTTATTGTGTCAGCCTTGGGTTATGGAAATTTGACTGCTCTGTAGGTGGCAGGAAAAGCGTTTACGGAGTGATTTGCACAGGATTCCTTGTCGTCCCTGACGAAGCTTACTTCAACCTACCTGCTCTGCATGAGCACAGACCTATTTTCGATAGGCTCTACATCTAGGACCCCGAGACGCCCAGGGTGCCAACACCCTTTATACTATACTCTGAAGTCTGTACCCGCAAAATCCTTAACCCCTTAGAGCCACCCAAGCTAAACCCCTTAATTAGCCCCAAAGCACCTTAAAACAGTAAGCCTAAATCCTTAGCCTTAGCCTTGAACCCCCCGAACCCAAAAACCCATAGACCTCTAGCTAAAACTTAACCCCAAAGGCCCTGAACCCCACAAAGCTCTAAGACCTGAACCCTAGCTCCCAGCGACTACATCTTTAAATCCCGCCTTCCTTGTACTCACAAATACCTTCCAAGCCCAGCAATGAAGCCAGGAGCCCCCCCCGAATCTTCTACTACGCAATCCTGAAGCTAACCCTTGCATATCTCCTTGACGGGAAACCTGCTATAGAACCCCATAGTACCCTTAGAGTCTTAAAGGGAACCCTACTATAGAACCCCATGGCACCCTTAAAGCGGAATCTTACAGGGAACGAAGCAGCCTTTAGACTAGAACCCTTATGGGAGCCTTTAAGGAACCTTTGCAAGAGCTCGAAGAGAGACCCAAGCCCACAGGCGCGAAATCCCGAAGGCCGTGGAAAATGTTCGAGGCAAGCCACCTCCTTGCGGACGTTTAGGGTTTACGATTTAGGGCTTAGGGTAGGGTTCAGGGTTTAGGGTTAGATAGATTAAGTTCAGGGAAGGGTTTGGGGTGCAAGTTAGGGTTGTGGGTTCAGGTTAGTCTAGTGTTCAGGGATGTTTTTACGTTTAGCCTAGTGGTTAGGGATGTTTACGGTTAAGCGAAGCCTCGGCAGTTGCCGTCTTAAGGTTCATATAGGGTTAAGCGAAAAGCCACCAAACTTACCTTGGGTTAGTAGGGAATGGAGGATTCTGGTACAATTATAACTACCATTACTACCATTCTGCGATTCCCTACTAACCAAAGGTAAGCAAACGGGTGTCATAAAATATCTGGCTTAGAGAATGGGGATAAGATACAGCATGTCTTCAGTACTCTGTGTCTTTAACTCCTTTAAGGGGCCTGGGTTGGGACAACGACAGAGAGATTTCCAGGTCCTAGGTTGGATTAGGGTAGATGTCTTCATTGAAGGCCGTCGGGCTCTTTGGGTGTGGGCTTGCTGCCGGAGGCATCCAATCTACAATCCGGCTTCTTAACCCAACTCTGTTATCCTTGAAGGATCCAACGCGGAACGTTTGAAAAATGCTCGCTGTCTCCCAGATAACGGTAGGATACCTTGTTGGGTAAGTTCTGGGTTCCTTTAGACTCTTCGAAGAAAGGGTCAGGGTGTGCGAAGAAAGGTCCCCCTTAGCAAGTTGTGGTTTTGCAGGTTTGAGGGTTCAGTAGGCAGGGCCGGACGCTGGGGGTGTGTTGTTTGGAGACACCAAGCCCCAAGGGCTTTCACAAGGAGGTTCAGGATGCAGCCACACATGATTCTGAGATCATGGGTGCCCTCCCAGGAATATTTAGGCATCATGTCGTAACTCGTTCATTCATGCATATTTACTTTTAGACATTTGAGGTCTGGGGTTCCACCCTCTCTGAGAACCGGACAACTCATCCTAAGTACCCATAACCCCTAAGCCCCAAGACCCATAAGTTTAGCACATCCCACCAGTCACCAAACCCTGAACCAATAAACCCTAGATCCCACTACAACCAAAGCTAAAACCTAAGACCCATGAACACTAAATCACGAAATAACAACAAATGAGCCCTAAGATCAGTAAATTATCAACAAAATCATCAGAAGATCTCAGCAAGCCCTATACCATGACCCCACAATACTCCTGAAGAAACCTAGACCATGCCCTAAGCGTTTAGATGATATCAGGTGGTGCCACAAAACGCTGCTCCTGCTTGGGCGCTGCGTCGCTAGAGCCGTGCGAGCGGAATACTTTGTTCAACTTGTCCGGGCATGGCCTGAACAACAGCCGCTACTTTGATAAACATGCTCTAGCCATTGTTATTTAAATCTTGTTTTCATTGTTCCCACGGTAATGAACATTGCTATTATGGCCGATGTTGTCATTACCACCCTTGTTGGTATTATTGACACACTGCTGCTACTGTTATGGTCCTTTGTGATCACGATTACTACTACCACTTGTCAGTGAACAGTGCGAGTGGTTGCGGTTCTTGCTATTGATATAGTTACTGATTAGGTGTATGTGTGACAGTGTTTGCTCAGCTTTGTGTTTACGGGTGGAGTGTTTGAAGTTTGGGGTTTGAAGGCTTCGGTTGAGGAATTGACTGTTGCAGGGCATGAAGCTTCAGGACCCGGGTATAGGGTGAGGGTGAGCTTCGGTAGTCAGTTTTTTGGTTTAGGCTTTAGGTTTAGGTTCAGTTTTTGGGTTAAGGCTTAAAGCTTTGGGAGTTGGTCTTGGTGGTGCAGTTCGCGTGGGGCTACATCACAAAGCCCCATTCAGTTAGTTATAGAGCCCGTGGTCTGGTATTTGGTGTGACTCTCAGTTGCTTATTCTTGCGGGCATGAACTGTGGCACGCTCTTGGACTTGGGGTTTAGGGATAGGGTTTAGAGCGCATGCGTCATGGTTCCTGGACGCCGTCCACTTGCTGTCCTTCCCCGAAGCATTGCTAGACCCCGGATGGTAGCAATGTAGAGAGCTTAATGATTAGAGTAGGGATGGAGTACTTTATAGTTTCTGCTGATAATGATAACAGCATGGGACTAGTAATGTGTGTTGTTTTAAGATACGAACAATTTCCAATCTTAGTTCCCAGTAGCCCCTTAATTTCAGAGGTACACTTCTTCCAGTTCTAAGAAGAAGGGGAGCCCCGGGCGCCAGCATTGCCACTTGCTGTCTTGTTTTCCGTTCGCCCGGCTTGTTGTGGCTTACTTAAAGCTCCAGGAAACTTAGTAAGTAGGGATATGCGTAGCTCTTAATTAGGCTCATAAGTAGATATAAAACTAGCTACATGGCTTATAACCCTACTTACTACATCCTCCCAACCCTAACAAAACCCCTGTAGAATCCCTTAAACGCGCCCTTGAAGGAACCTTACGTACTAAGAAGTAGGTCTGTAATAGTCACTGTTAAACTCCTCAGAAGACTCGGCTTCCATGCCGCAATGCCCAAAGCTTTGGGATAGGGGAGGTCTCACAGTTTACAGTAGAAGCTAAAAAGTTGGAAACCCAATAGCCTCAATCCTTGAGAGTAATGTATAGGGAATCCCAGCACTATTTGGCCTTAATCCGGTCTCCAACTTTATGGGGATTACTGTAGCGTATCAAGCATTCGGCTGTAGGTCCCCAGGTTTCATGTCTTCGGGCTTAGAGTCTGACTCAGAGATGTTGCTTTTGCTTTTGGCTCAGGACTCTAAAACACTTACTTTAGGCCATTGCCATCTGCTCCCTAAACCGCACGCGAAGCCCTAAAACCGCATGAATCCGTTGTAAACTAAGCCCCTATTTTATATGTGCTCCCTCCCCCCGGCACCTTCGGTCCCTCTGCCAGTACCATTGGCTCTAAGCCCCACCTGGATTACGGTCCAAACCGGGCTTAGGACACTTCTTGTGTTGAGTTGTGGGTTGTTACCTCGGCCCAGGTAAAGGGCACCTTCAGTTTCGAATGGTTAGTTGACTCATAATTAGTTAGTTCATCAGCTATATACTTAGACAAAGAACCCATTAAGTATCTACTAAACTGTATTAACTTAATTAACCAAGTAACTAAGCAAGTAATTATCAGCTGGTTCTTTAAGCCAGTCTTTACGAGGAAAGGCCCGAAGATGACTCTCTGAGGGTGCTTCTCTTGATGATATTAATCCTGCAGTACCTTAAAGACCCTAAACTATGGGAATTATGGTACATTCCCTATTTCGGGTAATGCAGGATTTATATCATCAACCGTTGCAGTGCTTACCCGCTTCCGAAGCTTTCGCAAGGTTCTAGGCTGTGACAGGTATTGAAAAAAGGGACGCCGCTGTGCTCTGCAAGGATACCTTGTGCATAAATGGGCCTGCGCCTTGGGCCCTAATTCCGTAAACCCAAAGAATTACAAGTGTACGATCTGGGAACTTGAGAACTCATGTCCCCAAGCAGCCGATTATTCTATGCCAAAGGAAACCCGGCTGTAACCCTTAAGGGAACCCTTATTAGTTTTACCTTTGAAAGGAGCCCTGAAACGAACCCTGGGGCTAAACGGAGGGCTTGCTGTGACGCTGCATAGGAACTGATACCATCTGACGATGACGACAGTGACGGTGTTCAGAGTTGAGGGTTTTAGGGTTTAGTTTCGCAGTAATGACTCGACAGCATTGACATTCGCAAAGGTCCTGATGAAGATGAGGTTGCTCGTGGCTGCTTTGATTTGGTGTGTGGGTGTGTGTGTGAGAGAAAGAGTTTTGCTTCTGAGGGCGATGAAGATGTCGGAATAGCAAAAACGCACATTAAGCTCAACATGATGGTGCTGATGATGATGATGATGATGATGACGGCGATTCAGCTGACCATGATGGAGACCCTTGTCCTGGCAAGACTTCTGCCCTGGCTTTGCGAGCACGGCGCTCCTCGGTCTTGCGGCGTTCCTAGGCCACTGCTCGGACGACTTTCGCTTCCGAACACGGACTTCGCTCCTGTAGAAGGCCTGCCACAACCGACAGCGTCTCCGGTTCCACCAGACTGTGGCATCGACTGCCGTCTGCTTTGCCTGCTCTGCACCCGGATTTCCAAGGGGTCTAAGGGGGGAGAGCCAGGAAGGGTGTCTCCGGCGTCATTTCCCTTGGTTGTGCTCTCCAAGCCGCCCCAGTCCACTTCCATGGTCATCAAACGAATCGAAGAGGAGTCGGTTAAGCTACACGTCTTGACTTCCGATTCTAAGGCTCACATCAATCCCTCCCTGAGCTTGTCGTATTTCCACCCCTTCTTCCTCGGCCACTACCCCAAGGCCTAACCTCGTGTGGGTGGTGTACGATGCTCAAATAGATCTTTATCAAGCCCACAACGTAAAGCCTTTGCGCCCTAAACCTCCCATAAACTAGCACGGACATCGGACATCCGACCAGCTCCAACAACACCTGCAGTCGTCCAGGGGGACCCCTGTTTAGCTTCCGTGTTACTTTAAATTTGAGAGACCCTATAGTCTCTAAACCCTAGTATAAAGTGTAAAGACTTACAAAACCGCAGGAGCCCTTCAAACCCTAGTCTTTCGCACTCTTGTGCAGCCCTAAGTTACCCACGTCATAACGCCTAGGTAAATAGGTTATAAAATAATTGACTCTCAGAAAATGGTTCTGGGGATATGAAATACTAAACTTATCATACTTATACCAGCCTAAGGAACAGTATCTTAACAGACAAGTCGAGGTTTCTAGAACAGGCCCGGGCTCTTCGGTTCGAATTCGATCGAGTCGCAGCTCTTTGCCGCAGCGCGAAATGTCACAAAGGCTCGGGAAGTCCTGCGCAGCGGCATCATAGGGACCCTTAGCGGGAGGGACTATACTTCCTTAGATAGGCCTTACTACGTCCTTACTATGGTCATTAAAGCCCCCTACCGCCTCACCCCCTACCCCCTATGACGGCATGATCTTAATGAGATCTCATGTGAAGCAGGCTTCTTTCAATGCTCCTATGAGGGTTCCTGTCTAAAACGGTTCTTGTAAGGGGTTTCTGTAAGGGTCCGTTTACACGGTTTTTGTGAGGCCGTTGCCTGGCGATTTCCGGGCTCTAAAGTGTAGGGTTTAATGCAAGGCTTGACTCGTGTATTGGTGGGTGTATACAGGGCTTCCTGACAATATGGCATATGGGTAGTTGTCAAAATTGTGGTCCCTTTTTGGGTACCCTAAATATTAGGTGCCGTACTACAATAAGGACCCGAAAAGGGACCTAATTTTGACAACTACCCATATGGGTCAGTGAATGTGGAATGTCCTTATGGGGAGGCCAGGATCCGAGTTGTTTTCATGTCCGACAGAATCTTTGAGATGCTGAATCTATATACAGTAAACCCCATAAAGTTGTAAACCGGATGAAGGCCAAATGGTGCTGGGATTCCCTATACATTACTCTTAAGGATTGAGGCTATTGGGTTTCCAACTTTTTGGCTTCTACTGTAGATGCCCCTACCTACATTGATGAAAGAACTTTTTTTCAAATCACTGTAGGAAACTGCACTATTTCTAAGGGTTGTTGGGGGGTATGGAATGGGGGGACTACCTGAACTAGAGATTCGGAACTTAATCCCTAACAGGAGTTCAAGATGCCTAGGGTTCAGGGCTTCGGGTTTAGGTTTGCAAGTTTCGGGTTCAGCGCTTACGGCATAGGGGAGCCCGCGGCCTCTGTGCTGTTGACCAGGATGCCACCCATGAGGCGCACACTTCCCCCAGGAAGGCGCTTGAAGACCAGCTTCCGGTATATCCTGCATAGGGATTACGGTTTAGGGTTCTGGGACTTCGAACTATAGAGTCAAAAGCTTTTGAAAGGTCTTTATCATCTTAATTAATTGGTTGCGGTTCTAGACGGGCTTCTGCGTAGACTTTCATGAGGGTTGGGGACCTCGTGGGATTCCGCGGCAGCCCCACACCCCGAACAAAGCCCTCAACTCAACCCTCAACCATGACTCCAGCAGTATCTTAGGTGATAAAAGCCCAAACGAGGAGTTCGAAACCATGAACCTGCAAATCTTGGACGATGGACCCTCCAACCCTTGACCCTGTGCACGAAAAGCCTTGAATCCTTGAAGGCAACACCCCGAGACCCTATTAGAAAGCCTAAAAGCCTAAACTGTCTTAGCGACTCGCGGATTCTGGGCTATAGTTGGAGCATGCAGTCGCACACACGACTTCTGTAAGGGCCCCTTTAAGTTAAACCCTTGTAGTAGCAGCCTATTATTCTTGTAATCCACATAGAAACCTTAAAAGGAAACCTCGTACAGCCCATGACAAGCCTGCGCATGAGCAGCGGGAGGAGGGGGAGGGGCTTATTGAACTCCAGTCATTCTAGATTCCTAAACCCTAAACCCTAAACCCTCAGTGTCCCTCGACCCTGGACCCTAAGTAAACCCATGCAGAGGTATACTCGCAGCCTGATCTCAAAGCATCTTGGCTCCAGCAAGCGCCGAGGACGAGCCGAGACATCCCCCTGCAGTCTCTGCCGCGCTCCGCTACGCCGGACTCAGCTTGGGGGGTCGGGGGACTTAGTAAGTGGTTAGTAAGCAAACTTATGAGTACCCTAAAAGGGACCCTAATTGGGTCATGGTACTTACAAGTCCCTAAAATGGACCAGCTAATAAGTCCCACGACCCTCCAAGAGGAGCATGTGCCCACAGAGCCCAATACCCGATAAATTAGGAATATGGCTTAAATTATATAGGGCTTCATATTTTGGTGTAAGCCGTGTAAGCTACATTCCTTAATTTAAGGGGTATTGGGCTCTCTGGGCATGTGCTCCCAATATCCGACAATCGGATTTGCAAATGGCATCCGGGCCATGGAAAGGGAGGTAGCCTTGAGCATGTGCGCCGACGTTTTGAATCTTCCATCTGTATCAGACAGGGCAAGCGGACGACAGGCGTTGTTGGGTTTAGAGTTTCGGGGTCTAGGATTGTGGCTTAGGGCCTAGGATGTGGGCTCTTGAGACTTCGTACCTAAAGCCCCCAGGGCCCAATACCCTTAAATAACGAATAAGGCTTAACTCATATAAGGCTTCATATTATGGTTTAAGCTATATTCCTTAATTAAGGCGTATTGGGCTAACTGGGTGGATACTTTATGCAAACGCAGGCTGGCCAAAAACGAGGGTAGAACAATGCATTGCCCACAGAGTCTTAGAGGTTGCATCAAATGCTTGAGTCAGAGTTCAAGGTTCCTAAACCCTTCAAAGAACCTTGGAAGGAACCCTTAAACCCTCAACCCTAAGCCTTGAACCCTAAACGTCTAAACGCTGGTTACGCTGGTTACCCTGGTTTGAACCCTAAAGCCCCCCTTAACAGTCCTGGAAGAGACGTCCAGAACCGACCGGACCTGGGTTTGAGTTTGGAATCTTTGATGGTTTAACGATAGGGACCATCATAATTGGAATAGGTTGCTTTTCAAGGAGGCATTCATGTATGAAAAGAGTTCCTGCAACAGTTGCTGCGTGGCATTCAGGGAATTCAGGTTCAACTAGGGGCTTGAAGTTCGCGGCTAAATCATAGCAGAGATCTGTGGGACTATCCGGCGAGAACAGGGCTAATTAGTCAGACTCCCAACTTCCCTTCAGTCTTCTTCAGCGGTGTCAGAGCGGAGTGTTAGCGCACGTTGTTTCAGGGTAGTATTCCATGTAGGGTTTGGGTTCTGTAGCGGTTTCAGATGTTCAGGGTAGTACCGGGCCATTTCCTTTCACAGTTGAGCGTTCAACGTTCAAGGTTTCGTCTCAACAAAAACGTGCTGCAGTTCAGGGTCGAGCCTAGCCCCGACCTCCTGCTCCCTTGTGGGACACTCATACAAGACCTAATAGAACCCGATAATTATAGAACCCTTGATGGTCCCCTAGAGCCCAAAAAGCCTAACTTCCGAATCTTTCCATCGAGTTGCAACCGCCGCAAACCCAGAAAGCTGGAACTTTAATACCCTCAGGCCTTTCAGGTAAAACATAAGGGACCCTCGCTCTCATCATCCTTAATCCATGTTACCACTTTCCGGGGTTCGGTGTAACTTCAAACCAAACTTGGACCAGACTGACCTCCTTTAGTCAAACTTCTACGTGGGTGGCTGTCAAAATCATGGTCCCTTTTTGGGTCCTTAATTTATTACGGCACCTAATATTTAGGGTACCCAGAGAGGTGGCTTCACACCAGAAACCGTGAAATCTTAAAACCCCATCGCTGGGCCGGCGGCACAAATGGAGGGCTTCTCGTCATCCTTCACCACCTGCAAGGAAAAGCACGGTGTGCACAAACCCTATGCAACCCGCCTGCGCAAAGAAGACTAACAAACACAGAACAACAAAACAAACAACACATATGCAAGACACGTAAAAAACAACATGTGGTCTTGTATAAAAAGGTGCCTCAAAGATCCGGCTCTGCCAGAAAGACGCCGACTCGCCAAAAGAGGCCACGCCGCAACCCAGCAATTTCCTTGCGGCTTTCTTGTGTGGTGCGACTCTCAAGAGTTTTTATAACGGTTGAAATATAAAGGCTATCAGAAGCGCTTACTATGAACATTCTAAAAAACCACAATCACACTCGGTGGCAAATGCGAAGCTACAAGGGCGATTTTAAGGGTTGCAATGCATGCTATGTCGCTTAGCAGGTAGGGGTCCGTGGGTTAATGTTTAGGGTTTATAGGTTCAGCTCGGTTTAAGATGTATGGGGCCTAGGGTTTACGTCATGTGCTGATTGAATGACAATGAAAGACATGTACGTGCTTCAATCGCAACTTGCAGTTTAGTCCATGTGCATGCGCGCTCGGGGAAGACTTAGGACCTGCAGCTTAGGGCTGAGGCCCTGCGGGTATTAAAGATTTATAAATAGGACTTCAGGGTGTGTATAGGCTCCAGGGTGTAGGGTTTAGACCTCAAACTTAGGCTTCACGACTCCACCTGGGCGTGGGCCGCAGAAAGCCCCATACCGGCAAGTCGGACATAGCTACTGCCAGCGTAGATCCCTTGCTAACTCTCCGAGAAGCTAGAAACGCCGTAATGCGGGATGTGATCAAAGGTTCTGAAAGCTCATAGACTCCATTCTGGTTACAGAACTCTCATAGAGAGGAACCCTGAAGTACCCCTATGAAAATGCTGAGAGGCAGCCCTTAAAGGGAACCCTACTTAGTACCCTGAAGGTACTCTTTCAGTTCTGACACCCTTACTGGATCCCTTGAGGGAACCCTGGTAAAACCATCGAGGGGTCACTCTGATGAAGTCTTTGTCTGGAAGAATACTTCAAGGGCTTCCTCAAAGGAGTTGAGGAGGGTTGAGGGCTTAGCGTGTAGCGCTAAGGGATCCGGAAGGATTTACGTTTAAGGTTTGGGAGCTTTGCTAAATTGAACTGCAAGAGTACTCCCTAATACACAGTTGCTACATAAGTCCTTAAACCCCTAAACCCCTAAACCACAAACCTGCACACCCCAACGCCCCTACACCCTGGAAGCCTTACAGCCTTACAGCAACCTTTCGAAGCACTCATAAAAGGAGCGCTTAAAGGAAAAGCTCCAAATACCTAACGCAAACCCACATTACCGAAACCCTACACCCTTGAATCCTAAACCCCTACACCCTTAAACCCCAAAAGGCTACACCCTAAGACCCCTGAAGCCCTGCACCCTCAAACCCCCGAACCCTACACCCATAAACCCCTACAGTAGAACCCAGAGACTCCAATATCATTCAGGAATATACCCTATAGATCCCTTCTAGTAGAAGCCGGAAAGTTGGAATATCATTATCATAATCCCTTTAAGGTAAATTATAGGGGATCCTGCCATTATCCATATTCCAACTTTCTGGAGTTCCCTTTAAAGGAACCCGTAAGGATCTTATAGGGATATTGGAGTCCCTGGGAACTGCTCCGAAGCCCGACAAGCCAGGCTACAGCTTCGTCGAAAGGTCGCTGCCGTGGTAGCGCAGGCCTCCGGCTTAGGGTTTGGGGTTTAGAGTTTGTGATTTAGGGTTTAGGGTTTGGGGTTTAGGGTTTGGGGTTTAGGGTTTAGCGTTTGGGGTTTAGGGTTTGGGGTTTGGGGTGTAGGGGTTTTGGGTTTGGGGTTTAGGACAAGCCCGTTGTGTTCTTCAGATCTGGGTCCAACCCAACACAGCCCAAAACCGAGAGTCTGCGATGTTAGGAAATCCTAAGGTCAAGCTTGGGGTTTGGGTTACTTAGCAGCTGAGTTCACAAGCCCCCCAAAAGTGTACACTTCCAGTTTTATAGTGGGTAATATTATCCCAAAAAGTGTAAAGTGTATCCACTCAGCTACTCAGTTTATATGGGTCTAGCGCATAAACTGTCCGTACATCCTAAACCCGAACCCGCCTGCAGAAGGGCTAGCCAGCGTGCCAGCCAGAACCTGCCCACAAGAGCTTTTGCTCTTCGGCCGGCTCGTGGGCTCAGGGTTTAGGGCTCCCTTCAAAGACTCTGTAAGGGCTCCCCCTAAGCACTAAACCCTAAAGTTGTATAAGGGCTTTATGACGGCATTTGAGGGTGGAGTTTAGGATTTAGGCTTCAGAGATTGGGGCCTGGGGCTTGGAGTTAGGGGTTTGGGGTTTAGGGCTTAGAGTTTAACAGCGGCGACACCGGTAGTGTGTAGTTTGGGGTACTCATACAAGCACGATAGTCGCAAACAGAGAGGAGCTGATGATAATGGACCAGACCGTGCGAGCCCTAAACCCGAATAGGGGTGACCGTCAGGGGGTTCGGGGTTTAGGGCTTGGGGTTTGGGGATGTTTGGGGGTCTGGGTGGGAATGGAGGTGAACCCTAAATCCTCAACCCAAGTATACTAGGGGAAGATCAGGTAGGAGCAGCCCGTCGTGGCGGCGCCTAAGGGCCCATGTGCTCGTATAGCATAGACCTTGGCCCTCAAGTACCTATATGAAGAACCCGTAAGCCCCAAAACCCTAACCCCCAAACTCTTTAGCGCCTGTGTATATACTTTGTTAAAGGTACATGGTGCCGGGCTTCAGTATGACCAATGGCAACCATCTCTCCGGCACTTCCTGGATGCTTGGAACCTATAAACCACCAAAAAAGTCGGGTTTATTATTTAGCGTGGGAATCCTAAACCCTAAACCCTGATTCCTAAACCCTGAGCCCGAAACCTCGAAACCCTCAGCACGGTGTTAGCTTTCCGTGTCGGGGATCAAGTCGGCAACGCCAGGGTCCACTCTGAAATGTTCCCACAAGTTGCTGGCACCACATTTTTTCCACCCCGTTGCATGAGGTATCGGGGATGCAAAGGTGCAACTTTCAAGGGCGCTGTCCTTTCCTCCTCCAGGCCATGTTTAAATGAGCGTGGCATCCACGCCCTAATGTGCAGGGCATGATCCTCTGCTCTGGCCCAATGTGGTAGGACATAGTCCGGCCTTGAAATGACGGAATCGGAAAGCGATGCAAGAGAGCAAGGTTAACGCATCTTGGAGTTTGCATGGCACTCTATGGCGCCCACAGCTCACAGTCTCACTAGCCTCAAGACAGTAACAACAATCATGCAAACAAAACAGTAACAGTAAAGAGAGCAGGGGACATAATAAAACGACCAAGAAGAAGCACAACACTAGTAATATTGACATACTAAGAATGCTAACACAAGAGTGGTAGGTAGGCATAAGCGAATATGTCTGCATATGATGCATGGCCCCCCCATGGAGGAGATCAGAATGGGCGATTTCAGGTAGGGTTTGGGCTTTTGTGTGTAGAGTCATAATTACTGGACTATGCCCTCAATCGTCCTCAACCCGAAACCTGATCAACAGAGAAGGAGCCAAACCGGAGCCTAATCTGTAAGGCCGGTTCCTGAACCCGGCGGCCTGTTCCTAGTGCACTCTCAACTCGTTTCCCGAGGTAAGCAGCAAACTAGTCTTTACCAGGTCCACATCCTAAGCAGGGTCGAAGTGGCCAATAATCATGCCCCAAGTCCTATTCTAATTATGGAGGCCCCTATATTATAGTACCCTTATAGATCCCTATTCTAACTATTGAATCCCCTACATTACAGATCCCGCAAGTCCCTCCAAAACAGCCAATTGCCTCGGCTTGCTCTGTCCCTGGCTTCCAAAGCCCGTAAACCATGCCCTCGTGATTGGCCACCTGCGCTTAGGAAAGAAGGCTTAGCTAGGGCGTATGTTACGTCTCAGGTATAGTTCAGGGTCTAGGGGTTGGGGACTGAGAAACACCGTTACCCAAACGGGGATTTCAGAATCTAACGTCCAGCTACCCACAGTCAACTCAAAACACCCCCAAGCGACACTAAAATTGCAACAAACAATACCAGGTACTGTTTAAATATGCGGTAGAACAGTTAAGCCGGCCAGTGCAACACAAATCAAGATGGAGGTGAGCATCGTAACAACACTCAAGAGACCCATAAGGAAACATCCAAGAAGACATCGTCGATCCTGCATCGCGATCTTAGTAAGCCCGCCAATCGCTGTCGGGCCACGCATGGGAAAATGACATCGAAACCCTCCGTGAAGACAAACATATGAGCCCGAATGCCCTTGGAGCGCCGGGATACGGCTTTGTGAGGGCCCCCCCCCTAAACATCTTTCAAGCTCAGGGCTCCATGTTGTGATTTCCGTAGACGCTTCCTCCTGAAAAAAAGATGATATTTTTCAGAAGTTCAGGGGTTGCAGCGTAAGATGGGGGGGGGCTAATAATCAGAGTAGGTTTTAGGGTTTAGGGTTTAGGGTTTAGGGTTTAGGGATAATCAGAGTAGGTTTGCCGGGTGTATTTTGGTACAAGTGGAGATTAATGCTATGCCAGGCACTTGTTGTACCACAAACCGACATCTGCAATGCTATAAGCGGCGTGTAAGGCTCTGGAACAATATCCGGAGATTTCGACACCTACAATGTTGCTCCATATAGAGGCCTAAACCAGTGGTTGTTCTATAGTGTAAAAAAACCCTGTCCTAACAGTATTCTCTGGTCGCAAAATTTCCGCATCTTGGGCTCCACTGGTTTCTCATCAGATTTCAGACCACAAGCTTTCGGGGTCTGACCCAGCCTTAGGAAGAACACACAGCCCTAAACCCTCAATCCTAAACGTTAACATGAACTCGAGCAAGCAGATACACTGGCTCCGATCGTCTTCCGGGGGAATGTCTCCCACGCTCTGCGTACATGAAGGCGCCGTAGTAATTACCTAACTATAGTAGTATAATCGGCCCCAAAACCCTTTCCAGCCAGAAGCTATCGCGCAGCACAGCCACCGATGCTTTCGTGATCACTCCGGCATTCTGGGAGTGTTTAACCCACCGCCCGGCAGTGACCATCCATCACCGGCCACATACCAAAGTGCATGATATAGCATCTTTTCTTGAGGCACTGCAAAGCGAGACGATGTTTTTCCGATTGAGACCTATATGTCATTTGGGTTGAGTGTTGGGGTTTAAATGCTAAGGTTTCAGAGTTTAAGGTGCCTCACACCCAGCTGCCCTCTGCAAGCCGATAGTTTAAGGTATAGGGTTCAACGCTTACGGCTTCAGATTTACGATATCCCCAAAGGATTTGATGGGGGTCCTGGTAGGCTCGCGCTTGCTTAGGGTTAAGGGTTTAGGGTTTACGGTTTAGGCCCTGCACCCTAAACTGGTTTAGGGCCGCTCATGTTCCTACGCCCAGAGACCGGCAGCCTCGCCAACGGCGTAGATGTTGGCATCGCTGGTAGACCGGAGGCAACTGTCCACCTTGACCCCTCCGCGTTGGCCTGAGCCATGGATAAGGCCTTATAGATATTGCTTGGAGGATCACGGGACTTAGTAAGTAGGGTTATAAGTTACAAGTAGCCTGATTCTTAGGGCTATAAGTAGATGTCACTATAGTTACCTTACGCAGTATGCTACGTACCAAGTCTCCTGACCCTCCATTCCACTCCTATCCCTTTTAGGGCCCTGTCTCCTTGATTTCCGACGGTGAGAATGCCCTGAACCCTAAACCCATTCCGTGTATTGCCCTGTATATTCCGTAGAGTCGCGTACGGGATCATGCGGGGATTAGTAGTGCGGAGATCCCCTACTTCGACTTTTCCTTGAGGGCAGGAGAATAACGATAATCCAACTTTCTGGCTTCTAGTTTAGCCCCAAAGCTCTAAGCCCCAATCCCGAAACCCTAAACCCCAATCCCTAAACCCCAATCCCCAAACCGCAATCCCAAAAACCTCTACAATCCTCCCCAAGGGTCCAGGTATCTCCTTAGGAGGGTCCGGAATGTCCTAGGGAGAGTCCTTGGGTCTCTTTGAGGTCTCAAAAACCCTCAATTTTGAGGTTCCCCAATTTGTTAGGACCCTTAGGGCTAGCCCTATTGCTGGCCAAGGTTCCCAGCTCCAGACCACAGTTCCGCGCCAGCTCGTCCCGCGGCCTGGCAAAGCAGACTGCGGTTCACCAGTCTAAGAATGGAAGGTTCCGAAAACTAGGGGCTACCTTAGGGTTCCCTTTTATGGGATCCTTTATAAGGGTTCCTATATGGGATCTATAGGGCTCAGGGTTTAGGGAGTTTCCGAAAATTCGGGGTACCTTATTTTGGGGCTCTTATAATAAGGATCCTACGATTTAGGCTACTACATTAGGGTCCACTAGTCCACTATTTTCGGAAACTCCCAAGTAGGGCTTCCTCAAAGTCAAGGAATTTTCCGTAGTCAGAACCCTAAACCTAGAACCAGCAACGAGCACATGTTGGAGATTCTGGCAACCATGTTTTCTGAAGACGGGTATGTTTGAAAGCCTAGACCCAAGAGTAACCCAGGAATAAAAAGGGTGCCCTTTTTGGTTTAAAGCGGCTGATAAGGGAACCTGAACCCTAAAAAAGGGAATAAGGGCTTACTCTGGGTCCTAGAAGCATAGTTCGGTCAATTTTGCTCCAGGCAGTCATGATTCTCGAAACTCCAGCAGTTTAGGGTCAGAGGTTCCCAAACCTCGCACGCAAGGAAACTTCGCTTACACTGTGATGACGAAGCCATCAGCTACACGCTTTGATGCGACATGATCTTGCGGAGTAGGCCTTAGCAGGCCCTCTTTCAAACCTTTTGCCGCTCCGAAACCGCGGCAGAGAAATTCAATTCAACATCAAACAAATTCAAACAAGTTATATGTTGAACGCAGGGCCTAGGGGTTAGTATTACATTAGAGACAGATATTCCCGGGCTCAACAAAGAATGGCATCCGGCAACAACAACAACAACATGTGTCTGTCAACATTTGCATTTTGGATTAAGTTCGGCACGGCTTTCGGAGAGTTGAACCTTTTTCAAGGGTCCTATACTCCCCCAAATCGTAACCTACATAACTACTATCCGAAAACCGAGTACCTAATTATTGGGTCCTTTGGACTCATGGGGACCCTGTCCTGCACCACCTTTCACGCGACAAGGTCAACAGAAAACAGTTGTTCTCTACCACTGCAGCTACTTTGTGTAGTTTCTTTGTTGTCACACATACACTAACCCGGAATAACCTACCTTTTTAAGGAAGGACTTATATAAGGAAATCATAACAAGGAAGCCTAAAAAGGGTAAGATAATCAGGGTAAAGGCAGTTCTAGCATCTCCATTTTGCATTCAGCCGGCTCAGGACTGTCAGGGCTACCTCATTGAGGCTCGTCTATTCTCGCGGACAAGACGACTCCACTAAACAGAACTTTTGCTGCAACCTCTCTTGGGGTTCGCTGGGATTCCCGGTGTTTTACTTTATGGGTATGAAGCTACTGATGTTCCATGCGGTGTCAGTAGCAAGCGTGGCTTTTCCTTGCCCTGAACTCTAAGCAGCAAGCCACGCCCCCCTTCCCCGTCCCCCGCACGGCCTAATGCCGCAGGACACTACCTGAGTCGCGGGTGGATATCGAGGTTTGCGCAGTTATCATAGACTGCAAGCTCCTGTCAGTACATATTCCCTAAGAGTGCATGTGCATTTCAGGGTGTCTCCTGAGGCTTATGTTAGGGGTGTATAATCCTTCGGCAGGTGTTACAGAGTGTACTATGCCCACATAAATCATATGTGTATATACATATATATATATATATATATATATATATATGTGCTTAGGGAAGATCCTACATTGCTAGTTTGAAGCCAACACTAAACAACATATTATACACAACATAGGTACAATATGGCTGAGCGCCCTCGCCGTCAAAACTTCGAAGCCACAATCCTTAAATCGAACACTCTAATCCTAAAGCCCTACCCCAAGGGTCCAAGTACCTAATAATCACACTCTCCAAAATCGCAACCTACGTAACTACTATCCTAAAACCGAGTACCTAATTATTGGGTCCTTTGGACCCTTGGGGCTAAACTGCAACCCTGGACACTCAGGGTGATATCTTCCGGATTTGCCGGGCCAGGATTCAAGGATGTCGGCAGATGAGCTCTAGGTTCATGGACCCTACTAAGAGGTTCAGGAAACATAGTAAATAGAGTCATATAACCCTAAACCCTAAACCCTAAACCCTAACTACTTATATGACCCTAATTAAGGTACTTGTAACCCAAAACCAACGAAGTCCCCAGAACCTTGAAGCATCCGGTGTAGAGGGTTTAGGGTTTAGGGTTTAGGGTTTAGGGTTTAAGGGTTTAGGGTTTAGGGTTTAGGGGTTTAGGGTTTAGGGTTTAGGGTTTAGGGTTTAGGGTTTAGGGTTTAAGGGTTTAGGGTTTAGGGTTTAGGGGTTTAGGGTTTAGGGTTTAGGGTTTAGGGTTTGAATTGACATGCTAGTGGTGTTGAAGGCTCAGATAGTACAACCATAGGCTTCAGGGTTGGATGGCTGTGTTTGCACTGTACAAGAATACGCAACACCTGAAACCCAAAGCCCCACACACACACGCACCCTTCTGGGCAATTTTGACTGATTATGATAAGAGGATTCATCAAACAAAACCTTCAGGGTTAACCGTAGGGTTTAGAGAATCCCCTTTGATCCTAAGCCCCGACCCTTAAAAACCCAAACCCCTTCGCACTAAACCGCCCAAAACTCCCTCCAACCAACCCTAAACCCCTAAACAAACCCCCTAAACCCTAAACCTTAAACCCTAAGGTAAAGCTGCCAGGAGGTCGATGTCCAACTCCATCTGAAGGCCATCTTGCGCATAGCGCAAAGCATACACCCCGGCCTCCAAAAGAGCACAGAGAGCAGGGCCTTTAAAGCTTTATGGGGTTTAGGCTTAGGGTTTTGGGGTTTTCTTGGAGGTTGCCACAAGGGTTTAGGGTTTCGGGGTTAGGAGATCTAGGCTCGAGGGGTTTAGGAGGTTAGAGGCTTCGAGGTTGCCTAAGGCTTAGGATTTTGGGGTTTCGGTTAAGGGGATTGTGGGCTTTGGGGTTTAGAGTCTCGGTTTACGGGCTTAAGGTTCCTTCTGGGGGGCCCTTGAAGGTTAAGAAGGGTTGTATGGGGTGTCCTAAGGTTATGTTGGGTCTTATATCGGCGTTGTTTTTAAAGGGGTCTGAAAAGGGTCTATACACAGGCCTTAAACGACTTCCAAAATCGGTTTTGCAGAGTTCTATACCGGGCTGGGACGTCTGCTTGGGCGTACGCATTTGACATCACAGTCGTGAAAGCATCCCCTCAGTTGCTCTTCTCGGTTTAGGGTTTAGGGTTTAGGGGTGAGGGGTTAGGGTTTAGGGTTTAGGGTTTAGACTTGAAATGCATCGAACATGTGCACCATATCGTCATCTGCGCTGTAATTGGACAGGAGTCCCCATAGTTTGAGATCAGTTCCACATGATGGGAGGCCAAAAGGGGGGGTTTAAGATTCTTGGGGTAGGGATTCCTTAATCTGAACCCTATTATGGGAACCCTAATCCCTACTAAACCCCCATAGGCTAAAACCCCTTTTGGCCTCCTATGACCAAAAGCCGTCCACTCGGAATAGTTATCCGAATTGATTTTCTTGTGTGGCGGCCCCGAAGGTGCTTGCATCGCTGTTTCAAAACCTTCACCTGCAAGCCGAAATAAAGGGAACTCCAGAAAGTTGGAATATGGATTATGATTAATGGTAGCATACCTTATAATTTACCAAGGGTTTAGGATAATCATATTCCAACTTTCTGGCTTTTACTGTACCCTCCCAGATGAGCACAATTCTGTGCACTGACTTGTTTTCTTGTTTTACCGCAATGCCCGCCACTGCCCTCTTGATGAAGTACACGCTTCATGGTTGTTTGTCTCGACAGTTGACCGATGTGGGTTCGCATTGACGAACTGCGATCAAAGTCGCCACAGACTTTTACAAGACAAGGCTGTATAGAGTTTTACTCAGGAATCGCTAGGGTATGTGGTTGTCGCAAGCGATTTTGAGGGTTCTACAAGGGTTCTATACAAAATCGTCCAGGGATCTATACAAACGTTTTCAGAGGCTCGAGCTTCAGGGCCTTGTCAGGGGCTTTCTTGCCAGGGGTTCCAGACGTGTTCTAACCAGGTTCCATCACCCTCCTAGAAGTTAAACTTTTAGCCTCCTGACTATAGTTCATATCTAGAATCCCAAAAAGTTAAAGTCCTAAGAGCCAACCAGACGAGCGCCAAGACAAGTCCCAGACACTGAACGCTAATCAGGAGTTGGATGCCCCAGCATCCGAAACTTCCGAGGGTTTTCGCATCAAACGAAACCCTGGTCCCAAAACCTGAACCCTAACCCTGAGGGTCCAAGTACTCCTTACTGGTGGACTTTGGGTCCTTGTTAGGGGCCAATTAACAGCCAGAAATGAAGACTAACATAGGGGACTTGATAATTCGAATAGGGTTTTGGGGTCCCCTGTACTATAATTATAGTAAGGAATCCCCAAACTAGTATAAGCAATCATTAATTGAAGCCCCTATGGTATTTGGACCCTCGCGATAAGCCCCGACCTCCTCCGACAGCACGTCCTGCAGCTGCACGGCAGTGTGGACACTGCATCCGAGCACTTCGATATGGCGCTTGAGTAGATCTCCCGCCACAGCCTCGCTTGGTGCAGAACGTTTTGTTTTTTTTAAGCTCCTTTTTCCAGGGGCCGGCTCCAGGCAGCATCCTAGAGTAGAACGGTTTAGGGTTTAGGGTTTAGGTGGTCCCGAGGGTTAAGGTTAAAGGCTTTCAGGACTCACGGGCTAAGCAGCTAAGCGTCATTTTGGCGGAACTGTTTGAGGGCGTTGCGGGTTGTGAACTCAAAAAGGTGGATATTGACGATTTTTGAGTTAGTGCCGGGCCCGACAGCTATGGAGTGCCTCGGCTGCAACCCCAAGATGTGAATCCCCGAAACCTGATGGAAACTAGGAATGTGTCAGTTTAAACTCTAGACTCTGAACACGAGGTAACCTCTGTTATCATCTTTACCTCTACCCTAAACCCTAAACCCTAAACCCTAAACCCTAAACCCTGAACCCTAAACCCTAAACCCTAAACCCTGAACCCTAAACCCTAAACCCTAAACCCTGAACCCTAAACCCTAAACCCTAAACCCTGAATCCTAAACCCTAAACCCTAAACCCTCTGCTCCTCTATGTGGGAGATCCGGCTTATGAAATGTACAGCGAGGGAAGTCAGGATTGAGGTTTCGGCGATACGGCGAGTTCTCCAAATTAGGGTTCCTTTTAGGGTCCTTTGTATAAGGCGCCGTCCTATTTGTGGGACCTGAAAAGGGAACCTACTTTAGAGAACTTCCCATACAAGGTTCCGAGGTCCATCTTCTCGCACTCCTCTTGCGATCCCTTATCCCTGTACTGGGGAGACCACATGACTTCACAGCCTGCAAACTACTGTACACATCCTGGCTAAAAAGAATGCTATACAATTGAAAACAAATCCTTGTAACAGCATCAAAACCTTACACCTCACCACCCCCCCCCCACACAAAACAAACAAGGACACCTGTTAATGAAGACCACAGATAAAACCCTTCGCAGAAACCGTAGTTTGCAAAGCCCTATAGAATCCTTGTGGCAGCCTCATAGAACCATTGCAGATCTCTTAAACGACCCCCTATAGAGACGCTACACAGAACCCTCGCACTCGAACTGCCTTAAATCCTATAACGCCTACACCCCAAGCCGTAAGCCCTTAACGCTAAACACCGACCCCTTAGCCATAATTAAACCCGAAACACCGGCCCCTAGACCCTAAACCGAGCTGCATCCAGTTGAGAAGGCATCAAATGTGTCGCACTCTCGAGGACGTGGGTCTCCAGACCCAGGTCCAGCAAGGCCTCATGCGCTAAGCTTACCTTTGGTTAGTAGGGAGTCCAAGAATGGTAGCAATAGTAGTTATATTATAATTGTACCCCATTGCTCCATTCCCTACTAACCAAAGGTAAGTAAGGCTCCGTGTGCCTATGCCAGAACCCGCTTTTCTGTAGGCTCCTACTGTAGAACTCAATACGGGATCCAAAGAGACCCTACATAAAGTGTATTTTGGTAGGTTGAGGGATAGTTTATACCTAAGCATTTAAAACGGTGCCTGTGCAGGTACTTTAAGGCGGGAGTGGGGCGTGTGGGCTTACAGGGTGTTTGCGGCTGGGAGGGGGGATTCATTAGGAACTCTGTTGCGAGATATACTACACGCATCCGAATTTGGGATATATACTACACGCATCCGAACTCCTAACTTGCAACTGACTCTCTGCGCGCCTTTACAGCTTCAGCAAGGTCAAGGCCAACATGCACTAAATGAATATGAATTAATACGGAAGAGCACTTGAACAATGGTGGAGTCTACAGTATGATGCCAAGTAAATGTCAATGAGCTCAGACCAATAACACAAAGGTTTCAATCGTTAGAACACCGGTATAACTATATTAGAGCCACTGCGTTTATTTATTGCTTGGGCTAATTACGCTATCTCGAAGCGGTGCCCCTGTCTCGTTTCATCATGTTAAGTACTGGCAGAAAAAGTCGATCTCGTTCAAGTATCGTTAGTACTAGATATACTTGATCTCGTTTGAAGCGGTGCCCCTATCTCGTTCCCCTAGTAGGGCTAGTTCCGACAACAAAAATACTGCACGGAGGTATCTCGTTTCAAAGTACTGTCGTATAAACGCAAATAAAAGCCGTCGCTCATATAGGAACTGTAGGGGACACTTCTGATAACTGACTACTCCGACCCCAGCAATTGCTAATTATGCAAGCTTGCTATACGTTTCTACAGGGTTCTGGAGGGCTCTATTGGGCCTAGGGGGTATATGGGTTTCGGATCGCATTGGCGGTGCCTACATACTTCCAAACAACGCAGCACTCCCTCCCTCCCACCGCCAAGTTCCGGGAAAAGTCGGAAGCACCAAAAGCTTAAACAGGGTTGAGGGTTGAGGTGATCTCAAATTTTTCCCAAACCCAAGCAGACACTCTAAATCCTAGGAGTAAACGTTTCAAGTTTCAACATACTCCGCAAGTCTCTACACCATGAAAGCCCTGATGCCAAAACCTCTGAACACCATAAAACCTCATCTTATCAAAGACTCGAGAAGCCCCAGAAGTCTCATGAACGCACTGTGCATCAAGTTTCTCATTTTAGATAGAGTAGGAATTGAAACCATAAGCCCTGAAACAGAAAACTCTTAACTCAGGTCAGGCCGTAATCTAAAGCCGCAAACCTCACCAACCTTATTAGACAGGCTGTCGGACCTTAACCTGCACCCCACAAAGCTCGCACCAATGCCGTACAACAGTTCGAACCGTATTCCTCAGGTCTCCTTCATACCTTCCAGTGCACTATACCACGAAATCCTGTTATATTCAGATCAAGGACCCTATAAACCTTCAAGCAACCCCGGTTTACAGAAACCCTTTCCAGGAGCCAACCTCGAACTATTTACATCCCTTGATTGACAAACCCTTTTGATGGTTTAGGGTAAGGAGCCATTGTCGACATATTAAATACCGCTTTTCTGACCCTCAGCAGCCCACAAAAACACAACCTTAAACCCGAAACCTAAATCGTAAGCCCCTAAACCCTAAACCCCTAAAGTGTCCTTATCTTGGTTAAGTTGAAAGCCCTGAACCCTAAACCCTAAACCCCAAAAGCGTCCCTACCATGGTAACTCAAATTAAATCACATTCCCCAAACCCTAAGCCCTATAAACCCCCAAAGAAAACCACCTAAACCCTAAATCCTAAAGCCTATAAACCCCCAAACCAAAACCTAAAGGATCCCTTATAGGATCCCTTAATGGATCCCTATAGATACCTTGAAGGATCCCGTAAAGGATCCCTTATAGAGATCCCCAGAGCGCCTTCGCCGCCTCCAGACCCAGGAGGCCTCCTCCGATGACTGCAGCCCGGCGGCATCCGGAAGCCCTGGCGTTTCTTCGCGTTTTTTTCTTTTCTTGGGGTTTAGGGTCCCTTTAAAGGGTACTATAAGGGTCCCTTTAAGGGATCTATAGGGGTTTAAGTTTATAAGCCTTTTTTCCTACTTAGCCCTGGCGTTTCTTTGCGCCACGCAGAATCTAGCCTTAAGAATTAGAATAGGGTCCCTTGAAAGGGGGGTCTATATACGGGTTACTATAAGGGATCCATAAGGGTACTATGATATTAGGGCCTGAGCAATCCTATTCTTGGGATTTAGGGTCCCTTTAAAGGGTACTATAAGGGTCCTTTAGGGTTCCCTTTAAGGGATCTGTAGGGGTTTGGCGATTCTTTGCGTGCTTTTTCCTACTTGTCGGGTATCATGGGGAACTAAAGGTTAACCTTTTTGGGTATCTAGGGACTATACTACCCAAAAAAGGTTAAAGGTTTCCTACTCTACTACTAGGTCTTTCTCTTTGGGTTTAGGGCTTAGATTAGGGGTTTAGGGTTTAGGGTTTAGTTTAGGGTTTGGGGTCTTTGGGCTTCGGGTTTAGGGTTCAGGGGTTTGGGGCTCATTTTAGGTTATGAAGGTTTAGTCGAGGGTTTCACTGTGTTTAATTATTCCTAACAGCTCCTTATCTTAAACTGCATACCCCAGAACCCTATCCAAACTACTACTTGGAGGATCATGGGACTTAGTAAGTAAGGTTATAAGTAGGTTATAGTTAGGACAACCCCACTTAGGGGACTTATAACCCTAATTATAACCTATTTACTAAGTCCCATGATCCTCTAAGTATATGTTAGTTTTTTTCTGTCTGTCCCTTGTGTTCAGCGCCTTGAGATGCCTGTCGCTGGGCCCTGGGGGCTTCCGGGCTCGTAGGTTGGTTGTGAAAGGTTTGAGCTGATGGCTCTGTGGTCTGAAACTATAAGCATAGGCTATAAGCTAGGGCGGTTAGGGTGCATGCGATGTAGGTTTGGGGTTCAGGGTCGCGGGAAGGCATCACAAGCAACTACAATTGCAACCTGAAGTTTGAAGAGCTGTGAAGCCTTGGATGGGCCTGAGGCTGCGTGTATGCGTAGTTCCTGGGGTGTCTCGAGCCCTGCGCCCTAACTCTGAAACCACAGAAAACTCAACGCCTTGCACGATAAAATGCCGACTACCCTAGCCTAAACCCTAAACCCTTATAGTACCCTATAGATCCCTTTAAAGGAACCCTTATAGATCCCTTCCTGAAGGTAGTGGCACTCACTCATCGCAGAGTCCGGAACCGAATGAATGCCTCGCGATAATGGCATCCATGTCCTCGATCGTCCTGGCAGGATTTCGGGTCGGATTAGAGATATCGGATATGGGAGTTTCCGAAAATAGGGTACCCTAAAATAGTACCCTAATCCTAAATAGTAGGATCCTTACGACAAGGACCCCCAAATAAGGCACCCCTAACTTTCGGAACCTCTACCTTATAGAGCCCTTTAAAGGAACCCTTATAGTACCCTTATATTATTGTAACCCTTTAAGGAACCCTGATAAGGTTCGCCTAAGTTTCGGAACCTCCCATATAGGGGCTCATGGTCCAGGGCTTTCAGGGTGCGTCGTTGTGGGGTTTAGGACTTTCGGCTTGAAAGCATAGTCCTGGGCATCAACATAGCCCAAAAGCCTAATACGGTATGGTCTTTGGGCCCAAAAACCTTACTAGGATACCCAGTAACCTAAGAAAAAAAAAGGCCTCTCTTTTTGGTATTGGGTAACTTTATAAGGAACCTAGGACTACAAAAAGGGAATAAGGGTACTACTGGGCATCCTAGATGGTCTTCGGGCCCAAAAACCTTGATATGCGAGTCCTTGGATGCCAAGGGTAGTAGGGTTCGGGTTTAGGCTGCGAGCGCTGCTTAAAGCAGCAAAACCTTGTCAGCTGCAGGCTCGAGGTGGGATCGTAAGAGGCAGCAGATGCAGCAGAGAATCCCTCAACCCTGAGCCCTACCCTAAACCCTAAACCCTAAACCCTAATCCTAATCCGAAAACCCGGAACCCGAGGCCCAGAACGTACCACGGTAGGCTCGTAGGACTTGAGGATACAAGCTTCTAGGATACCCAGTAACCTAAGAATAAAAAGGCCTCTCTTTTTGGTATTGGGTAACTTTATAAGGAACCTAGGACTACAAAAAGGGAATAAGGGTACTACTGGGCATCCTAGGCTGTGTTTTGAACTTCTCGCAGCCGGCGCAATCGATGTGGGTGGCTTCAGGGCTCAAGGGGTTTATACTGCTTAGGGGCTTACTTCAAAGATCAGGGGGCTTGGTAAGTAGGGTTGTGATGAAGGTAGCTGTAGTCTTATCTGCGTATGCTAGGTAGGTGTAACCTGACTTACTAAGTCCCGTGTTTATTGGCTTAGGGTTCCAGCTTGATAAGCATTCACAGCTTTAGCGTATAGGGACTTTAAGCCCTCAAGGTATTACGGCTTTCTAAAGGGTCTAGCAGTTTTCAACTAAATAAGTAGCGTGCAGAGGCTGAAGTTAACATGTCCAGAGAGCCAGGAACCCAAAATATCCAAAAAAACAATACTTAGGTACTCGGTTTTAGGATAGCAGTTATGTAGGTTACGATTTTGGAGAGTATATGATTATTAGGTACTTGGACCCTTGGGGGAAGGGAGGGCCTGTAGAGGAAGATGCCCGGAGTCGAGGTCGCCAGCCCGGGAACCGGCGGCACGAAGGGCGAGCTGCCCGTGGCCAGCACGAGCTCGTCGTAGTCGAGCTCGCCTGCATGGAAGCTTCTTCAGGTTTACGGTTCGGAGCAGCCTTGTCCTTTTAGAAATAATAGACAGAGGCCTATACATATATCCCTTAGCAGGAATTATTTAAGAAGGTCTACTAGCCGGTCTGTTTATTCTTTTGGCGGAACCATGAAAAAGGACAAGGCTGGTTCGGAGGGCAAAGGGTTGAGGCTTGGAAACAGGGTTATTGCGCTGTGGTTTTAAGACACCCAAACCCTCTTATTCAACCCGAACAGCCAGAAACAACAAAACGCGTGCACTCTTGCCTAAACGTACACATAAACAACCACACTCAAGGTTTGAATCAAGCTCGAAGCTTTTAATCTTCCAGGCTTTGGAGATGACAACATAAGCAAGTTTTAAGTTTATGCTAGGAAAAGGGTAGGTATCCTCGGTAGCTGACCATGAACCCTCAACCAGCACGCAGGAAACCCTGAATCCCGAACCACAACCCTACAAATCTATAGAACGGTAGCCCGGAATTTGTCTTAAACCTACGACGTTGCCCCGCACACGCCACTTAATTGCGACAAGAACTGAATCCTGGATGTCGAACCCAGAGGGTCCAAGTACCCAAATAGTAGGGCTTTAGGTCCCAAAACCCATACTCTGAATGGTTTTGGCACCTTGAAACCCTACTATTTGGGCACTTGGACCCTTAAGGGAACAAGTCAAACCGCTCAATGGTCCGCCGAACGAATTTCAACTGCAGGGTCCATTTCCAAACATCCCGTATGGTTTAGGGTTTAGGGGTTTAGGGGTTTAGGGGTTTAGGGTTTAGGGGTTTGGGGGTTTAGGGTTTAGGGGTTTAGGGGTTTAGGGTTTAGGTTTGAGGGTATTTCCAAACATCCCGGCATACCTCCATCCAAGCCTCTCTGTATACAACAACGGCAGCACCCCGGTCAGGTTTTGTTAAAGGGGTATCCTGTGGCCAAGGTGCATTGGCAGATGACGGTGCAAACCGACACTTTACCAGTTACCAACAAATCCCAGAAACCTTAACACAAACAAAAGCCTAAACAACGCTTGGGCACCTGCAGCAGATGCACCGGCATATGCGACACGCTTCTGGGCGCGGTCGATGTGCGTTGCACGAGCGAAGATGACAGAGACATTCCTTATCGAGGCTTGGCTGGCTTCTGAACCCCTCCTAAAAGTTAAACTATTTAGCCTCCTTATTGAGTCCATATAGAAACCCCAAAAGTTAAAGTCTAAAGAGCCAACCAGAAGAACGCCAAGGAGGAGTCACTGTTCCAGGATCTTTTTTTGTGTGCGGAAATGATGGGGCTTCAGGCTCAGGACTTACAGTATGACATCCCAGAGGGTCCAAAACCCCTTAAACTAAGGAATATACCTTAACTCATATAAGGGATCCTATTATAATTTTAAGGTATATTCCTTAATTCCCCTATAGACCCCTTATAGATCCCTTTAAGGAGCCCTTTAAGGAACCCCTAGGTATTCCTTAATTAAGGGGTATTGGAGTCTCTGGGATCAATTTGCTGCTTTGAAGCTCAGTGTTCGTGGATGAGGGGACGATAAGCGGGCTTGGAGTTGAAGGTTTAGGGTTTAGGGTTTAGGGTTTAGGGTTTCCACCCACTTGTTGATCTGCTGCAGCAAGATTCATCAACCCATGGCCATAACCGGGCCCGCCAATGAGGAAAGTGTTTAGGGTTCAGGGTTTAGGGCCCTTTAGAAACAAGGACAAGTATCTTTTACATCATAGAGTTTAGAGGGGATGCACAACTTACGTATAGTACGAATATTTTAGCTCCTTAGGCTCTTTGGGCAACTGTGAAAAGGACCGAGGGTCTTGTCTGCAAGCCATTCCAGGTTGCACAGGGACAACTCGTCGGCAGAGCGGTGCTGGAAGTAGCTCCTCAGCAGATGTCGCGAACAAAACGATCGTGCCATAGATCGGAGCTGAAGTACGCTTTCGAATTTCCCACATTCTCCTGAACGAGGATTAGAATTGGCTGAACCGTCAATTAGATTGTGCACATACTCGTGCCTGACAGGGGTTCCCGATTGGGTGCCAAGGCCAATGTATATACGACATGGGCCTCAACGGCGAATGTAGGAACCCTGATTACGAAACCATGGGCCTGTAAAACCAAAGTAATAGGGTTGCTATAAGGAGCGCGAATTAAGGCCCAAGGCTTTTAAATCAGGTTCCTAGATCAGGCTCATGCACCTGATGGACCTTCGGAAGTTGAGTGCTACTTACACCGGCTTACGGCATTGGGCTTGGTTTTAGAAGTTTAGGCTTGCTCTGTTGTTGTTTTTTTAATGGTGTTCGGTGCAGTGTTTGGGTTGCACATGGAGGATTTAGGGTTTAGGGTTTAGGGTTTAGGGTTTAGGGGTTCAGGGTTTAGGGTTTAGGGTTTAGGGTGGAGGATTTAGGGTTCGGGGTTAGGATTCGAAGGAAAGGAGGTAGCACGACGTTGCAGGGTTGTTTGAAAGTTGTGCGAGAGTCATCCTTGCCTCCTGTGCTGTTCTATGGTCTCAGGAATGGGCAAGACCTAGAGAGAAAGCCGACAGAATTCGTATGGTATTTGGGGGTGGGGGAAAGGGCAACCACAGTTATTTCAAAGTTGGAATACCATAGTACCAGGGACATTGAAACTCACTATCCACACCCTCTATTAAACAAACACCGAGGCGCGTCATGGAGACACGGTTGTAGGCCAGACGTGGCTCTTCGCAAAGGACCGTGATGGCCAACGGCCTATCGTGCACCTGTGGGGTTGCACAAGGGCTTTATCTGAGGGCTCTTTTAGAGGCACATTCAGCTCTGATGCTCAAACGACCATAGGACTTAGCAAACATAATCTCTTGCGTTGTATAAAAGCCCTAAACGGGCACCTAACACACGTAATTCTTTATGCGCCCTAAACAGCCCGTTCGGCACCCCAAACCCTAAAACCCGTAATTCTTTATAAGCCCTAAACAGCCCGTTCGGCACCCCAAACCCTAAAACCCGTAATTCTTCATAAGCCCTATAAAAGCCCGTTCGGCACCCCAAACCCTAAAACCCGCAATTCTTTATAAGCCCTATAAAAGCCCGTTCGGCACCCCAAACCCTAAAACCCGCAATTCTTTATAAGCCCTAAAAAGCCCGCTCGGCACCCCAAACCCTAAAACCCGCAATTCTTTATAAGCCCTAAAAAGCCCGTTCGGCACCCCAAACCCTAAAACCCGCAATTCTTTATAAGCCCTAAAAAGCCCGCTCGGCACCCCAAACCCTAAAACCCGCAATTCTTTATAAGCCCTAAAAAGCCCGCTCGGCACCCCAAACCCTAAAACCCGTAAGTCTTTAAAAGCCATAAAAAGCACCGAAAACACCCTAAAAAGCCCCTTCGTGAGCCTCCACCAAGTTTTGGATGAGTGCGTGACCGCTCCTGGGCTTGCACGAGGAATCCTCTTCAGGGTTGGAGGGCTTAGGGTTTAAGCGTAGGGCTTAGGGCTTGGGGTTTAGGGCTTGGGGTTTAGGGTTTAGGGGTGTAGGGTTCAGGGGTTTAGGGCTTACCTTAACGCTGAAACTCCTATCTTTTCAGGGTTCCTTATAAGTCCTTAAAAAGGTAGGCTATATTGCGGGATAAGGTAGGGTTGAGTGGTGGGGCTTGGGGTTTAGGGATTGGGGTTTCGGGTTCAACCCTGGGGGCTTAGGGTTTAGGCTTCAAGCTTGGGGTTTCGGGTTTGGTAGGGGTTGGGGTTTAGGGTTTAGGGTTTAGGGTTTAGGGTTTAGGGTTTAGGGTTTAGGGTTAGGGTCTAGGGTATATTATACCTGGACGTTACAATGTAGTAGGCAGCTTGATCCTTTAAACAGGTCGTTGGCGTGTCGTGATAGCAGACGCCACCAAGGAACACTTACCCCAAGGGTCCAAGTACCTCATAATCATATACTCTCCAAAATCGTAACCTACATAACTACAATCCTATAAAACAGAGTTCCTAAAAATTGGGTCCTCTGAACGCATGGGGTTAGGCAAGTATGGAGGCTTCTAGGGTACCTCGTTCTGCTTTTCAGACTCCGTTGTTTTGTAGGATTGCCACCATGGGTAGCGAATCAAAAAAATGGCATCTACATCGCATTGATGCCTAGGGAGTGTTTACTTTAGGGTTTAAGGTCTTCTCGATGCTTTTAAGGTTTAGCGGGGGTTTGGAGCTTATAGGTCATACCTGCGCAGAAACGTCCAGTAAACTTGAGGGCTTTAAGCTTTTAGGGTTCACCTCTTTAAGCCCGGACTCTCCAATATTCCACAATTAAGGAAATATCTTAAACTATGTTAGGGTCCTTAATATGATTCAAGGACTATTCTTAAGCTAAGGGATATTGGAAGGTCTGGGAACAAAGGCCTCTGGTCCAAATCCAAAGCGCGGACCGTGGCCGACGATGACAACTCGTCGCGGTGGACCCGAAGCCACTGCGGCCGCGGCGTCCAATGGAAGATGAGAAGGATACACCTGGCAGGTGGGTAGTTGTCAAAAGTATAGTCCCTTTTTGGGCACCCTAAATATTAGGTGCCGTACTATATTAGGGACCCGAAAAGGGCCCATAATTAACATCCGCCCAGGTTAAAGTCGGGTTTGCTCCCCTTTGTGGGGGCCTTAGTCATCACAGCTGCTTTTTTTTTGGGGGGGTGAACTTACCACCAGCACGGTGCTATTTCGGAATGCTACATGGACTCAGCCAAGAATTTACTTAAACCAAAATAAGCACACCTCACGGTAGCAAGCATAGCATTTGCTAAGACTACAGCCCTCAGGAGCCTCCGGTGTGGTTTGAGCTGCTGCAGACGCCTGGTAAATCCATTCCACGACCCTCAACAAGGAGGATCATCGGCATTGCCGTGTTGCGGCCCTCAGAGACACAGCCCCAGTATTTAAACTGGGATGCCGCCCTGAACTCTTTGTAAATCCCTAAACCCACTGCCGATGCGCCTGGTGCGAAAACAAGCCCTAAACCCTGAACCCTAAACCTTAAAGCCCTAAACACCAAAGCTTAAGAGAAGCTTCAGGGTAATACTATCTAACAGAGGCCTCGAGCCTATACAAATCCCATCGAGTTTCGAGATACAATAAACTGTAATTACTAGGCTCCGCGGTGTCCCCTGTAAATAAAGGTACCCTTTTTTCCTGGGACTCGCTTTTGATACAAACCCGGAATTGAAAGGGCAACAGGGTACTACTGAAGAACCTAGACTACAACAAACCCTAAACCCTATTCCCTAAACCCTATAGATCCCTTTAAGGAACCCCCTATAGATCGCTTGTAGTAACCCTTCTAGACCCCTTTGCAGGAACAGATTACAACAAAGAGCTCTACAGTAGAAGCCCAAACAGTTGGAAACCCCATAGCCCCAATCCTTAAAAGTGATGCATAGGGAATCCCAGCACTATTTGGCCTTCATCCGGTTCCCAACTTGATGGGGTTTACTGTAGGTACTGTTATGGGAGATACTTCCCCAAATCATAATGGTAATTCCTAATATAGAAACCCTACATTCTACCATATAGGTACTTAGGACCCTTTGGGCTTGGGTGCAGGTTATAAGGCTTTCCCTTAACCCTAACCCTCAACCCTACACCCTATTCCTTAAACCCTAAACCCTATAGATCCCTTTAAAAGGAACCCCTTATAGTAACCTTTATAGACCCCTTTAAAGGAACAGATTACAACAAAGAGCTCTAGCCCCTAAACCCCGGCCTGCTCCTCGATTTGTCCAGGGTTTGCTCTCGGTCCGTGAGTCATGATGACCTGGGCTGCGGAGCTGGTTTAGGGTTGAAGCTTTAGGGATTAGGGTTTAGGGTTGAAGGTTTAGGGATTAGGTTTTAGGGGGTATTGGTTCGGATTTAGGGGTTTGGGTTTAGGGTTTCATCATGACCTGGGTTGCCCAGAGGCTCCAGGTACCTTTATAGTAGGTACTTAAGCTTTAAACGGGGTCCCCCTGTATGGGTACTTTAAGGCCTGAGTATGTACTATATGGGTACATAGAGCCTTAAGGTTGTGGAGCTGGCTTAGGGTTTAGGGATGTTTAAGTTTTATAGTTTACGGTTTAGGCAGGTTTAATTAGGTTTAGGGTTATGGGGTTTGGGCTTTTAGGGTATAGAAGTTTACGGTTTAGGGTTTAGGGTTAGGGGTTGGGGCTTTTTCCGGGTTTAGGGCTTAGAGGTTCACTATGACCTGGAGACTTACTGGAGGGGCATTTAACGAGTCCTGGGCCGTGTGTTGATGTGCTTTACTCTCTCACATAAATGTGTATATACACTAATATATGTGTACATGAATGTATGTGTATATATTTATTTCTCTATGTGTGTTTTTTCAATGTGTGTGTGTGTGTGTTCGGCATCTCAACATCTGCAGCGCTAAGAGCTGTCTACTCCGATGCTATCATCAGGCAGGCAGCTGTCTCAAGGCCCCAAAGTTCGCGACCGCAGCGCGCGAGGTCGCAAAGAGACTGGTAGTCCTTCCCAGCGAGGGACCCCGATACCCCAGAGAGCCCAATACCTCTTAACTAATGAATAAGGCTTAAACTATATAGGGTTTCATATTATGATTTTAGCCATATTCCGTAATTCCCTTATAGAACCCTTCTAGATCCCTTGAAGGAACCCTTCAAGGAACCCTAGGCCTTCAGCTATATTCCTTAATTAAGGGGTATTGGGCTCTCTGGGTGGAACACACGTTAAATCATAGGAGGCTCAGGCTTTCTCCCAGAGGGTCCAACGGTTGCCTTGGCAGAGAGGGTTTAGGGTTTAGGGTTTAGTTGATGATATAAATCCTGCATTACCCATAATCGGGAATGTACCATAATTCCCACAGTTTAGGGTCCTTGAGGTAATGCAGGATTTAAATCATCAACAGAAGTACTCCCTATTATAGGACTTTAGGGCCTTCTTGGGTACCAAAAACCACAAACAAGGACTACTTGAACCCGTAGGGTCTGGGTCTCTGACACTCCCGAAAACAATGGTATTTAGGGCGGTGGGCTAACTTTAGGGTCCATACTGAACTTAGAACCCCAGCAACAATTGTAACTTTAGCTGTTTCTTAGGGATTAATTTCTAAGTACCCCTCAGTTAAACCGAATCTGAACCCACAAGTCCTGGAGCCCTGGACCTAAAACCGTACATCCTTAAGCCTGACATGCTCATCTGCGAGACCCTAAACCCAACACCCTAAACCCTAAACCCTTAACCTAAAACCCTACATCCCTATGCCGGAACGAACCTAAAACCCTACCTCCCTATGCCGGAACGAACCTAAAACACTACATCCCTATGCCGGAACGAACCTAAAACCCTCAAACCGTAACCCCAAAAACCTAACCCTAAACCCTAAGGCTAGAAGCGCCAAAGTCCTCCACGCTTTTCACCAGAACACCGCCGAGAAGACGGCGGCAACCGCTGGGACACCGACGGAAGATGAGCTTCCCTGGGTTTCTGAGACAAGCTTGAGGTTTAGGGTTTATGGCTTAGGTTTGCGGCTTAGGGTTTGGGGGTTAGGGTCTAGGGTCTAGGGCTTAGAGCTTAGGATTTTGGGCTTCGGGCTTTAGGGTGTAATCCAGGAAAGTCTCCTCTTGAATGAAGAACTTTCTTTTCTTCGTTTAGGGTTTAGGATCAACTGCAGTAAGAGGGATTTTGGAGAGATCGACCCTAAACCCCAGAGCAATTGCTTCCTTGGTCTGTCGGCAAAGTTAGAGAGGCCAGGATCGGCGGATCATGTCGGGCCTTTACGGGATTCTACATTACATAGCTTCGGGAGTTTTTATAGTGTATGGGACAAAGGATTTTTTTGTTTGAGTAGGTAGGATCCCTCTACCTATGTCTTATATACATCGGGCTCAAGGTTGCTATTAAGGTGCAGTAGGGTCAAAGCACATACTACATACATACTACATGGTCCCTTGTATCTTTAAGCCAGGCAGTGCTTTGAACGTAATCGGATCTCTCCGACAGGGGATCGACAGTTTCAATATTATAATAAGTCTTGCAAGGGTCGGCTGGTTTTCAATCAGGGGTCCTTTCGAGGCACCTGTCTTATGGCAGTATACCGCTACAAGTCCCCAGTATACCCCCAGTGTATTCCCGTATCGCAATATCTGCCCAGCGGCTGTAGCTGCCGGCGGTGGCGTCCAGGGCGGTGGTCACACAGATGTTCCTCGGCATTCCGTGGGTCCGAACGGGTGATTACAAACAAAATACACACTCACAAAGGGTCTCTCGCGCTCTCTCTCTCTCTCTCTCTCCCTCTCCCTCTCCCTCTCTCTCTCTCTGTCTCTCTCTCTGTCTCTCTCTATCCCTCTGTTTGTCACAACCGCACACACAGACACACGCACACAATGAACCCCAAAATCCAGACAGTACGCAAGCAGCTTGAAGCCACGGGTCCCCTGCTGGCCATCCTCAAGATCGAACATGCGAGACTTCCAGAACCTCGCGCGTCGGAGCTTTTTCAAAACTACTACCCATAGGCCCCAAAGTGGCTCCTTGTGGGGGTTCATATGTAATGAAGCATCTTTAGGGCTTAAGAGAAGCTTTTCCGTGGTTATGTACGGCTCCAGGGACTTTCGTTACAGGTTATCTAGAATCTAGGGCGCTGTTGAGGCTTTTTTTCCCGGCTTCGATGGTTTTGACAGTGCTGCTTGTGGCTTTTATGAGCTCTTCCAAACAAGCCGGTTTGCGGCGATTGTGCTTCTCAAGCCGAGTTTTGCAGGGTTTTCAAGTTTTACGCTGTTTGGAAGAAAAGTCCTACTGTCGCAGAGGATGCAATACGGAAACTTACTCCTGGGCTTTAATAATTTAGGGTTTCTTAGCTACACATGGTTTCATATGTCTGCATCGGCTTTTTGCGCAATGTTGCAGGGATCAAACATGGCTTCAGGGGCTGCATGTTTCCGTTCGTAGTCGGTGTTTGTGGGTTGGGCTACAACCAGGAGTTTGTGTTTTCGGCGGGCTGGGGAATCTAGGTCCTTTATAGTAAACCCCGTGCAAACCTTCTCGGAACCCTTGTCAACGCTCCCGAACACTAACACCCTCCTAAAACTCTAGCAACCCATGAAGCTCTTCTGAAATCCCATTGCAATAACTCCATAAAACCCTCAGAAACTCACCAAAAACCCGGCTTGGTACCCACCCCTAAACCCTAAAGCCCTAGAACCCTACACCCTATACTATACTGAACTTAGAACCCCAGCAGAAATTAAAATTTTAGCCATTTCTTAGGGTTTATAATAACCAAAAATTGAAAATTATTTCTAAGTACCCCTAAGTATAGATTCCCTAAAACCCTAAACCCCTAGCCTAAACCCCTAAAACCCTAAAAAGCCCTAAATCCTAAACCAAAACCCTAGATTAGGACTACAGCAGCGACTTGATTTTTTCAGCCATAGCAGCTCGGCATTCGCTCCGAAGGTGGCGACATCCACTCCCAAAAGCTTCCTCATGGCGTCTTTTGTTCAGGGTTTTAGGGTTTTGGGGTTTAGGGGTTCAGGGTTTAGGGGGTTAGGGTTTATGGGTTTAAGGGGGTTAGTTTAGGGATTTAGGGTTTATGGCGTCTTTTGTTTAGGGTTTTAGGGTTTTGGGTTTTAGGGGGGTTAGTTTAGGGATTTAGGGTTTATGGCATCTTTTGTTCAGGGTTCTAGGGTTTTGGGGTTTAGGGGTTCAGGGTTTAGGGGTTTAGGGCTTAGGGGTCTAGTGTTTAGGGGTTTAGGGTTTAGGGTTTAGGAGTTTAGGAGTTTAGGGCTTTTGTTCAGGGCTACCCAGATATTCCAATACCTCTTGATTAAGGGGTGTACCTTAAATTATAGGGGTCTTATGTTACGACTTAAGGTATGTTCCTCAATTAGGGGTACTGGGTTCTCTGGCTATCTTTGGGTTGCATGGAGGTTGGCAGATTTGGCAGGTTTTCTTTGGGCATGTCTACAGAGCTTCCTCAGGGTTTGGAGGAGGCTTGATGGCTTGTGTTCCTAATGAGTGCTTTTGTGTGTGTGTGTGTGTGTTTTTGTATGTTTTTTTTTTTTTTATGTGGGGCGGCTTTTGATTGTGTATGCCTCAGGAGATTCATTTCAGTGTCGAGAAGGAACCTCGAGTCGGCAGGTTGGGCTTGTCTTTGTTTTGGTAAAGAGGTGGGGGTGGGGTGGGGGGTGGGGGGTGGCCGGCTTAAATAGGGTTTATTTGGAAGCTGACACTCGGGTTTTGGAGTAGTCATAGACTCTCCCAGGAAAGCAGGCACACTCGGGTTCTGGAGTAATCACAGACTCTCCCAGGAAGGCAGGCTGACTGGTACCGGCGAGCTGGAGTAAGCCAGCGCGCTCAGCCCAGTCCCAGCCCAAGCCGCAACCCAGCCCAGGCCTCCTTTCTTTCTTGAAAAGGGGAGGACGCTCAAGAAGAAAGGGTGGAGCTCCCCCAATTTTCAAGTAGAGACATCTGGTCATCCCTCAGCATTTAAAATGAAAAGACCTCATGCTCCAAAACAAGAGGGGAGTCCCCAGGTGATTTGTGGCAACAGAAGAGAGCATCCTTCTTACCACTTGGTATGTCGCCTTTTCGTTTTAAGAAGATTGAAGAGACCTCGCTCCTAGCAAGAAAGGACAGAGCTCCCCTAGCTTCCAAAAAGAATGATTTTCTACCTCATCCTCCACAAGAAATCACTGAGAGCTTCCTCCCATGTAATGAGACGCAAGAGAGCTTCATCTCAGCCCAGCAGACAGGCCTCTCCAAGTTCACGAGAATTCAAAGGTCTCCGTTTACCCATCGGTCGGAAAGAAGATAGCTCCTTTCTCTCTTCATAAGGGGTTGGATCTTGCGCATTTCTTTTACCTTTTCAAAAGATGGAGAACAGCATACGCACAAGAAGAAGAAACCTCCTTTCTCTCTTGGCAGTGGAAAGAGATCCTGATTACTTCCCTTACCTTTTCAAAAGATGGAAAAGGGCATACGCTCAAGAAGAAAGGGCGGAGATGCCCCCACCCCTCAACGAAACCACGGAGAGAGTCCCTCCAAGTCATTCAGCTGATTTCGAGCAGCGAGCTCCTCCCTCTCTTGGTAGGTCTCCATCTCCTCTGAAGAGAATTGAAGGGAGCTCGCTTCTAGTCGAAGAAGACAAGGCTCAACGCATCTCCAGTTTCAAAAAGAACTGCGGCTGCCTCTTAGTCGACAAGAAGAGAGAGGAGCTCCTTGTCGTCCCCTCTTCCTCTTCAAGGGATAGAAGAGGGATAGCTTTCAAGAAGTGAGGACAGAGCTCGCTCAATCTTCAGAAGAAGAGTCTGATCCTCCCCTCATCCTTCAACAAGACATGAGCAGCCCTCTACCCCATGCTCTGAATTAGCTTTCAAAAAGACAAATCCTCTGCCTCATCCTCGACAAGAAGAGACTGAGAGCTTCCTCCAAACTAATGGGACAAAAGAAAGCGCCATCTCAACAAAGCAAACAGGCCGCTCCAATTTCATGAGAAAGAAGAGGGCACCGTTTACCCTTCGGCAAGAAGAGATCTCCTTTCTTTCCTGATATGGGGAGGGGATCCTGATTATTTCCGTCGCCGTTTTAAAAATGGAAGCGAGCATACACTCAAGAAGAAAGGGTGGAGCTCCCCCCAACTCAAGAAGAAAGGGTGGAGCTTCCCCCAATTTTCAAACAGAGACATCTGGTCGTCCCTCAGCCTTCAAAAGGAAATGACCTCATGCTCCAAAACACAAGAAGAGAGTCTCCAGGATATTCGTGGCAACAGAAGAGAGCATCCTTCTAGCAGAGAGCCTTTTTACCTCTTGGTATGTCGCCTTTTCGTCTTAAGAAGATTGAAGAGACCTCGCTCCTAGCAACAAAGACAGAGCTCCCCTAGCTTCCAAAAAGAAAGATTTTCTACCTCATCCTCCCCAAGAAATCACTGAGAGCTTCCTCCCATGTAATGAGACGCAAGAGAGCTTCATCTCAGCCCAGCAGACAGGCCCCTCCAAGTTCACGAGAATTCAAAGGTCTCCGTTTACCCATCGGTCGGAAAGAAGATAACTCCTTTCTCTCTTCATAAGGGGTTGGATCTTGAGCATTTCTTTTACCTTTTCAAAAGATGGAGAACAGCATACGCACAAGAAGAAGAAACCTCCTTTCTCCTTTTGGCAGTGGAAAGAGATCCTGATTACTGCCCGTACCTTTTCAAAAGATGGAAAACAGCATACGCACAAGAAGAAGATACCTCCTTTCTCTCTTGGCAGTGGAAAGAGATCCTGTTATTTTCTTGACGCTCAAGAAGAAACGGTAGGGATTCCCCCAACCCTCAACGAAAACACGGAGAGAGTCCCTCCAAGTCATTCAGCTGATTTCTAGCAGCGAGCTCCTCCCTCTCTGGTAGGTCTCCATCTCCTCTGAAGAGAATCGAAGGGAGCTCGCTTCTAGTCGAAGAAGACAGGGCTCAAAGCATCTCCAGTTTCAAAAAGAACTGCGGCTGCCTCTTAGTCGACAAGAAGAGAGAGGAGCTCCTTGTCGTCCCCTCTTCCTCCTCAAGGGATAGAACAGAGATAGCTCTCAAGAAATGAGGACAGAGCTCTCTCAATCGACAGAAGAAGAGTCCGATCCTCCCCTCAGCCTTCAATAAGACATGAGCAGCCCTCTACCCCACCCTCTGAATCAAGAAAGAAACCCTTCTAACTTCTCCATATTGCCACCACTTCCTCTCCAAGGGATAGAAGAGAAATATCTCTCAAGAGGTGAGGACAGAGCGTCCTCATTCCTAGTTATTCTTGGCAAGAGCAGATTTCCCTAGAGGAGATTTCTTATACCTTCCTCAGTCGCCAGCCTTCAAAAGAAAAGACCTCATGCTCCAAAGCAAGAAAACAGTCCCCAAAGGTTGTTCGTGGCAAAAGAACAACGCATCACGAGAAAGAAGGGAGCTCCGACTGCCTCTCTGGCGATAAGAAGAAAACTTCTTTCTCTGTTCGTCAGGAGCGACAGCTCCTGAACATCTCCTCCTCGAGAAAAAAACTTGGAAGGGAGCGTACGATCAGGAAGGAAGGATAGAGCTTTTCCAAATTTCAATCCTTGACAAGAGAAAGGCCGGTCCTCCCCGTGGCCTTCAAAACGAGACGAGAAGCCCAAGCCCTCTACCTTACCCTGCTGTGAAGCAGGAAGAGAGCTCACTCCAAGTTATTCTTGGTAAGCGACGAGAGCTTTATTTGAGCAGAGAGAGCCTTTACCTCTTGGTAAGTCGCTTTTATCTTAAGAAGATTGAAGAGACTTCGCTCCTAGCAAGAGAAGCCAGGGCTCCCCTTGCTTCCAAAAAGAAAAGTCTTCTACTTCATCCTCCACAAGAAATGATTGAGAGCTTCCTCCCATGTAGTGAGACGGGAGAGAGGTCCATCTCAGCACAGCAGACAGGCCCCTTCAACTTCACGAAAGACAAGAGAGCTCCATCTACCCCTGCGTCGGCAAGAAATTTTTTTCCTTGAAGTTCTGCAAAAAACACAGATAAAATCACAGATCACAAGGGTGTCGCCCCAAGATTTGTACAGACTCAGATCCCAAAAACCCAGATCGCAAGGGGTGTCCCCCTAAGGGTTCGTTGAAACAACAAATTCCAAAACAATAAATCGCAAGGGGTGTCTCCCTAAAGCTTTTTATAACAAATGAATTCCAACACCACAAATCGCAAGGGGTGTCCCCCCCAAGGTTTTGTAAGAACTCAGATCCCGAAATCACAGATCGCAAGGGTGTCTCCCCAAGGTTTTGTGAAAACTCAGAACCGAAAACCACAGATCGCAAGTGGTGTCCCCCTAAAGGTTGTTATAACAAATAAGTTCCAAAATCACAAATCGCAAGGGGTGTCCTCCTAATCCCTGCGAGCCGCGACCGAGCAGAAAGCCTGTAAATACCGCGTTAAAACAACGGCCAGGGACCCCACACATCTGCGGGCAAAATCTGGCGGAAGTGATCCGCCACCGAGCAAAAAGCTTGTAAATACCGCATTAAACAAAGGGCCAGGGATTTCACACATCTGTTGGCAAAATCTGGCGGAAGTGAGCAGTCGGTACTTCCGCCAGATTTTGCCAACACAGATGTGCGAAATCCCTGGCCCTTTGTTTAATGCGGTATTTACGGGTTTTTTGCTCGGTGGCGGATCACTTCCGCCAGATTTTGCCCGCAGATGTGTGGGATCCCTAGCCCTTGAAGTGGTGGGTGAGAGGGTGGTGGGAGGGTGTTTGGGAGGTAGGGTGGGCAGGAGGTGGAGGGAAGGTTGTGTAAGAACTCAGATCCCAAAATCATAGATCGCAAGTGGTGTCCCCCTAAGGTCTTGTGAAAACTCAGATCAGAAAACCACAGAGCGCAAGGGGTGTCCCCCTAATCCCTGCGAGCCGCGACCGAGCAGAAAGCCTGTAAATACCGCGTTAAAACAACGGCCAGGGATCTCACACATCTGCGGGCAAAATCTGGCGGAAGTGATCCGCCACCGAGCAAAAAGCCTGTAAATACCGCATTAAACAAAGGGCCAGGGATTTCGCACATCTGTTGGCAAAATCTGGCGGAGGTACCGACTGCTCACTTCCGCCAGATTTTGCCAACGGATGTGTGAAATCCCTGGCCCTTCGTTTAATGCGGTATTTACAGGCTTTTTGCTCGGTGGCGGATCACTTCCGCCAGATTTTGCCCGCAGATGTGTGGGATCCCTAGCCCTTGAAGTGGTGGGTGAGAGGGTGGTGGGAGGGTGTTTGGGAGGTAGGGTGGGCAGGAGGTGGAGGGAAGGTTGTGTAAGAACTCAGATCCCAAAATCATAGATCGCAAGTGGTGTCCCCCTAAGGTCTTGTGAAAACTCAGATCAGAAAACCACAGGGCGCAAGGGGTGTCCCCCTGATCCCTGCGAGCCGCGACCGAGCAGAAAGCCTGTAAATACCGCGTTAAAACAACGGCAAGGGATCTCACACATCTGCGGGCAAAATCTGGCGGAAGTGATCCGCCACCGGCCACCGAGCAAAAAGCCTGTAAATACCGCATTAAACAAAGGGCCAGGGATTTCGCACATCTGTTGGCAAAATCTGGCGGAGGTACCGACTGCTCACTTCCGCCAGATTTTGCCAACGGATGTGTGAAATCCCTGGCCCTTCGTTTAATGCGGTATTTACAGGCTTTTTGCTCGGTGGCGGATCACTTCCGCCAGATTTTGCCCGCAGATGTGTGGGATCCCTAGCCCTTGAAGTGGTGGGTGAGAGGGTGGTGGGAGGGTGTTTGGGAGGTAGGGTGGGCAGGAGGTGGAGGGAGTGTGAAGTGGGAGGAAGGGTGGGTGGGGGGGGGTTGGGACGCTGGGTGGGCGCTGAGGGTCGGTGGGTGGCAGGGCTGGGTGAGGGAGGGTAGGTGGGGTGGGGTGGTATTTAATTCCCGGCCCCATTTAAACAGTATAAATAATTGAAATCCTGGGGGAGGGCCCCGGCCAGGATTTAAATTATTTAAATTATTTAAATCCTGGGGCCCGGGGCCCCCGGGAACCCCCCCGGCCAGGATTTAAATTATTTAAATTATTTAAATTATTTAAATTATTTAAATTATTTAAATGGGGCCGGGAATTAAATAATTTAAATAATTTAAATAATTTAAATAATTTAAATCCTGAAGGGGAGGGGTCCCCGGGGGTCCAGGGCCCCGGGAATTAAATAATTTAAATAATTTAAATCCGGAGCCCTTCCCCAGGATTTAAATTATTTAAATTATTTAAATCCTGGGGCCCGGGGCCCCCGGGAACCCCCCCGGCCAGGATTTAAATTATTTAAATTATTTAAATTATTTAAATTATTTAAATGGGGCCGGGAATTAAATAATTTAAATAATTTAAATAATTTAAATCCTGAAGGGGAGGGGTCCCCGGGGGTCCAGGGCCCCGGGAATTAAATAATTTAAATAATTTAAATCCGGAGCCCTTCCCCAGGATTTAAATTATTTAAATTATTTAAATCCTGGGGCCCGGGGCCCCCGGGAACCCCCCCGGCCAGGATTTAAATTATTTAAATTATTTAAATTATTTAAATTATTTAAATGGGGCCGGGAATTAAATAATTTAAATAATTTAAATAATTTAAATAATTTAAATCCTGAAGGGGAGGGGTCCCCGGGGGTCCAGGGCCCCGGGAATTAAATAATTTAAATAATTTAAATCCGGAGCCCTTCCCCAGGATTTAAATTATTTAAATTATTTAAATCCTGGGGCCCGGGGCCCCCGGGAACCCCCCCGGCCAGGATTTAAATTATTTAAATTATTTAAATTATTTAAATTATTTAAATGGGGCCGGGAATTAAATAATTTAAATAATTTAAATAATTTAAATTTAAATCCTGAAGGGGAGGGGTCCCCGGGGGTCCAGGGCCCCGGGAATTAAATAATTTAAATAATTTAAATCCGGAGCCCTTCCCCAGGATTTAAATTATTTAAATTATTTAAATCCTGGGGCCCGGGGCCCCCGGGAACCCCCCCGGCCAGGATTTAAATTATTTAAATTATTTAAATTATTTAAATTATTTAAATGGGGCCGGGAATTAAATAATTTAAATAATTTAAATAATTTAAATAATTTAAATCCTGAAGGGGAGGGGTCCCCGGGGGTCCAGGGCCCCGGGAATTAAATAATTTAAATAATTTAAATCCGGAGCCCTTCCCCAGGATTTAAATTATTTAAATTATTTAAATCCTGGGGCCCGGGGCCCCCGGGAACCCCCCCGGCCAGGATTTAAATTATTTAAATTATTTAATTCCCGGCCCTGTCCCCGCCCGGGACCCCCAACCGGGTTTATTTGGAAGCTGGCTCTTGTTTATATATAAGGGATTTAGGTCACTGTTTCCCTATCTAGAGTGCAAGCACCAGCTTCCAAATAAACCCGGTTTAAGCCGCACACGGGGGTGGGGGTGGGGGTAGGGGTGGGGGTGGGGGTGGGGGTGGGGGTGGGGGTGGGGTGGAGGTGGGTTGTAGCGATCTTGGTCTGCCCAAATAGTAGGGTTTTAGGTCCCCCAAGCCATCCTGAGTATGGATTTTGTGATCGAAAGCCCCACTATTTGGGCACTTGGACGTGGACCTCAGAGGTTTGGTGCTCCGGATTCGGATTTGAGGTTGAGAGTTAGTGCGGTGAAAGTCCTAGGGTTTCGGGTTTAGGGTTGGGATGTTGGGTTTCTCTGTGGATTTCCATGAGAGCATATGGACTTCGGAATGCTACATGCGCAGGCGTCAAAGGCGTCCCTGGGTGTTCCACTTCATGGATGTAGGGGTAACAATCTCAACTCGCCCCGAGGAGGTGCGCATAAAACATGTTTGCGGAGGTCCCTATTGCCGAACAATAACCCCACAAGAAGGCAACCCAGGGACGACAAGGGGCACGAGGATTGATTATTCGGACCTCCTTGCATATTACACTCATAACTGTTCGCAAGGATCCTCTCGTCCACTTATCCATCTTCATGGAGGTTCGATGAAGCCCCTCCTGGGAAAACCCTTCCCCAAAATTCAAGGACTCTAAACCACTCGAGTCGCAACTTCGTCGAAAGGTCGCTGCCGTGATACTTGAGACCTACGGCAAAGGAGTTTGATTGACGCCCTACGCCCAGACTCCTGGGAGTATTCGGGCTCAGGATTCAGGGTTTAGGCATCAAGGTTCCGGGGTTTACTAGTTCATTGTTGAGATAGGATTAAAAATGTACATGTTTATTCCTTATTGGGTTTAAGTACCCATAAAAATGTAAAATGTTACCCAACAATGACAAAGTTTAGGGAAGCAGGCTACCGGGCTTAGGGTTTAGGATTAAGGTTTAGGGTTTAGGGTTAATCAATCAGGGGCTAAGGGTGTATAGTTTGCAGTTTCGGTCTTAATCTCTGGGCCCAAGCCCTAAGTCAGTGTGTGGAGTTCACGGTGCACTTGCGGATCTGCTCCCCTGGAAGCTCAATGACCCTGATCAAAGGCCAGAGGAACCCCCTGAACCCCTACAAGGCCATGGCTTTTGGGTTTCGGGGGGTTCTGACAGGGGCTGTTTGAGGTGGCTGTTGTTGAAGATGCACGTCCTCAGAATAACTACCGACCGAGTAGTTTTCCCTCGCGGTTCTAATCCGCTTGTAAGGAAAACTCTTCGTATGCTCTGAGCCCTTAGCTGACGCACGCGCAAGCGGAAACCTCAAAAGCTTTAGGGTTGTTGAAGCACTTCTCCTCCTACAAAACAAGAATATGTGCACTAACCCACTAACCCCTCAACCCTAAACCCGAAATGGGGTTCATGGTCCATACGGTTGATGATATAAATCCTGCATTACCTTAAAGACCCTAAACTATGGGAATGATGGTGTATTCCTTATTATGGGTAATGCAGGTTTTTTTATCATCCACCGTAGTATCATGGGAGTTGGAGACACACTTCCAGCATCCTCCGGCAACTGCTTCAGATTGAGGGCTGAGGCTGGCACAACCCTGAAGGGTTTAGGGTTTTTGAGGGTTTAGGGTTTTTGAGGGTTTAGGGTTTTTGAGGGTTTAGGGTTTTTGAGGGTTTAGGGTTTTGAGGGTTTAGGGTTTTTGAGGGTTTAGGGTTTTGAGGGTTCAGGGTTTTGAAAGTTCAGGGTTTTTGAGGGTTTAGGGTTTTGAAAGTTCAGGGTTTTGAGGGTTCAGGGTTTTTGAGGGTTTAGGGTTTTGAGGGTTCAGGGTTTTGAAAGTTCAGGGTTTTTGAGGGTTTAGGGTTTTTGAGGGTTCAGGGTTTTGAGGGTTGAGGGTTCAGGGCTTTGTTAGGGTTTTGGGTTTAGTGTTTAGGGGTATCCTGACTATCTCTAGGCTAGCTGCAACTACTGACAATAACACTTTCAACGATTTTGCGGTGTCTGTGCACAGACCCCACGGCCGACGGTTCAGCTCAAAAGTGCGCAGTGGTAGCTTGGTTCAGGGGTCCCTAACCCCTAAACCCTGGGTTTTTGGGGCTTGTAGCGCTTTTTCGAGGTCCCCAAGGAACACGTGGCCTTCGGAGGGGCTGGCAAGGGTGCCGGCCAGCACCTGCAAAGCGCTTTGAGGAGGAGAAACTCTCAAACTCCTCGATGAAACCGCACATAGAACTTTGACTCCTTTATGGAGGAATGGTAGTAATAGGGCTTAGGGTTTAGGGTTTTAGGGTTTAGGGTCCTTCGGTTAGTGTCTACAGCGCTTCAAGGCTTACGGGGCAAGCAAAACATGTGTTGGAGATTGTGAGACAAAAAACACTACCAACAAAGCAACACAAGTACTACTCTGCGTTTCTTGGGCCTTTGGTTTGGAGGTAACGTTTAAGGTACTGCTTGTATCTGCCAATATACCTTGGTAAATGTTCCAGGAAGATCCCTTGAGAGGAGATAGTGACCCATATGCTAGTAAAAGGGATGTTCTTGAAGGTATGCAACAAACATCTGGCTACGATCTGGGATACGAACCTTACACAGACATCCAACAATCCGAAAATGCTGAATCCGACATCCCGCCCTCAACTCTTTGCGCATACATAGTGAAATCGGTTTCTGCCCACACCATTCTGGCCACTCTCGGGCAAGCAATCGAAGGCATAAATCCAAGCAGCTTACATCTGCAATGGACTCTCGCACACGTTTCGCTGGTCAGTTTTTTTTATGAAACCCCAAACTTTAAAAACTATCGCACATCACACCCGGAAACAGATGCCGAATCCGAACATCCCAACACCCCAAACCTGACAGGGAACAACGGCCTTTGTTGAATTGCTGCAATACCCTGAGTCCTAAAAGCTTCTGTTTCAGGCAAGGATCAAGTTAAGGGAATTAACTTGACTTGTCCAGCATCGTAAGCGAACTACAGGTCAACCTACCTGTGGGGTTATACAGGGGTTTCCAGTACCCGTAAAGGGTTAAAGGCTACTTGCTCTCCGACTAAGTAAGCTCAAAGAAGCCCTGATGAGAATAGCTGAAGGTTCGGGGAGCAGTGGCACTATAAACCTAAATCCTGAAAACCGCTCAGCTCCACACCCTAAAAACCCTAAATACCCTAAACCCTCAACCAAACCCTCAAAACTCTAAACCCTAAATCCCCTAAACCCTCAAAACCCTCAAGCCTAAAATGGGCCTCGGCTTGCTCTGCCCCTGGCTTCCAGAGCCCGTAGACCATGCCTCCCTCGTGGCTCGCCACCTTCGGCTTTCGAAGCTCTGGGTCCCCCTACAAAGCTTGGCTGACTTCTGAACCCCTCCTAAACCCGAAACTTTTAACCTCCTTATTGAGTTCATATAGACACCCAAAAAGTTAAAGTCTAAAGAGCCAACCAGAAGAACGCCAAGAAAGGGCTCCAAAAAGGGATCGAAAGGGCTCTTTACGGGGATCTATAGGGGTACTATAAGGGTTTAGGGTTTAGGGTCCCCCTACCTTGGGTACTGCCCCCATACGGTACCAGTCAAAAATAGGGCTACCATTAAGGTCCTAAGATATCTACATTATGAGTATTATCCCACTGCTACTGAGTGGGGGCAGTACCCAAGCCCTACCCATAGGATCCATAGTAGTTCCTTTTCGGGATTACCTCATAGGTTCTACATATGAACCCCGAAAAGGAACTACTATCGAGCCGATGGGTAAACTGATAGCTGTACACCCTATCAAAGGTCCAGGCGTGTAGGGTTTAGGGGAATAAAGAGGCTTAGGGTTTAGGAAAACACCCTAAACCCTAAACCTCTGAATCGCGGGGGAGAGGCTTAGAAGTGCCCTGGGGCTTGTCATGGATGGTTTTGCAGGTTTGATGTGTAGGTTTTGAAGGGGGTGTATGATGTATGAGGGTTTGAAAGATTTTGACGAGGGTGCGACGGGTTGCTGCAGGATCTGTAGAGTTTTGGGGAAGTTTAGGGTTTACTTAACCCACCCAAGTAACAAATCTTTCGGGGCTCTTTATCATCATTTCCGGAGAATAGGACTTAAGGCGGCTATTTGGGGTTAATTAAAAGATGGGGCTTGATAGGCTGTAAAGGGTTTAGGGTAATAATTACACGGCTATCGTTAATTAAGCTTCGAGCCTCTCTGCTGTCAAGCTTGTGATAAGAGCATGCATATAATAATTGCTGAGGGTTCATGGATTTTGGAGGTATACTGAGCCGTGAACCCTGACTTCGAGGTGTTGTAGGTGAAGGAAGGCATCGTCATGGCCTCTCCGACAGCGTAGATGCTCGCGTCACTGGAGGACCTCATGTAGCAGTCCACAGCCACGCCACCACGTTCGCCTGAGGTTGGTTCAGGGTTTTACGGTTCCTTTATGTGCTAGTGCGTGGCTTGCCACATCCTGTTCCTTTGTAGGTTCTGATCAGGAACCCTAATATCGAATCTATAGGGACCCTACGAAAAAGGTAGATCTTTGTAGGTAAACTGTTGAGGCGTTAGGGCTTAGAGTTTGAAGGTAAGTTCATGATTTTCAATACGCCTGCCATCTTCTTCCATTACTCTGATGAGAGCACTCGACGTGGTTCTTTTTCGAAGATTCGACCCAGAACTCACATGCCTCAAACAACCCGGATAGCAGAGCCCTCTGAGGGTTCAGGGTCTGTAGCTCCCAACCTTAAACCCTAAACCCCTAAACCCTTAAACCCTAAACCCTAAACCCTTAAACCCTAAACCCTTAAACCCTAAACCCTAAACCCTCAAACCCTAAACCCTTAAACCCTAAACCCTTAAACCCTAAACCCTAATCCGGAATCCATCAATGAAACCCTGAGGTTTCCGTACAAACGTTCGACTTGGGGAACTCTAGCCCGACAGTGTCTCTGAGATCCTTTGGGTCGTTGTCAAAATTATGGCCCCTTTTGGGGTACCCTTATTGTTAGGTGCCGTATTATAATAAGGACCCAAAAAAGAACTTAATTTGACAACCACCCATTGTCTAAGGTTTAGGGTTTTGGGAATACTGCGCCAACATGCTCTAAGGGCCCCTGTAAGAAACCTGAGACCTTCTAGCGAACTATAAACGCATGAATCACGGAGCAACAAACCTATATATATATATATATATATATGTACACACATACATACATACATACATACATACATACATGCATACATACATACATACATACATACATACATACATACATATATGTATATATACTATATTATATGTATATATACATATGTGTGTGTGTGTTCGGGTTTAGGCTGCTGAGGGGTTGAGGGCTTACCCATAGCTAGACCGCCAATCTGCATCTGTATGTCCGCGTTTCCACAGAGCCCCAACGAGCCTTAACCCCAATGCCCCGAAAGCCAAGCCAGCCAATAAACCTAAACCACTACACTTTAAGCCCCAAGCCCTCAAACTTAGAAGCCCGAACCCCGAGCCCCCCCATTCCTAAACCTCTGCAACCTAAGCTATGAAAGTTTAGAATAAAAAGTCAAGCGCTAAAGAAACCGAACCTTGACAGGGGAACTGAAAGTCTGACGGAGGTGCCCAGATCCAAACCACACTCGCGTGCCAGCTCGTCGCGCGGCCTGTGCAGTTGGGGGCTCTCTTTTGTGGGGCTTAGGTTAGGGTTTACAGCTTAGGGTTTGGAGGCTCTTTGGGCTTGCGGCGTAGGATTCAAGGATTTGTCATTAAACCCATCGCTTTTGACTTTGTAGTGGTTCTGGGTCTTAGCATAGGAATTTGCTCTTAGTGTCTGGTGCTCTCAGGGGGATCTACGTCTCTCAGTTGGCCTTGCCAGGCTTGGAACCCGCTTATACACTATATAGGTATAGGGAGCCTTGGGGGGGTTCGGGGTTGAATGGCTTAAGGTTTGGGGCTCCAGGGTTACGTGGTTTGGTTGGGACGCTTTCGTGTGTTCAGCTGGGATTTAACACTCCAAAGTTGAAGGATGCCGCACTGCGTAAGCCTTAGGATCCTAAATTCGCAGCTTCCGTCGCTTAGCAAACCTAACAACCCCCCGAGCTACCCTGCTGAACCCTGTGTCATGAAGTCCTAAAGCGCCCGAAGTACCAAAACCTAACCGAAAGAACCTACTATAAGGGCCTTAAGACTTTCCTATACTATCTGGGGGTTCCTTATTATGATTATTAAGTATATAGTTTAATGGGGCCCAAACATTATTATTCTAATTGCTAAGGGCCCTATAGTACACTCCCAACTGACGGTTTTCGTCCCGAGGCTGTGAATCGTGGGGGCGCTCCATGAGTAAAAAGATGCTGCAGCTACAACTCAGGGTCTATGACCCTTATAGGAAACACATTGAGTTGCGGTTGTAGGTAGTGAATATAGTACAAGGGCCAAGAGTTGCTGGAGGTCTCAAACATTATGTCATGTTGTTTGTGACCCCCAACTCGTCATGTCATACCCTAGACCCTAAGCTTGAAACGACTGTAAACGAAACCGTAAACCCGAACAACCAAGCCCCAAGCCTTGCCCTAAAACCTACATTAGGGTTTAGGGTTTAGGGGGTTAGGGTTTAGGGGTTTAGGGGTTTAGGGGTTTAGGGTTTAGGGGTTTAGGGTTTAGGGTTTAGGGGTTTAGGGTTTAGGGTTTAGGGACTATGTCTCCTGTGCAGGTCGCTAATTGAAATTTGGGGAGGGTCTCCATGCAAAGGCCCGCCTAACGCCGAGGGACGTTCTCAATGAATTGAGCCCGAAGCTCTACCCCCCAGCATCCATACTGTTGGTGGTATAAAAATCCTGCATTACCCAGAATAGGGATATAGCATTATTCCCCACAGTTTAGGGTCCTCAATGGAATGCAGGATTTGTATCATCAACCGTACCATATACTTTGGCTTGAACGTAGTCCTTGTTTAGAAACTTGCAGGCACAAGTATATAGCATCCGGGCACATTTACCCCCAACGGCTATGCCAAAACCCAACCCAACACCATAAACTAGCCCTGTAATTACTCCTCAGGCCTTAATCAGGCAGCGAGCTTCATACCTTTGAGTGAGTGAAATTCCTGAGACTGTAAGAGGGTCCTCAGTATGGCACCAAGCTTGTATAAGGCTGCATCATTCAGGCGTACTGGTCTTTCTGAGTGACTCTGAATGCAAAGCTTGAAGCATGCGCGGGTACGCTCGTGCTGGCCTGATTCCGCAGGAAACCACCAGGACGTCGACTTCCAAGAAAACTTCCTTTTCAGGATTGCAGTTCGGCATCTATACAGTTCTGGTATAACTCAGGGTGATTTAGGGTTTTGCGGTTTAGGGTTTAGCGGCATAATATACACCACAACGTTCTTGAAACTCTAAAGTGCGCTGTATTCAATCCTAACTCCCCAAAGCCTCCTCGAGTTATCCCCGACAGCCGTCCGAAACCTGCAAGACCATGGCATCTTACAACTTGTGAATTCGAGACTTCTTGTATGTGGTCATCTGAGGGCTCCGCAATGGGATTGCGAGATCTGTGTGTACTGGCTTGCGGGAGTCTTCTGTCATGGTGAACCTCTTGTCTGGCTTGTACAGCTTCAGTGGTCCCATCCCCACAACACCCCGAATGGCTCTTACACTTCGTCGCGGTTGGAAAGACTGCTCGAGCAAACTGTATCAGTAGCTCAGGGTGCAGGCACCACTTGTTGGTTGCGAAAGATTCCGACTTAGCTATATTATACAGCCCAATCCCTGAGCCCTGAACTAAACCCTACACGCTGCCCAACAAAACCCACGTAAGGGTTTATTGTGGCAGGCTTACTCAACGCGTCCAAGTACTCCCTAAAGAGAGTGCTTTGACTTTGGGTTCGTTTTGATTACCAAAACCTCCGGGTTCAGGGTTCAGTAATCAATGCTGTGGGAGTAGCGGCTGAGCGTTGACAATTCAAGGTTCGGAAGCCCCAGTGCATGGTAAAGGTTTCGGGTTGAGGGTTTGTCGTGGAACGGCGCATAGGCGAAAATATCCTGCGACAGTGCAATTAGTGCCGCCCACCCACGCAGGTGGGTGGCCGAGCCTTGAGTTTAAGGTTTGTAGAAAGTGTTACCCATAGGCCTTATAGTCATTCCTTTTTGGGATTACCTTATAGCATTCTGCATATGGGAGTTTCCGACAAGGGGACCCTCCTACAGTACCCTACATAGTAGGATCCTGATTTTTAAGGACACCAAAATAAGAAAGGCCCTGATTTTCGGAATTCCCCATATGAGCCCCAAAAGGAACCACTATGGGGCCTATGGGTAGCCCAGGTTGTGCTTTTGGGCTGGGTGTGCGGGGATGCGGGGGCCGGACCCAGAGAGCCCAATACCCCCTAAACAAGGAATATGGCTTTTATTATATAGGGCTTCATAGTATGATTCAAGCTATATTCCTTAATTACGGGGTGTTGGGCTCTCAGAGGGGAGCTGGTCTGGACTTTTCGTATAGGCTGGCTGGGCTTGGAGCTCACTGGACCGGTGGGGTTGGACTGGGCTGGCTGGGAAGCGGCTGAAATTGACGGCTTGTGGGGCTCCGGTGAGCAAAGACACACCACTTCTGTTCATGTCGTTCTTGATTAAGTAGGCCAGGGTTTAAGGGTTTTATGGCTATGAAAGCTTATGTCCTACCCGTAAGGGTCCAAGTGCCCAAATAGTATGTGGGTGATTGTCAATATTCTGGTCCCTTTTTGGGTCCTTATTATACTACGGCACCTATTATTAAGGGTACCCAAAAAAGGGACCATAATTTTGATAACCAGGACTAGATAAAGCCAAAATATTTTGACCCTAGGAGCCCAAGGCTTCTCAAACCATATGCCACTTCAGAAACAAGCTCAGTAATCCAAGATAGAGCCTGAAGTGTTTTGAGTTCCGGAATTATAGTTCGAGAAAAAAGTCGCACCTCGAACCTCTACAGTAGAAGCCAGAAAGTTGGAATATCATTATCGTAACCCCTTTAAGGTAATTTATAGGGGATCCTACCATTAATCCATATTCCAACTTTCTGGAGTAGCCTTTAACGCTTGAAAAGAGGGCTTGCCGGCCTGGTCATCCTCCAGGAACTTCACGTACCTCACGCCGTCTTCACCATTGGACAGGATCTCCTGAAGCTTCACGCCCGTCCTGACCTCAGGGCTCTGCAATGTGATAGTTGGCATCATCGGTACTACGTCACTTGCTAATATAACCAGCATCAACAACCAAGATACGAGCCTGCATCATACTTCAATATCATCCTTGCTAGTAGCAACATCATGGCTTCTACAACAGTTACTATTGTCGCTGCAGGAGTAGGGGTAGAAGTGACAGTGGAGGTAGCAATAGGAGCAGGAGCCGCAGCAATAGCAAAAGCGGTAACAGTAGCAGTAGGAATACAAGTAGGATTCGGAGTAGTAGTAGTAGTAGTAGTAGTAGTAGTAGTAGTAGTAGTAGTAGTAGTAGTAGTAGTAGTAGTAGTAGTAGTAGTAGAAGTAGTCGTAGTAGTAGTAGTAGTAGTAGTAGTAGTAGTAGTAGTAGTAGTAGTAGTAGTAGTAGTAGTAGTAGTAGTAGTAGTAGTAGTAGTAGTACGCGCAAAATGTTCCTTGCCCGCGCACTTGGTCTGCGGACTTCGGGAGGGCTACATTTTGCTGGCAGGCGCGTACAAACCCGGCTGTGCGCAGAGGAGGGCAATCGTTGCCCCAGTTACGCGGACGAGCAATTCGCGTCTTAAAAGGACGACAGTCTCGAGGATTCTACGTGCGCGATATTTGCATTTGTGCTCGGTCTTTGCTGCTGACGACGACAGTCTAAGTATTCAGGGGGATTTTGTTGTTTAGGGTTCAGGGTTTAGGGTTTAGGGGATGATGATGATGACGATGATGCTGGTTTGGGGTTTGGGGTTCAGGGTTTAGCATGACGAGGTTGATGATGATTCTACGTTTTGGGTTGATGGTGCTGGGCCCAGGAGTGCACACCGACCATTTTGGGCGTAGTAGCAGTAGTAGTAGCAGCAGTAGTAGTTGTCGTCGTAGCGGTGGGCGTAATAGTCGTAGTAACTCGTGGCATGTCGTAGTTGTCGTGTTAGTCGTGCCTAGTAGGACGATTCGGAGAACTTGCAAGTTAGCTTTACTGCAGCCTGTGCAACCCCAAATCCTGGGTCCCAACCTTCGAGGGCTGTGTGTTTGTTGAAGAGGGGCGGTTTTAAGGTTTAGGCATTTTTGTGCATAAAGCTTAGGGTTTAGAGTTCAGGGCTTGCGGCTTGCCTCCACCCCTCAAGCACTGGAATGAACTCCTATAAACCTCAAGACATATGCTGGCATAACACCAAAAGGAGAGGATAACAACTTTGATACGTGAGCCCCATAAGCCCTCAAACAGTACCAACACAACACAGCTACCACTATGGGCGAAACAGTAAATCTTCTAGCATCCGGTAGCAAAAACAAAAGAAACACATGAAATACTAAACTACCTACAAGCCAGTTACAACTAAACAACAACTGCTAGAGCACAAAACCCCGGACCCTAAACTCTGGAAAACCCAGAGAAAACCCCCCCCTTCCTGCAAACCTAGTTAACAGTCCCCAACCTGCCAGGCCGTACCCAACCCCAACAACACTACAACCCAGAGACTCCAATATCCCTTAATTAAGGAACATACCTTAAACTATAGTAGGATCCCTTATATGATTTGAGGAATATTCCTTAACTAAGGGATATTGGAGTCTCTGGGAAGGATTCCTTCAAGCGTTTCTAGAGTTGCCAGAGGCGTTCTTTTCGGTGGCGTCATGGCCTTGGCTGAAGGGTTTGGGTTCCTTATAGAGCCCTGATAGATCCCTCTAAGGATCCCTTTAAGGAACCCTAGGTATTCCTTAATTAAGGGGTATGGGGCTCTCCGGGCTTGGATTTGCAGAAAACACTGGAACCAGGTCCGGCACCTCCAGGCCCAACTTCTCCAGCCGCTTTGCAAGCAGCCGCCCTTCTAGGGTTCAGATTCAGCGACTCTGCTCATTAAATTATACGGTTCAGGATTCAGGCTACTCTATGTTCGTTTTGGGATGGAAGGGGGGCTTGGATGGCCTTGGGTGCTGTAGAAGACGACCGCGGTTTCGAGGGTCAGGGTGCTCGAGCGTATCGTATCCGAAGAGCCTGCTGCCCCTACTTTTTTCTGCTTTTTTTGTCCAAGGCTTCAAGTTCCCAGACCCCCGGGAGGATCTAGAAAGTAGATCCCCTAATTTGGGGCCCTATACTACTAAGGGTAGTTTATAGGTCCCAGGCTTCACGTTCAGGGCTCCTTCGATAAGGAATGCCCACCAATTGCAGTGGGGTCTTGAACATGATTGAACGCACAACATCCCTTTCTCAAGGAGTATCCCTGAAATTATAGTAGGCCCCCTAAATAGCATATGCTTTAAGGTATATGGGAGTTTCAGTTAAAATAGGGGTCCCTAAAATAGTACCCAAAAAAGTAGGATTCTTATTATAAGGACCCCAAAATAAGGCCTCCCATACTGCTTCATTCAAGCATGTTGGGAGGTCGGGGCACCTAGTGAGGTTGGGGCTCAGCATTCCAGCTAGCTTTGAGCTGTGGGCTTTGTAGTGGGGATTGCTCAAGGCTTACCTCAATGGTTGTGGGAATTACGGGGGAATTGCAGTAAAACTAGCTAGAGTCTAGAGGATCATGAGACCTAGTAAGTAGGGATGTAAGTACCTTAACTATGCCTATAAGTAGACATAGCTATGGTTATCTTACTTATACTGCTACGGCTACTACCGCTGCTGACGCCCTCCTACTCTCGTCCTACTCCTCATACCGTTACTGCCTCAACACCCCGTCTCACGTGTTGCAAATGAAAGGTCTGGCCTGCGACCTTGTCCAGCTGCGCTGACATGAGGATGGGCGCCGCTTCTAGGACCTCGAGTACTAAAACATATGGAGTATCAGGTGACGGATGGAAATTAAGTAACGCTTCACGTGCCCAAACCAACATTACCATAAGATGCTAACCGTTTCTTGGGCTCTCCAGACAAGGTGCTGTAATGCAAGGTCTAGGAAGATTGGGGGTTGAGCTGTTACACGACGGATGCTATGCTGAGACCCTCAACAACTGGAAGCATGGAGACTGAATAGTTTCAGTTGCGCTCTTTCAATCATTCCGAACCCAGCACCCTAAATCCTAGCCCCCCGTGAATATTATGTTCAGATAATCGCATGCACCAAGCCGATTCCTGTATACGAGCCCTATGTACCTGCATGTTTAGAGACTCTCTCGTCGCGCTTATCATATAGAAAAAACATACTTATACACATAATATGTCGCTACATATAGTATAAATGAAACTACACACATATGTAAGTATATACCTTGTTGGTTTGTTAAGGTGGGGGGCCGGGCTGAAGAGCTTGCCGGGTCCAAGCTGCAGTAACCTTCATCTTCAGGTCCAAGAGCGCCTCTCGGTTTCCATCTTTCATTCCCTACTAGGAGGATCGTAGGACTTAGTAAGTACACTAAGTACACATTTAAAGTACCGTGATAAGTAGATATAACTTGCATTCCTTACGGCTCCAGCATTCCCTACGGCTCCAGGTACCAACAAAGTACGGTTTGGGGTTGAAGGTTTGGGGTTTAGGGTTCGTAGGACTTAGTAAGTATTGCTTTTTTAAGGGAGCTTGGGTTTAGGGTTACATGGTTTGTCCAATTGATGGGTTTACGTTTAGGTTTCAGGATCTAGGCTTAAGGGCATCCCGGCTGGATTTTCCTGCATTTGTTAATGATTCCTGTTAAGCCCTGAACACATATGGGTTTCCGATAATTAGGGGTACCTTGTTTTAGGGTCCTTATAATAAGAATCCTACTATTTAGGGTACTATATCCAGGTCCCCTGTTTTCAGAAGCTCCCATATGGGGGTTGGAGCTTCGGTCTCGTTCTCAAGAGTATCTGGGCTGCCTGCCCTGGACATCAACATTGAACGCTGCATAACCAATCTGACCGAACATGTTTCACCATCACCGTCATCACCACGTTAAACCGTAATCCACATAAGGAGTTTGAAAACGGTTTTACAAGGTTCAGGGAAGCCCTGGACCCTAGCTCCACTAAAGAAAACCCCAAATAACGGTGAAACTGTAACCCCTTAACCCGCAACCTAAAGGCAATAGACCATAAACCCTACCAAAAAACCCAAACCCATCCCAAGACCATAAATCAAACTCTTAACCCCTAAACCTGGCACTCTGAATCTTGACCTGCACCGTAACCCCTTCGTAGAACCCCAACACTGTAACCTAAACTCTCAATCCTTGACAGGCCCTTCATTACAGAACCCTGAAAGAACCCTAGAATCATCCTAGAGATCCCCTAAAGGACCCCTTAAAGAACCCTAGAATCATCCCTAGAGATCCCCTAAAGGACCCCTTAAAGAACCCTAGAATCATCCCCTGAGATCCCCTGAAGGATTCCTCAAAGAATCCTAGAAGCATACCTTACCCACAGGGTCCAAGTGGGGGGTCCCTGTCCAAACCATACTAGCAAGTCCTACCAAAGAAACCCCAACCCTTTGACTAAACCTTAAACCCTTTGAGTTAAAGCAATATGCTAAACCCCAAACCCTAAACCCCAACCCCTCAACTCCGAACCCAAATGAGAGTTCCCGAAATCCCCAAACCCCATAGATCCCTTATAGCAGCCCTTAAAGGATCCCGACAGATCCCCTAGAGGATCCCTTAAAGGATCCCTATACTATCGTATCCCTGTAGGATCCCTCAAAGGATCCCTAGAGATCCCTAAAGGATCCCTTAAAGGATCCCTAAAGGATCCCTTAAAGGATCCCTAGAGATCCCCAAAGGATCCCTATCGATCCCTAAAGGATCCCTTAAATGATCCCTAGAGATCCCCAAAGGATCCCTTAAAGGATCCCTAGAGATCCCTTAAAGGATCCCTAGAGATCCCTAAAGGATCCCTTAAAGGATCCCTAGAGATCCCCAAAGGATCCCTTAAAGGATCCCTAGAGATCCCTTAAAGGATCCCTAGGGATCCCTAAAGGATCCCTTAAAGGATCCCTATCGATCCCTAAAGGATCCCTTATATGATCCCTAGAGATCCCCAAAGGATCCCTTAAAGGATCCCTAGAGATCCCTTAAAGGATCCCTAGAGATCCCCAAAGGATCCCTTAAATGATCCCTAGAGATCCCCAAAGGATCCCTTAAAGGATCCCTAGAGATCCCTTAAAGGATCCCTAGAGATCCCCAAAGGATCCCTTAAAGGATCCCTAGAGATCCCCAAAGGATCCCTTAAAGGATCCCTAGAGATCCCTTAAAGGATCCCTAGAGATCCCCAAAGGATCCCTTAAAGGATCCCTATAGATCCCTAAAGGATCCCTTAAAGGATCCCTATAGATCCCTTAAAGGATCCCTAGAGATCCCGAGAGCGCCTTGGCGGCCTCGAGGCCCAGGAGGCCTCCGCCGATGACGGCGGCGCGGCGCCGGCCTTGGGACCTGGGCTCCCGTACTTAGAGGAACATGGCTCCTTAAGGGGATCTATAGGGTTCCTCAAAGGGACAAAAAGGGTTCCTTAAAGGGATCTATAGGGTTCCTTAAAGGGATCTCTATAGGGTTCCTTAAAGGGATCTATAGGGTTCCTTAAAGGGAGCTATAGGGTTCCTTAAAGGGAGCTATAGGGTTCCTTAAAGGGATCTATAGGGTTCCTTAAAGGGATCTATAGGGTTTAGGGTATAGAGTCTACTTAGAGGATCATGGGACTTAGTAACCATAGGGGGTTATGGGTCCATCGAAGGGATCTATAGGGGTACTACAAGGGTTTAGGGTTTTGGGAGCTGGGCGGAAAGGGCACCGGCGCTTTTTGAGGATGTCCTTGGGTTTTGGGTTTAGGGTTAGGGTTTAGGGTTTGGGGTTTACTGCTTTTTGAGGGTTCCTTTAAAGGGAACCTTAGAGGGAACCCTAAGGGCTTCCTTGCAGGGCTCCTTTAAAGGAGCCTTTGAAGATGCCCATGAAGGGCTCCTAAGGTTCATTTAAACGACACCTAAAGGGTTCCTTTAAGGGATCCTTAAAGGGTTCCAGGAACACTTAAAGGGAACCCCTGAAGGAACGCTTATGGGCTCCGTGGAAGTTGAAGTAGCCCACCCCTCTGAGGCTTCCTTGAAAGGAACACGGCAAATCAACCCTTCCATCAACCCTTAATGGGCTACTTTCAAGGAAGCCTGCAAGGAACCTTTCAGCGAACCTTTAAAAGTTCCCTTAGGGTTTAGGTTTTAAGGGTTTCGGAGTTCTACACCCTCAGACTCAATCTCGAACTCAAAACCCTCACTTGCCTGGCGATGATTGCATCCATGTCCTCAATAGTCCTGTGTCACACTTTTGTTTCTTTTTGTGAGGGCTCATAGCACTGGAAGTTAGGGTTCGGGATTAAGACCTTGGGGTTCAGGGTCAAACTAACCTTCTTAAAGACTTCATATTCCGTGTCCGACTTTTGGGGTTTATGTGGTTTAAGACTACACTGTCATGAAAGCTTCTGAACTCCCACAACGGGAGAAAGGACTTCTCACGCAAGAAACGGTAGCACCGTTTGTTTCTTGTCGTCAAGGTGTCTTAGGATATGGGTAGTTCTCTAAATTAGGGTCCCAATTCAAGTACCCAACATAGTAAGGCACCATTATATACAACAGGGATCTACCGATACGTCTTGGGTCTTGGTGGCTTTACACAAGCCTCCCGACAGCATTTGAGACCCGAAGGATTACGGGGTCTAGCGTTCCGAGGCTCAAAGCCGACAGGGAGGTTCCAGGCTTCAGAACAAACGGTACAAGATCACCGTGTAGAGTGGAGACGATCTGGGACTGGCGATTGTAGAACGGCTGGAAAGATGTAGATCATACAAGAAGTTAATGACATCTGAAGAGCCTCGGAATATCGAAACCATAAACCCCAATCACTAAACCCTGACCCCAATGTCAGATGAGATTTCAGAGCGGGCAGTCCTGTACGTGAAGACGCCCGGTGTTGAAGTCTTCAAGCCAGGTACAGGAGGGACGAAGGGGGAGCTCCCTGTGGCTAAAACCAACCTGAGCGGCTCGACGTGGGTCGGGTTTAGGGGTTTAGGGGCTTAATTAGGGTTTAGGGTTTCGGGAGTTTAGAGCTTAGGGGTACTAGGGTTTAGGGAGCTGAAAGTTTAGGGCTTGCGGTGTAGGGTGTAGGGTTGTGGAGGGGCTGGTGTAACGGGCAAGTGTTGGGACTTACATTTAGGTGCTTCGGTCGTGCAGGGTTTAAGGTTCCAAACCCAAGACTTCAGGTGAGCTTCTCAGCGTACTTCTCTAGATAACAGGCTCGATATATTTGGGCCTTAATGCGGCCTTACAAATTGGGGCCCATTATACGATGCTTATAATCAGGAGCACCCCAAATAGTATAGGTAATTGTAGGAAGGCCCCTATACTATGTCTGCATGGGGTTGGGAGGGCCATCGACCGCCGATGCTTCGGAGACCCTCTTGGAGTCATATGCCCGGGCCAATCCTTGAGGATCCCTTTTAGCAACCCACTAAGTGAGGGGATGTATATGGGTGGTTGTCAAAATGATGATCCCTTTTTGGGTACCCTAAATATTAGGTGCCGTACTATAATAGAGGGTATAGTTGAGGGACCATAAGCTTGACAACCACCCATATGGGAGCTTCTGAAAATTTGGGGCCGGGAGGGTCCTAAGGCGCACCCTCCGGCCTCAAACCCAACACACAAGCACAAACCGTTCCGAACCTTGCCAGGACCCCCCCAAGGGCCCTGTAATAGAGCCATAAGGCTCATGGTCCCTAATAGTGGGTATTTGGAGAATAAAGGGTAGTTGGGCGGTCAAGGTGAAGATCAATTGGGGTTTAGGGATAAGGTTTCGCGATTCTTGGTTGACCGAGACTGGGTAATGGGTGTTGGAAAGTAAAGTTTCCGGAAGACCCGGAGTCAACAGCAAACCGACCGCCGTTAACCCTAAAACCCTATAAGCCCTACCTTAACCCTGAATATCCTACCTTTTTAGGTTTCCTTATTATGATTTCCTTATATAAGTCCTTAAAAAGGTAGGTTATTCCGGGTTAAGGTAGGCCCTAGCGTCCTAAAGCCCTGAAAACCCTAAGCACGTACACCCCATAAACTCTGAGCCCCAATTAAAACCTAACCAAGGCACTCATCGTACTCCAGCTCCCCGGAAGCGGAGTCACCCACATAGGCCACCCCTCAGCACGTCAATGCCAAAACCACAAGCCCGAATAAACACAACGCCCCAAGCTCTAGTACCAGACCTACCAGTGGGCTTTTCGGCACATGGTACACCCTACTCTTGGTTCGATAGAGTCAGCATGGGGTCCTAAACGCCACCAACCCCAAACCCAGAGAGCCCAACACCCCTTAATTAAGGAATATGGCTTAAATGATATGGGGCTTCGTATTGAGATTTAAGCTATATTCCTTAATTAAGGGGTATTGGCCTCTGATCTGGGAACCTTAAACAACAACTCTCTAGGCTCATGCACATCACCATAGGCCTTATAAACCGTAAACACTAAACCCTTTAAACCCTAAACCAGTAACCCTTTAAACCCTAAACCCTTTAAACCCTAAATCCTAAACCTTTTAAACTCTAAACCCTAAATCCTAAACCCTACATTCAGCCTGGAGAGGTTCAGGTCGACGAAAAAGGTCTACAAGACTGAGGGGCTCAGTGGCCAGGAACTTTTTGCGTTTGAGCCCTTGCAGCATCTTCGAGGATGCATTGCTCTCCAAGAGGGTTCATATGGGTGGTTGCCAAAATTATGGTCCCTATTTGGGGTACCCTAAATATTAGGTGCCGTACGATATAAGGGACCCGAAAAGGTACCACAATTTTGACAACCACCCATATATACTGCCATTATGGACTTACGCCCCCAAAACCATTACGAGGATGGTCTTTTGGGATCTAACTCCGTAATGGTAGTGTGTATGGTCCCTGTGGTTAGAAGGTCAGCAATGAAGAGATGTGTGGAAATCCCCCCAAACAGAAACCATAAGCCAAAACAAGGAAGAGTAAAACAGTCCTGAAAAGCCTGACAGTTTAGTGTAGTTTAAGGGCTTGATCTAAAATTTACAAGGCCTGATTGTTAACCAGGCATTGGTATAGGGGCCTTGTCTTGGTATAGGAGTACAAGACTGGTTACGACCTTACACTAAAGAGTTAGGATATATGGGTGGGGTACTAGAGCTAGGCTACATAGCATCTAGGCAGAGGAGACACGCTTCCGAAGACGGTCGATGTGCGTGGCGCGCGCCAAGATCACCGATACGTTCCTTAAGCACAGCAGTTGACTAATATGGGGGCCTCAATAGTTAGAAAAGGGTTTGGGGGCACATTATATACTGTACTTATAATAAGGAACCAACGACATAGTATTGGTAATTATTTAGGCTCCTATGTTACGGCTCCGGAGCTCAGGCTTCGGTGTTATCATCAGGAATTCAGGGTTTTGTGGGTGTCAGGGCTTCCGTCAGGGTCAAGGGGTTGGGTTCAGGACATACGTGCTGCAGGGTTTGAAGAACGAAGGTTCGTATCGTCGAATCACAAAGATCCTCGTGTGAATTGCGGCTTGTTCCTTCAATCAAGGCGTTTAGGGTTGCTGGCATCCCTCTAAGTAAGGCTTAAGAGTTGAGGGTTTAGGGGTTTAGGGCATAGCGGGGTGCCGCTATGCAATCAGCATCCGAGCCGATCGCCCATGTCGACTATCGAAGCTGTTGAGACAGCGCCCACCCGGGCTTGCTACTGTTAACTAGCGCTGCCCTATGCCGACAACCCTAAACCCTACACCCATATTGAACTCTAAACCCCAAATCTCAAAACCACGCTGGGGCGGTTGAGATTGACTTTGTCTGGGTCTGTGAGTTCAAACTCGGCCGTCAAACACGCATCCCATCCCTACTGCAGGCGCAGTTAAAACGATCGTTTAGGGTTTATAGGGTTTAGGGGGCCTGGCAAGGAGGTCATCAGCTTAGTTACAAGTACTTAACGATAACTTTACGTCCACAATACCTGTGACTCTGCATAAGTATTAGTTACACTAAGAAGCCCACTGGACCCCCAACTACCCTCCAATTCACCCCAATTACCCACTATTAAGGACCGTAAGAGCTCTATGAAAGGGCCTGTGGGGCGTCCTGGCCTAAAGCCCTTAATTTAAGGTCTTCCGTATGAGAACAGCATCACGTTGCGAGGAACTTTCGGAGGCGCGCAGGATACGGTAAACCATGTTTGAATAAACACGGTTTAGGGTTTAGGGCTTAGGGGTTCAGGGGTTTAGGAGTTTAGGGCTGTAGTTCCATCAAATTATGGGGCATCGGGCTCCCTGATTACATATTCTTCCCAGAGACCGTACGAGGAGTGCGTCTGAGGGAATAGTAAACTCAAACCCACGGGCCAACTCTAACTAGATGAAGGTACGAGGGTACATAAGTGCCTCACAGAAAGCTACCTGTACGGAACCTTTCGGGCAATTCTCAAAAAGTGAAGAAGAATGTTCAGGGGGTACGATTCAGGGTCAAGAGTTTATGAGAAGACTCTACACCTTCGGGTGCTTAACATCCAAGGGCTGTTGAACCAGCCATCAAGACTTGGTGTCCCAAAGTACGGAGCTGTCGGGGGGGGGGAATAAATCCAGAGTGCCACAAGACCCCGTGCGAGGTACGTCTAACACATGTTCATGTGTTCTAGCCTAGCACTCCATGATGGGTAAAGGAATCTTGCATGAATTGTAGCCCGTTGTAGTGGGGAAAGGTACCGTAGGAAGATCATAGTCTTCAGTAGATTTGAAAGCCGGATAGAGGGTAGTGGGGAGCTCTGGTCAAGGTTTCAGGTTGCAGGCTTGGCATGTGGATTGCGGGGCAAATGCGCTGTACTAAACCCACACCGTGCTGAACGGGATGTCAGGTTCGGGATGGTGCGATGTACTCCATAAGCGCAACACCCCAGGAATTTCGTCTCAGTAGCTAAGCCCCGAACACCAAAACACGAAGCCTCTAATGTAGGGGCCTTTATAATTAGACTAGGGTTTGGGGCATATTATACTGTACTTCTAAAAGTAAGCAACTCCCCCCCAAGTAGTATTTTATTTTTATTTCGGAAGGTGCAAAGCTCTCCGAGAGCGTACCTCTTGCAAGACAAATTCAAGTGAAACAGAGACACAGCGGTGACGGTTCAGGCGTCAGTCGGGCAGACTCTTCCAGCCAACTGGCGAACTCGTCACCTAAACTCCTGGGAAAATCACAGTCGACGTGGCAAGGCAAGCCAAGCCTGCAGAGGCGAATCGAGAACGAAATCCAGGCTAAGGTGCAGTCCAGCCACTGCCGATAAGCACCGAATGCTCTCAGGGTGCAAGAGCAAGGCTCCCACAAGGTCCTGCACGGGAGAGGAGGGGAGGGAATTCTTAGGGAAACCCTTACAAACCCTCTACTCTCAGGCGGGGCCGCATGAAAATCAGCTCGCACAATGCATCCATTCGCCGTATCTGCTGGCAGCGTGACATGGCCAATCACGAGGTGTAATCCCTCTGCAGAGTGACAGGCACAAGGGAACGGGACATGCTGGGGGCGAAAACTGAAAGCTTGGTCGTGCTTATCTCTCGGCGCATTGGAGGCAGCTGTGCACCAAAGATCGGCCTGCAGACCAAGCAACACGTCCTCTGCCAGCGTCTTCTCGCAACCAACGGGAATGCCCTGGATCCATTTGGTCACTGTGTTGCGCAAAACCGGCAGGGGCTCAATAACAGAGACTACCTCATCGAAAGCCTGCTCAGTCGAGTCCCACTGCCGCTCCTGGAGTCTGCGTGCACACCGCCGGTTCCACAGGCGGGAGATGTCCAGGGCCAACGCCGGCCGTGGCAGGCCCTTGCAAATGCTCCCGCTGAAGCGCAACAACATCAAACAACCCCGAAAACCCGCACTCGATGGCCTGACAACATATCAAAGAAACCTGTAAATGCCTCCTGTACTGCAAGTTGTTGGAGAATGTCATTGCGCAGGCCTGGCAACGGCCTCCGAGCGCAAACCGTCTGGCTCGAGATCGAAACTTATGGACTTTGGCAGCATGAGCGGCCCACGCATGACAGTCGTTGAAGGCCACCTTGCACAACAGGCACGCATGTTGGACACGGTCAACCGCAACTGTCTCCCTTGGAGCATGGTCCCAGTGGGCCCGAACAAAAGTCTGATAACTTGCCAGAGCACTAATGCGGCGAACATGCCACTGTTCTGCCCGACGAAGCAAACCCTTCCATCTTCCGGTCTGGCTCATGATGGCACACCACTCTTGCCAATGTGTGTCAAAGCTGCCTGGACTACCAACGGTGCCAACGGCAGCCAGCAGCCAAGCCTCAGCAGTGCTCAGGGCTCGCAGTGACCCTGGGGCCTGCTGCAAAAGCGCAAAAGCCGCGTCCGGACCGCTCCGGACCAACTGGGCAAGGAATCGCAGCCGCTCCAGGGCAAGGAGCCCTTCCAGACCCGGAAGCCCGGCGGCCGAGGCAATCTGCTCGTAGGTCCAGTTCTGATCATGCTCCCGCGGAATGCGGAGCATCTGCCTCAGCATTCGGTAGTAGCCCGTTTCGAGTAAGCTCCATCCTTTCTTACACAAGAGCGGCCATCCGCCACTACCCGCAAACAAGGAAGAAAGGACGTGAGTCCGAAACAGCCCCACGCGCCGCTGCAAATGGATGCGCGGGCTGCAGAACACATCGCGCTTCCCCTCAAGGAAGTTCCCCCTTGCCGACTGCAGCCGAGCCCTGATCTCCGCCGCCATACTGCCGTCAAAGGAAATGCATGATCCTAGATGCCTGTAATGAGACACAGCCTGCAACCACACTCCGGGACCTTGTTCACGCAAGACGGCAAGACGGCCACCATCCCTGGAAAAAACCTGCCTCCTGACCTCTTTGGATCCCTCTCCGACTGGGGAGAGCAGGGCAGCTGTCTTCTTAGGTCCAACATTGGCCCGCAGGCCATGGCCAGCCAATACATCGATCGACTCACTAGCAACGCTGCGGACTGCAACCGGGAGACAAGCAGCCTTGGACGCCACGATACACGTGGCCAAATCGTCAGCATAAATGAGATCTTGGACCGTGACAGCCTTCTGTGGCGCGGCGCGACCGTCATACGGCCGCAAGTCTCTTTTCCCATTCCACGGGATCTGTGGCTTCCAACCAGCCTCAGCAAAATCCCCTCGTCGCTCCAAAACTTTGGCAAAGAGGAGCCCGTAAAGGGCATCTGCGAGACTATACTGCCGGGCCTGGTACCCCGACGCGTGTGCACCGAGGCGTTATCCTGGTTCATAAGAAACCAGGTGCCGCTGTGAAGTTCATGAGCCAGCGCCGCCAAGAGGGGCCCGGCTTCAGCACCGCATAGCAAAGGCTCTTCTGCAACATGCGCTTGCAGAACCTGAAGATCCTCAGGGGCCAGCGAAAGCGACGCAGCAATTTCCACGACAGTGGCGTTGTCGAGTTGTCCGCCGGTTATTAGCTCCCGAATGACAGAATAGTACGCCGAACTGATGTCCATGAACAGGATCGCCGCCGGAATTGATTTCCGTCGCGTGTATTCAAGGAAGGCTCGTGTACAGAAAAACCCCAAGACATAACTGCGGCCCTTACGTCCTCCAATGGTGAGGTCAGAGGCGCGGCGGTCCCACTCCGAAACTACCAACCCTCGGACCGCTTTGTGCAGCACACGCTCAAGCACGGATTGAACGAGGATGGCGCGTTGCGCCGTGACGGCGGCAGGGTCAGGAGCTCCTGGCTTCGGTATTCTGCACAAAGTGCCGCCTTTCATGCCTACTGGCTCTGCTGCATACACCAAGGTTTTCAACAGCACGGGATAGAACAAGACCGACATCTGGCACGCGAAGGCCCGACAAATGGCTGGAGGCATCCAATCAGGTCCGCATGCCTTGTTGGGCGACACGCTGCGAAAGTGGCACGAAAGGGTAACCAGATCGGGGACTTCATCATGTTTCAAGGCCTCAATCGGCTCAGCCACGGATTGTTGCTGCAGGCCATAGGCAACCAAGTCCTCGGGCGAGACAACGACCCCGCCTTCCAACTCAGCAAAGTGCCGTCGCCACTCCGAGTTGATCTCGGCCTGAGAAGAGCAAATCCCGCCGGACTTCTTTTTGAGTTTTGGCAAGGGCTGATGCCCTTGCCGGCGGAACTTCCGCGGGCGCAGCAACCGCTTCAAAGCAACATGCACCTCGCCTGCTGGCGCTTTGGCAACATCATCTGCAAGTGTGTCGACGTGTTCGCGCTTGTCGCGGCGGCACAACCTCTTCAAGAGCTTACCCGCAGCTGACAAGCGTTCCGTCAAAACATCAAGAGCCGCCTGCAAACGCAAGGTCCAGCCTGTGAAGAAGAGATCGGCAAAGGTACCGCCTCGACACCACGAGAGGAAAGCGCATCGCAGCCGCGCCAAACGAAGTGCGGTTGCGCGACCGCGCACGGCACGGCGCAGTCTGGCTACTAGCGCATGCAACTCGGCAACCTCCTCAGAGAAAAAGGATCGGCGCATTCTACGGGCACTCAAAGGGAAGGCACTGGCTAAAGAATCATACAAATACTCCACGAGCACTGCAGCATGATCGTTCACATTGGCCTCCCAGGGTACCTGAGGCGCAGCTCGCAAAATGCCGGAAATTTTCTGGTGGTTCTGGGGGTCGCGAACAGCCGCCGGGTCAATGCGCCTAACCTTCTTATCTCCACTTGGACGCTGCAAGACTATGTGACACTCAACGACAGCTGCAAAATGATCGGGAGTACGATGCCCCGAGGAGATGCCCGGGTCAACGTAGGCTTGCACTCCCCAAGCAGTCCAGCTGCACGGTAGGCCGACAAAATCACATCGCTGGAGACACTTAGTCATGGGCTGCAACTAAGTGCCTCCTCCACCTTGCATGCTAAAAGCAAATGTGCTAGGCAGCCAAACTTTCAACTGTTGCAGCAGTTCATGGAATGCAGCACCTGACTCATCCTCAAGATCAGGTTGGTGTCCGCCAACGAAAGACGAGACTTCGGAGCCAACCCGGCAATTGCCGTCCACGAGAACAATCCAGTCGGGTGGCCCTGTGAAGTTTCTGCAAAGTCTCAAAGACTCGGCCCACCAAGCTTGCTTGGTCTGCGACGGGTGTGCTCGATGTGGCCCATGGCCAACAAAAACACTCAGCACCATCCCCGAGAACTCCAAAGAACCAATCAGCCTACAGGGATCGGCATGCCCGACGGAGAACGAGTGCATGGGCCAATCAGGGCCCCGCGCAATCCACAGCTCCACGCCGTAGCAGTTGCGCTCTGTAGCACCACTGCAATACCGAGTGTAGGCCTCATGCCGGCTGCAACCCTCGGGAGTGCGGGCTTCCTGGACACCGGCCAGAAAAACGCCAGCACTTTTCAGCGAGTCTGCAAGGAGTCCAACACGACCAACGGCCCCGTACAAGCCGTCACTCTTTCCCTTATCCGGGGCGTCTGGCTGCAGCAGGGACAGGGCATTGAAGGACACGCAACGGCACATAAACTCGTGACTCTTGCATGAGGGGGTGCCTGCATGGGCCCCCAGGGCCCGAGTAAAGGGATGGAGAAGTTGCGAAGGAGTAAGCACAGGCGGGGCTTGTCGGGCACTCCACGCAAATAAGTTATCTCGATGTTGTGGCAAAGACCTCGGCCGTGCAGTACTCAAACAAACATGCGGAAGCCACTTGGCCGCGGCAGCCCCATGTGACAGCCATTCCTCCGGCGACATCATGAATGGCCCAACACGGTCGTGGCCAACTGCGCCCAGATTAGCGAGTCCGTCAGCCAGCTCATTGGCCACGTCGCCACAATGCCCACGGACATGCCGATAGGCGGCCTCCTGATTGCTAAGGATGTCCAGAGCCATGTGGAAACTTCTCGCTGCAGTGCACAGAGCAGTATCAGGCGTTTGCACAGATCCGCTCACACCATCCAAGGCTGCCTGATTATCCGCACGGAACAGCACTGCAACCGGTGTCGGGACCTGAAAAGCAACCACGGCCGCCCACCAAAGCCCAACCACTTCAGCAATGTATGCAGAATTGCCTTCCGGAGCAACAGCGGGGACGACCGACCCAAAAAGACACCCAATGAACTGCCCCACATCCAGAGCCGCATCACTGGAAGCACTGAGCACTACGGCCCATCCTGCGGCCCCTGTGTCCGGGTTATAGGAGCCGTCTGCTGTAAGGACGAGCGTCTCATGAGGTCCTGGTGTCCTCCCCACGGCCCCGTCGGCGACCCAAGCATGAAAACGCTCCGGCTTCGGAACATTGCAAGGCACAGCATTTACACGCCGCAAGTCAATCTTCTGAAAGAGGGTCTGCGCCTGACCGACAGAGCACGGCAACGCGCACTGGCCCTCTGTCAAATCAAAAATCTCGACGTCTGCTGCTGACACGGCCGATGCATCAGGCACCAGGTCCTCCAAGACAAGAATTCTAGCGGGCTTTGCCTCCTCAATCTTGCCACCGTTGTCAGCACCATCATCAAGCGCTGGCAGAAGGGGTAAGACGCAAGCGTTGTTTTCATGCAGAAATTCCCACACAGCTTCAATGAGAGTGCGGGCCATGAAGAAGGGAGCAGCGTCCTCCATGACACAGACCTCGAGAAGGGTAGGACCAACTGCATCTGGAGCAAACCAGCCGCAAATGGCGTCCTGCCAAGTCTCGCCCCCTTCGCACACCTGACCGCGGCCACCTTCAATGCCAAGCACACGCTCAACAAGGGGCACTCGCCTACGGCACGGAGTAGGGACACGCTGTAAGACAGCACGGCCACCATGGCAACAAAACCTCGCTCTGCAATGTCACGAACTTCACAGTCAGCACTACAGCTGTCAACTCCTTCGATGACCGGAGGCACGAACTGCACCCCTTGCACTGGGCGCGCCAACAAAAGGAGACCACCAGCCGCGTACAACAAAAGCCAAGGGGCTCGAAAGGGGACGCCTGAACTGCTGCCGGGTCCCGCTGGCCAAGGTACGCTTGCACGCCTCCCAGCCCTCGGCCGAAAACCGACACCAGGGAAGAACCATGCAACACCTGACCCACACCAAGCCGACCACCAATTGTAAGCAGGAAAGGCGAAATCATAGGAGTCGTTGCGAGCAGGCGGCTCATCTGCTTTTGTCGGGAGGACAGGGGTGAGGCGTTGATGCCCAGCAGAATGGGCAGGTTGGTGCTCCTCAGCGCTCCACATGGCTACTCGACCGACAACAAGAACAGCATACGCCGCACAAAAGCACAGCAAACCAACTCCAAGAAAGGGGAGGCGTAGGCAACTACCATCGCCGCAGGGTGAAGCTGAGCCAACGTACTCGGAGGAAGACGCCGCAGGCCCAGAGGAGGCACCGCCTGAACTGCTCTGTCCTCTGTAAAAGTTGCCAGCATCTCTTCCATCGGAATCCTCATCGCCGCCGGGCTCCTCATCATCACCTGGTTCCGACCGGCCGTCCTCATCAGTAGCACTACTCTCAAAGTCTGCCAAAACAAAGTGCACAGTCAGAACGCCACCAGATGGAACGGTCAGGAATGTACTCCATGCCGTGTGTCGCACGGTACCTCCACGGACTTGCACAAAACAGTCGGATGGACAGTGCGGTCGCATACGTTGGACGAAAGCTTCCAGGTCGAAACCTTGAGAACCCAAAACTTGCCACTGTAGACCCTGCAGGATGGGTCGCATGTCGACAATGACTATGCCTGGGTCCCCGGCAGCTGCGAGCACAGTAACGGGTACCGCGGCAAGCACCGTCCGGGAATATACACCATCAGCGCAGTGATCCCAGATCTGTGGCAAAGCGGCAACTAACCCAACTTCTCTATGCGCAACCCCAAGGGCTTCCGCTACTTGATGCAACAGACACCGACTATACTACCATCAAGGTGCCACGTAAACTCCTCGGTGATAGTAACGATTCGGTATGCGGCATCGTATGAACCTGGGAGAGGGGCCTCCGGGAGCCATCCTTCGGTCGAGAGGAGAGCATCCTCCAAGCTCATTGTGATAATGGCACCGTGGTCAACCCTCGCGACACAAATGAGATCTCCCGGCTGGAGTGGGCAAGTTTGCCCATTGCCCAAGACCCAAGGGTGATCACGGACATAAACCACTACATCGTCCCTAGGCTCCTGCCCGATGGCTCGCAAAATAGACAGCCGGTCCATGACAGGTGACATCATGGCACAGTGCATACGGCCATCCAAGTGTATACGGTCAACGAGGACAGGAACAAAATCAAAGCTCCAACTGGGGATTGCAAGAACGATGCCCTCTCCCGACAGTGGTTGCGGATTGACTGGGAGCAGCACTGGAAATAAGTCTCGATAGAAGCCGTCGCGGGCTTCATTGACGGATGCCAAGGCTTGCAACACGGAGACCGGCGGCGCCAACACAACAGAAAGGGTTTCAGGCCAGTACTCGCAAGCAAAGACCAGGAAAGGGATATCAACAGGCTGGCGAACAACCTCCGGCAATGGGGGCCGGCACCGGCAGCAAGGCCGCGGGAACAGGACGCTGCAATGGACCTCGTTCCCCAAACAGTCGGGCAATTGTGACCTGTGCCTCTATCTGATCCTGGGGGAGGGCCCCAGCCGAACGGACCAAAATCAAAATCGGGGACCCTTGCAACTCGTGCAGATTCGGCACTTGACCCTTGGGCAGCCAGCACTGACGCAAAAAGCAGATGCGCCGCTGCATGTCCGAGAGGAGACCGGCTGCGGCTACGCCGCTCATCTCCCCGGACATCGGTGGGGAGCACATGATCACCTGCATAATCAGCGCTAACAGGATCCGAATCACGATCGCCTGCAAGCATGTCGACGGAAGCAGCGTACGCAGCAGAGGGCGGCCCGGAAGGATCCTCTTGAATCTGCGATGCAGGGGTAACCGGAGTCCAAGTGAGAGTAAGGACCATGCCTTTGCTGACAATCAAATTGTCATCTTCCAAGCTAGCTCCATCAATCTGGACAAGGAAACCGTCTGGTGCAAAAGTGTCAAAATGCATGGCGATTTCCGAGTGAGAACAGCGAAAGTCTCGTACAACATATTGGTGCCACCCTTGAAAGAGTGAACGGCAGTCCAGAGCAATCACAAAATCCCCCGGCCTGTGTCGCGCAGGGGGGACTGGGACATTGGGAAAAGCGCTGGAAACAAGCGCAACACCTTTGCACCTGTAGCCTTGATGGCAGGCGTTCTGCACCAAGGGCCTGGTGGCCTGAGCAGTTGTCCAATGCAACGGCAAGCCGTACTCTTCAGCGAGGGCTTCAAGATGATGCCTGCCGTGCAAGGGCCTGAGAGTAAGCAGACGCGCTCCTTCCTCAAGAACAATGCAAGCAAAATTGCTACGAAGACCCCCGGGTCCGCGCGGCACTTCGACCTCCACATCCCAGCCTGCTGCAGAAGACAACATGTCAAGTAACGAGCCTGTAACAGGGGGCGGAGCGCCCTGCTGCCTGATGAAAACACAGCCGTGCTGCACAATGCGCACAGCGTCATCCTGTGCAAGGGGCACCTGCGCGCCAAACGGAAAGATAGCAAAATTGCCATCAGGAGAAAGACCGGCAAGTTCGCAAATGCGCGCAAAGCTCGCAAGATGTGGAAAGCAAACCGGAAAGATGCGCCCGTCGATACCCGTGGTATCCAAGACGACAACATCCGCTGCAGCGGTCCACCCAGGGAGAGCTAAAAGGGTCGCCCATCGAGAGGATGGCTGTGGCAGAACCTCAACGAGGTTGGGGTATTGGAGGTAAAAGGCAGGCGCCCGCTCCTCATCGACAACAGCGATCAATTCAGCTATAGTCGCCGGGACTGCTAGCTCGAACTCAAAAACCGTGCTAGCCCTATCAACCGTCAAGACAAGAACCTGTCCCTCAACGGGCGGGCCACGTGACCCAGTTGCGCTTGTTTCAGAATCCGAAGCGATGGCGGGGCGGAGCTGACCCTGCCGTGGAGTCGAAAGAGCCCCGACACGCGTAGGTTCACCAGAAGAAAGAAGGTGCGACCCCTGGACGACAGCTGCAATCAAACCAAAGGGGTCCTGCGCCCTGAGAGCAGATTCTGCAAGCCTGCTTGCCGAGAGTTGCACAGCGCGGATCACGGCAAGGCAGGGATCCTGCCAGCTTCCACTCTTGAGAACCTCCTCAAAGCCAAAAAGCCAAGATTCAGTGCTAGGCACTGCAAGACGTCGTTGAAGGGCAGAAACATCCCATAAGTCTTCTTCCATTCGGACAACGAGGGGCACGAATCCGGCAGGACGGAGATCACAGACAATGCTAAGCACATCTCTTGCAGTGTACTGCCCAAAATCGTCATCAGCCGGACCAGAATATTCGGAAACGACTGAAAGGGTGCAGCATGCCTCACCGTTGATCGCAAATGCATCGAGGCTTTGCGTACTGGCAATGTGCAGAGTGCAAGCAGGCACCCGAAAGCGATCTGCAATTACACTGAGGACATCTTGACCTGGGAAGCGCTCGGGCTGCAGCACATGGAATTCATCACGAAACCAGACTGCAACAGCATGGCCACCGCTCGAAACCCTCAGCTCAACAACAGGCTCCCAAGTGTCCGTGCTCTGCAGAAGAGAGACAATATCCTGATGTGCAGGCACAGGAGACTCCCTCCGTAGCAACACAACAAGGCTACCATGAGCTACACCAAGGGCCTCGTTGCGATCTGTGGGCTCGGTGGCTGCATTGACATGTATGGCAACGTCCTCAAGCTCACAATTGACCTCTGCTCGTACAAGGTGAAGCAAAGCCTCAGCAGTGCAACCTGATGCAAGATGCACCGCAAACACACCTCCTCCCACATGCGAGAGGTCCAGAACAACAGCGACTCGCTCGAAGTCGTCCAAGCAGGCAGGAAACGCCAGGAATGCGGCGGCGCCACGATTTGGCTGAGGAACAACCGGCACAACACGCTGCAGATGCGGCCTGGAGCCGCGCTCGAGTCGTCCAATCCTACTGCAAAGGCTAGCTAACCCCTGGCTTGGCTCAAATCGTACTGCATACCACCTAGGGGCATAACAGGCCGCAAAGACAGTAACCCCCAGCCACGACTCCGGCTCCAAGGAGGCTAGAATACTCCGCTGTTGAGGCAAAGGAAGAAGGGTCCGGGTCTCATCATCTGTCGAAGCTAGAGGCCCGTCCTGCATCAACACATCTGGGAGTGCAGCCTGAAATTGCTCAACCGCCTGAAGTGCTGGCACAAAACCTTCAGGGGCAGCCCACACTTGGTACGGAATGCGAAACCAAAGCAACAACCACAGCCAAAGCCTACAAAAACCCCAATGTGTAAGCTTCGGCGCAGCGTATCGTTTGTTGACTCGCGTAACACATCCACGGGCATGCTTGTCACTCATACGCCAGCAGAGCACAGGCTCTGACGTCTGTCCTACTTTGGCCAATACACAGCCAACTGGGAGCAAAAGTGTGCGAAAAGGAGGGTACCTCATGAAGGGCCGCCGATGCCCTGGGAAAATTGCCTCGGCAAGCATCCCCAGCAAAGCAAACCCTACAGTTGCGAGCAGTGAGCGTCCAAAAGGACACAAGGCCTGTCGCCAACCTTCCAACACCCAAGCTAGAAGCATCACCCAAGCAACAGGCTCCTGAGAGGTAGAGATGCAACGGGCACCTGGGTGCAGTAAAAGCGGGGAGGAACCGCCGAGTTCACGAACCCAGTGAGCCGACAGCTCCTGCGAGGAGACAGGCAGAAACCTAACACACGAACAAGCGCAAACCCAGCGCATGTCGCTAATTAGGTCCCGCAGCGAAAGAAAGGTGCCCCTGCAGACAATGGAACGCTGTACATCAATGGACCGACGGCCTATTAATGTACATCCTACCGCTTCCTCAGGGAAGGGCCAGGGGCCACAGACATCAGTGAGGCTTAAGTGACACGAGCGTTCTTGACCGAGGGTCTCCGCGCCCCCCAGCCGAACATCAGGGTCACTATCACCCACACCGGTCTGAGCCCCGACCGCACTCATCATTCCATGCCAGCAAGCCCTGGTGGACCGCGATCCATAGGCTCCACATCGGAACTGTCGTCGTCGTTGAGCTGCACTCGCTGCGGGGCTTCGGCACTCCGTGTGGCCTGCGCCGCTGACTCCCGGGCCGCATCTGTTGCAGCAGCCTCCATCTCCGACTGGAGAGCTGCCCGCTTTGCTTCCAACTTGGACTCCAGTTTGGCTGGCGTCTGTGTATGCACCGGTTGCAGAGGTGCACCTTTCAATGGTTGACGGGGACTGGGCCGAGGACGAGGAGCCGTAGTACCCTTGGGCGGCAAGTTGGGACTGGTAGGGTGTTCCGTATGCCGTGTAGAAGGCGATGCGACATATGGGGCAGCAAGGCTCGGATCCACGGCACCAGCAGCCTGTGATGGCAGGGGGGCCATAGCGGAGGGCGCACCGGCCATGCTCACATCGGCCGCCCTTGGCTCCTGCTGAAAGGCACTCATCATCTGTCCCGTCATTGTCGCCATGAAAAGCTTTGCTGCTGCCTCGGGAGTCATGAGGCCTCCAAGACTCGGGGCCACCGCGGGCGGAGCCACAGAAGGCGCCTCCTGCAGCTTCATAGCCCTTCGCAAAACTTCCCGAGGAGCATCCTGGTCCTTTTGTTCCTGTTGTTCTTGCCTCCACTGTCGCGTCATATCCTCCCAATTGATCTCTTCCTCCTCGCCTGCGTCGACGGCCACGTGGCCCTCGTTCTGGATGTGCTGGCGAATCGCTTGTCTTGCCTCGTCCCGAGCTCCAACAGCTGCCTCCAGGTCTGCATCCAAAGTACGCATCGCTTTCTCGAAACGGGTGAGCTCGCGCAGGTACGACACTTTCATGTCCTCCTGCCACTTCTCCCACAACTTCACCTTCTGAGCTCGCGTCGCGGTGAGGTTTCTCACTCGTTGCTCTGCCTTGCGTGTACTGTTGATATAATCCTGAAGACCAGCCGTGAGGTAACCTTCGGGATCTGGAGCATCTTTCCCACGGCCTGCCGCTTTGCCAGCAGCCTTGGGTACTTCCTTCTCGGCTCGCTTGACCGCCGAGGCACGGTCCTTGGCATCGTAGGCAGGGAACGCTGAAGACGGCTCCGCATTCTCCCAAGCGCCATAATCCTGCTCCTTGTAAGAGGGGCTCCCCCAAGAGCCACGCCAGTATCCCCATCGCGAGCCGCCAGAGGGCTTGCCGTTGCCCTTTGGCTTGTTCTGATCCCAGCCTTTTCCCATGACCGGCAACCGACTCGACCTGTAACGAGGTCTGCTGTGGTGCGACTCGAGGCGCAACAAGTCGCGCCGTGGTGGCTGGACCAAGGCCGCCTGAGCGCGGCGTACCCGGATGCGAGCTCTTGCTCGCTGTAGGCGCAGGGCCCTGTGCCAAGGCGGACTATGGCGCGAGAGGGCCAGCTTTGATCACACGTGCGGGCTTCGCCTGCACTGGGGCGTCGGCTATCTCCACCTTCGGAGTATTCTCGAGCCCTCAAGTAGTATTGGTAATTTTGGCCCTTTTCGTAGACTAGAAACCCTAGACCCTTAACCCCTAAAGGCTAAGTCATTCTGTGAGGCTCTTCTCCCGCAGCCACTCCGGGCTGCACATCGACAGCTCGTCTGCGGAACGATGCTGGAAGTAGCTCCTCACTTAGAGGATCACGGGACTTAGTAAGTAGGGTTATAAGTACTTCAATTCAGGTAGTAAGTAGCTATAACGATAGTTATCTTGCTTATAACCCTACTTACTAAGTCCCCTCATCCTCCAAGCATGACACGCGACGAAGTTTAATGCTTCAACTGTGACAGCAGGAACCATCTCGCTCGCAATTCTTAAATTGTTCAGTAGTGTCAGTTACTTTGTGGATTTGTTGTTTTGCAGAGGAGGGTTTTGATCCTCATTCTCTTTGGTCATCTGCTTAGTGATTGACATTACTGATGGAGATTGTGGTACCGAGCTGTGTGCCAGGAGTCAAGATTGTATATGTTGGGCCAAGTGGCATACAACACACAGGACGTGCACAGAGTCCACAAGGTATTTCACGGCCGCGGCGCAATCAAGGTTATCATCATCGACGCCATCACCATAACGCTAAGCACCCAGCAGCCAACCCAATTCATCTCAGTTGCCTTGTGACTATACGACAGTCAAACCCTACGTGCAACCTACTTGCTAACAAGCTCTGACCCAATCAACCCAGTGCAGTACTCTCATAGTTGCAAGCCAGGCACGTCATGGCTACGCGGTTGTAAGCCAATCGCGGCTCCTCACCTTTTTGAGGTGATGCAGTGAGTCTCGAGCTTTCTCCTTTGGGGTAATACAGTTTTTTTTAGTTTAGGGCTTCTCAGGTTTGCTGCTTAACCCTCAAAACCTTAAACCCCTAAACTCTCAACCCTAAAACCCCTAGACCCTAAACCCTAAACCCCTAAACCCTGAACCGGGCTCAAGACCCTAAATCCCGTGAAGTCCAAGGTTCCGGGCTTAGGCTTTGCTGGGTCGCATGGTCTACGATTTCCGGTTTACAGCAACTAGACCCAAGAGTAGCCTAGGAACAAAAAGGGTGCCCTTTTTGGTTTAAAGGGGCTTATAAGGGAACCTGAAGTCTCAAAAAAAGGAATAAGGGCCTACTCTGGGTCCTAGGCAATGGCGGGTCAAGGCTCCCATGTTCTGGTGGCTTTGGGGTTTCGGTTTGGGTTTCGGGATTAGGGCTTGGGCTTAGGGTTTGGGTTTAGAGTTTAGGGTTCAGGATTTAGGGTTTAGGGGCAGGGCTCTGGCACGATAGAAACGGTGGAGTCTGAACTAATGTAGGAAGCTGATCCATCCCCTGATCGCGCTGAGTTAGTTGCTCTGTGCGCATTCGCTGCATAGAGGTGCAAGGCATGGTTTCTTAATCAGCTGCCTACACAGGCCTACTTAAAGCATCAGGGGACTTAGTATTCAGACCACACGACGTCAGGATGCTAACCACCTCAGTCAGGAGGTCACCTGTGATCTCTGATAGCTTGACCTTGGAGTGTGATCCCTATGGGAAGGAGCGCTGTGTCGTCAGGAACTTTACCAATTGATCGTGGTTCACCAGGAGACCTGTTGTTCGAATGTTGTTGCAGACTTCAAGCTCAGCTCGTTGGTCCTTCCTTCGCTCAGAGCAAAGGAGATTGACTCAAAGGGAAATTGGAAAAGGATGTCTGCCAGAGCGATGACGAGGCCTCGCGAGTGTCCAGCTTCAGGGTCCACTTTTGCTCCATGAATTTTCGAGAGGTATTGAGTGTGCTTTGCAATGCTGGTGGTTGCGAAGAGAGAAGCTGGGTTGACAGCAGAAGAGATGTCAAGCTCTGGTCGCATTTGACCACCAGCTATGCTCTCTTCACTCCGGATCCAGGCTTCTCTTCTGATTCGCTCGTGGACTGACATGAGCGAACAAAACACATACTGGGCAGTGTCGCTAAACAATAATCATGGTCCCAGCCGCTATGCCAGCAAACATGGCCTTCTCGAAATAATCACCGACAATACCGACTCTAGCTTAGCTACACGGCCAGCATCGCACAATTATCAGTATCATAACAACACCCGTGACCAATGATAATAATCAGCTCCTGTTGCCGATGACGACGGCAATCAAACCATCATCAGCAGTAAGCATCGTCGTCAGTGTTGGCACCTTCCCCCTCATCCCACGACGGAAACCCCAAGTCGCACTGAACAGGCTGAACGGAATGCTCTTCCAACCGACAAAGTCTCAATCTCACTTTACTGCACAGCTCAACTGCAATTGCCAAGGCCCCTGTATGAACTTCGAGAAACTAAGTCTAGCCTCACATGTCCTCGACGATTTTGCTGCACCCTAGCTCAGAAAACCTTAGGGGTAGCCTTCCAAGCACCCTCCCTTGGGGTTTAGGGTTTAGGAAGATTACACACCTAGACCCAAGAGTAGCCTAGGAATAAAAAGGGTGCACTTTTTGGTTTAAAGGGGCTTATGAGGGAACCTGAACCCTAAAAAAGGGAATAAGGGCCTACTCTGGGTCCTAGCACTGTAACCCAGCATCCAGCATCTCGAGAGGGCTCCCATGGGAAAGTCATAGTCTTACTATGACCTACTGACCCAGGTTATAACCTACTCGAAGTACCACATGCAGCCCTATACTAAAACCCTACAAAGATAGTAATCCATAAAGACACTAGTAATTAACCCTTGGCCCTAACCCCCTTAACCCTAATTAAACCCCTAAACCCTAAACCGAACGAATCTGCATCGGTTGAGGCCCGAGCAGAGGACCGTGAGCTCCAGAGGGAATTCCGTTCCTTCCGTGAGGTACCTGGGGTTTCGCGTTCAGGGGTTTAGGGTTTAGAGGTTTAGGGGTTCAGTGGCTTAGGGTTTAGGGCTTACCGGGGTTTAGGAGTTCGGGGGTTTAGGGTTTCGGGTTTACAGTAGGGGTTCAGGGTTTAGGGGCTTAGGGTTTAGGGGTTTAGGGTTGTGGCTTTGGCGTAAGATTTGAGACAATAGTGGACACCATATTTATAAGTACAACAACCTACTGTTTCAAGGTTATAAACAAAGAAGTCTCGGGTCATGACCTACCATTCTAGTGGGGCTTGGGGCTGCAGATACCGTTGATAAGCCCTTGCGTGGATCATGAGACTTGGCAAGTACAGCTATAAGCACCTTTTATCAATTTGGGCTATAAGTAGTTGCAGCTGCAGCTTATCTTACTTATGACTTACCTACTCAGCCCGTGACCCTGAACCCTGAACCTTGAACCCTAAAACCCTAAGCCCTAAACCCTAATCCACTAACTACATGGCTGGGTTGCCGATTTCATGGGCCAGCGAACCCTGAGGCTCCATGTGCCCAGGCCCAAGCATTCACGGTACGGTACATGGTACATAAACCCTATGGGTCCATGTATCCGAATAGTAGATACTTTGGCTTCAAAGTACCTATATGGGGACTACTTGAAGGCAAAAGTATATCCTGATTGGGTACATAGACCCTTAGACAATGTAAACGTGCAGCTTGGACGGGGGTTTAAAGTTTAAGCTACCCAGCAAGCTTAAACTTCAGAAGCTCGCACGCACGCCGTTGAAGTATGCGACGACGCCCAATGTAATCTGAAGACAAGTCTTACTGCTTCAAGTTTTCGCGTCTGCCGAGGGTCCATGTACCTACGAAGTATATACATAGGTCTCAAATGGGTTGATTTATACTCAGGACACCGCCATTATCTACTGTATCAGTTGATGGGCCCTAAGGGTTCAATTGCAGCCAAAGATCTCAAGCAGAATGTGACCCACGGGCCCATGGCCAACGATCACCTTTGGCGTTGTTGTCTTCCCTTCCCTTGCACACATCTATAGCCCTGCGGTTCGCAATTTAGGGTTTATCGGGTTCAGAGAAGAGGTAGGAATGCAGGATGTGCGGTGTTGCCTGTCGACTACCCTAAACCCTAAACCCCAAACCCTAAACCCTAAACCGCTGGAGGAGGCTTGAGGCTTCCAACCAAGGCATTCGAGTTCTGGGTCCGGGGTTCAGGCTTTAGGGCTTAGTTTAGGGTTTAGGGTTTAGGGTTTAGGGGTTTAGGGTTTAGGGTTAAGGGTTTAGGGGTTTAGGGTTTAGGGTTTAGGGCTTAAGAACAACAGATTCATTCAGACGATTGTGGCCGTCACTGTCATGGTTGTGTGTGCTAGTATGCCACCACCGAGGCTGTACACCACGAAGCTTCGTTTGGATACTGCAGCAACGAATTGAAGACCATTCTCAATGGCTCAAACCTAAAAAAGAGCTTGTCCTAAGCTCCGGGCTGTTCCTGCTACGTTTTAACAATTAGGGGTTGCGTTCATGCTCTAGGCTATACTTTAGCCTTTAGCGATTGCAACTTCAAACATGGCCTGATAAATCCTCAACCTGAGTTAACGCTTTTGTGTATTGCGCTAAGGCACAGGCTCTCCACCAATGCTTGTGCTGAGTGGCTCCAGCAATCCAAGAGATGCGGCATATGAGGCGTACGGGGTCTCCTCAACGTGCAAGTTCGCCCACATTAAATGGGTTCTTGCATGGCACGGCCGGCGGCAAGAAGCAGTGTTGTTGCTTCGTGACGACCCAGAGACTCCAATATCCCTTAATTAAGGAATACACCTTAAATTATAGTAGGCTCCCTTGTGTGATTTAAGGACTATTCCTTAATTAAGGGATATTGGAGTCTCTGAGGATGGTCCGCGTCTGCAGATCGGAGTCACGAACCCAGGAGGGCAAAGCCAGGGTTCCGGAACGAGAAGCCCTAGGCCCTAGACCTTTGGCAGGATGCCCAGGATGTGCCGAGATGTGCCGAGTATGTCCAGGCTTTAGGGTTTAGGGTTTAAGTTCAGTGTTTCCGGTGTAGGGTGCCAGAGTTATATAGGAGTAATAGAATTCAGGGTGTTCGGGTCTTTGGCCTTAGCTTTGGGTCTCGGGGGTGGGGTTCGGAGACATGCGTCGTACTTGGAGGATCATAAGACTTCGTATTTAAGGTTATAAGTACCCTAATTGGGGTTTATAAATACAGTGACCTTGCTTATAACCCCAGTTACTAAGTCCCATGATCCTTTAAGTAGTGTGGGGGTGGGCCGGGGCTTTGGGCTTAGGACTGAGAGGATTGGGATTAGCGTTACGTTCATTTCTACGTCGCCGATTTCTTCCAAGTCATTATCTGCTACTTGGGTAGTCCGATGTGCGGCCGTGTGTCCACGCGCTTCGGCATGTTCGTGCCATGCAGAATGCCGGACATGGCGTCTGAAAGTCTCCGATGAGTTCCTACTGGATGTTTTTGGCAATCAGCCGTGCCTGACCTTAGTGGCTGCATGTGTCATGTGTCTTGCATGCATACATGTATACAGCATACGTCCATCCATATATACATAACCAGCACGACTATGGAACTATGTTACGACGATGTGTGTGCAAGAGAGGTTCAAAATCAGGACGGCAACGTGCGGCTTTTTGATATGGGCTGCAGGACCATAGGGTAATCTCTTCGGATCGCTTCTTTTAGCTCGTACCCTACCACCTAGGGCCCGCTCTGTCGGATGCGTTGCAGCTCGTGTCCGCGAGTACTAAGCCTGGACTAGGGAAGCCAGATGGCTACACCAAAAGGTCCAAAGTACTGTTATGGGGGATACTTCCCCAAATCTGCATAGTAATTCCTAATACAGGAACCCTACATTCTACCATAAAGGTACTATGGACCCTTTGGGTACTGCAACACCAGCCGAGCAAAGTACGATCTTCCCAACAAGTCCAAAGGCCTGGAGCCCGTCCCAAAGTTGTACGATAACGTAGACCCCCAGGAAGCAAACCTCGCAAAAGAACCTAAATCCTACCTAGGAACCCCAAACTCTGTTCTTATATATACATATACATATGTATATATATATATATATATATATATGTGAATGAGCATATGTGCATCTATTTACATACACACACACATATATACATATATATATATATATATTACATACATATATATATATATATATATATGTGTGTGTGTGACACACCTGAACATGCATATACACACACATAGATGAATGGATGCATACACACATACACGTTCATAAATGGAGACATGCAGGCATACATTCATGAAAACAAAGAAACATTCACATGCACATGCCCATGCACATACATGTACGCATGCACTTACACATACGCACACAGGCACACATGTACACATGCACACATGCACAAATCCACACACCTGCACATTTACATATCTACAACTACATACATACACGCACACACAGACATACGTACTACATACATACATACATACATACATACATACATACGCACTTTTACTCGTAGTTGTATAGACGCTTCAACTGCTTTATTTCGCACACGGACAGACAAATCCAGAAAGTGCAAACAACCCGAGCATGTCCAGCACTTGTTGCGGCGTGACTGAAGCATTCAGTACCATGGACTTCGAGAAAGCCATACCTTAAATCCCCAGCCCCAGAACCCCAAGAGGGCCCCCTCAAACACTTTTATAGAGAACACTCCAGGGCTCTAGAACCAGCAAAGAAACCTTTGTCCAAAAGATGAATGTCCAAAGCTAAGCCTCAAACGAAAGCCACGGCCTCAAGCACCTAAGCCCGGAAATATTGAGCCCCAAGGTATTTAGAGTCCCCCAAAATTTGACCCCCAAAAGTATCGATGAATCTTGAACCGAGGAATATTATAGATCTTACACTAGACCATATTCCTCAAGGCCCTCTCTAGCTCTACTACGCAATATCCTAGCACTCTAAACTCCGAATATGTTTTTGCCCCAATGATCACAAGATGGCTATCACAGACCCTCAGGGATACGATGTACAAGCTACTCCAGAGCGGAGCCGGCCGGTACCCAGAGACTCCAGTATCCCTTAATTAAGGAATATTCCTTAAATCATATAAGGGATCCTACTATAATAATTAATTAGGGAATATGGCCTAAATAATTTCAGGCTTCATGTTATGATTTAAGCTGTATTCCTTAATTAAGGGGTATTGGGCTCTCTGGGTACCTCGTTGAGATTTCTACTACGCGTGGCATGCCTTGCAGTTATTCAGCAGGTGTTGTGCTGTGCTGCTGTCACCCCCAAAATAGACACTGCCCCAAGTCGCCACCGATCCATCAGCCAGGATGGCAGCAAAGGCTCCGGCGGAAGCTTGGATGTGCTGCACATGTTGCAGCTGAGACTGCGCTGCCGAACTGTTGCCGCCTTTCGTAGTATTGCCCCAAGTTACCACCGATCCATCAGTCAGTATGGCAGCAAAGGTTTCAAACGAAGCTTGGATGTGCAGAACATTTTGCAGCTTATCCCGCATGGCACAAGTCTCGCCACCAGACCCAGCGTTGCCCCAGGTCACCACCGATCCATCAGCCAGGATCGCAGCAAAAGCTGCAGAAGAAGCTTGGATACGCTGCACGTGTTGTAGACGATCCTGCGCCGCACTGCAGTCGCCACCAAAAGCAGGATCTCCCCACGTCACCACAGATCCATCATCTCGGATCGCAGCAAAGGCTCCAGCCGTAGCTTGGATGCACTGCACGTTGTGTAGCTGGTCGTGCACGGCACTGCTGTCGCCACCAAAATCAACATCTCCCCAGGTCACCACCGATCCATCAGTCGTGACCGCAGCAAAGGCTTCATCAGAAGCTTGGATGTGTTTGACATTTTCCAGCTGTTCGTGCACGGCACTGCTGTCACCACCAGAATCCGCACTGCCCCATGTCACCACCGATCCATCAGCACGGATCCCAGCAAAAGCTGCAGCAGAAGCTTGGATGTGACGAACGTTCTGCAACCGATTCCGCACGGCACTGCTGTCACCACCGAGAAGAGAATGACCCCACGTCACCACTGACCCATCACCCCGGATGGCAGCAAAGGCTGCAGACGAAGCTTGGATGCACTGCACATTATGCAGCTGGTCCTGTACGTCGAAGCTGTCGCCACCGAAAATGGCATCGCCCCAGGTCACCACCGATGCATCATCCCGGATCGCAGCAAAGGCTCCATCAGAAGCTTGGATGTGCTTCACGTGTTGCAGCTGTTCATGTACTGCACTGCTGTCACCGCCATGCTCAGGACTGCCCCAGGCCACCACCGATCCGTCAGCCCGGATGGCGGCGAAGGCTACACGAGAAGCCTGGATGTGCAGAACATTCTGCAACAGATCCTGCACCACATGGCTGTCACCACCAACATGAGCGATGCCCCAGGTCGCCACACAACCATCTCCCAGGACTACAGCACAAGCAGCCTCATCTTCACTAAGTATACTAGTTACATTACGCTTCCTGGAAACTGCAACTTCGGTCTGCCCTACTTGCAGGGTCAGCACATCACGGTCTTTCAGACTGGCCCTTTCCACGGTTGCAGCGCCATCCAATGCCTCCCCGGAGGAAGTCAGAAGCCTGCCTTTGCCAACTCCCAAGGCGTCTTGGGCACGTTGGCTCACTTCCTGCACAGTCTCATTTGCTTCTGCTTCCAAGGATACCGCCTTCCCACTTAGCAGGTGCACCTCGACCGAGATCGACATGAAGCCGCTCGGGTTTTCACACGGACCAGAATTTGACAAACTTTGAATTGCTCAAGAGACTGCAAAGGTTCGGCTGGAGATACGTGCTGTCATCGAACGCAAATCCACAGAAACCTGGGATACCAAAAGGGTTTGGGGTTTAGGGCCAGCTCCCAATACTAGTAAGATGATGTTTCAATCAACTTAAACCCATAACCCCTCAACCCTAAACCATTAAACCCGAGTACCGATTATAGGTCCCGTCATAACAGGTCCTTTCAGCCCTTAAGAGCTTTAGAACACCCAAATGACACACAGAGAGATCACCGCCCGACTCAGCACGGACTGAAGCACGGAAAACGAAACCCAAAAACAACTCTATTTGTAGGGAAGACAGCCACCACAAGAACTGCCAAATCAAGAGCCCTGAACTCTGCAATCGACATCCTCGACCCTGATCCTAAACCCCACCCAGGACCCCCCCCCCCCCCAAGTATCCCTTGAAGTGGCGTCACATTCTTCACGCAGAGGTAATTGGGAGCTACAATCAATGGTATTCGGTGGTTTAGGCTTTAGAGGCTAGGGCTTGAAGTATGTAGGGTTCAAGGGTTTAGGGTTTAGGCGTTTAGGGTTAGGGACTGAGGGGTTTCGGATTCGAAATCTTCAGGCTTAAGCTTTCCACGTCCTTAGGGTTTAGGGTTTAGGGTTTAGGGTTTAGGGTTTAGGGTTAGGCTTGGGCGTGACTGTCTGCTTCTTAGCAGGGAGTGGGGGAATGGACTATGGAGACTACTATTGGTGATTATACAGGGGCTACTATGGGTATCCATTCCCCCATTCCCTACTGAGCACCAAACAGATTTTCGGAAACTCCCTGAAACCCTAAACCCTACAGATCCCTTATAGGAACCCTCAAAGGATCCCTTTAAAGGAACCGAAAGGTACCCCTAATTTTCGGCAACTCCCATGAAGGCCACTAGGGTTTTAGGGCCCAGAGCCTTGGGACTGCGGTGATTTCCAGAAGCTCTCAAGCCTGAGCCCTGGTATCATAGGGATCCTTAGGGGTGTAGGGGGGAGGGGTGTAGGGGACTATATTTCCTTAAATAGGCCTTATTAGTCCTTATTATGGGCCTTAAGGCCCCCTACCCCCCCCCCTCCCCCTACACCCCTAAGGATCCCTATGATGGTATCAAGGAAGAAGGGTTCCCTGTAAGGGGGGGCCTGTGCGGGATGTTGTGAGGGTTACTATGGTTACAACGGTACAGAGCTTGAATAATTAGACTAGGGTTTTGGGGTATATACTATAAGGAAACCGGCAAAATAGTATGTGTAGGACATTCTTAAGGCCACTATGTTAATGCAGACCCCTGGTTTTTAGGGTTTAGGGTTTACGGACCTCAGCTTTAGGATGCTGGCTGTATTCCCTTTTAGTTTGGGCGTGTTCGCTAATCAGGTGACTACATTAATTCGACCCTGAAGACGCAGAATGTTCTTAACATTCTAGAGCAATGCACCCGAGCATGACACAAAAACGACTACAACCCCAATAAGGACGCCTGTGAACCCATATTGGATGCTCAAACAACTTTGTAACATGCATGTAAACCATGCGGCAAGGTATTGAAACCCTGAACTGCCCTAAACCAACCTCACAGCCGACGCGCCTGGGCCATGCCAACTGCTTTCGTAGGTCAGCATCTTGACTCTTTACTAGCCAATGGGTAGACATGAGTAGGGCTACAACAGTGTCCTGGGTTAGGTTTCAAGGTTCAGGAGCACAGTTTGGAAACGTGCGGTAAACAAATCTGAAGAGTTTCAGAGACGTTTGGTTTGGTTTAAGGTGATAATACCTCCAAGTTACAGTACTTCGAACCCAAGCCCTAAACCTTAAGCCCTAAACCCTGAGCCCTAAACCCTAAACGGACACATGTTCCAGCTGGAGCAGGAACCTGGCCGGACTCAGCCTCTTCTGTTGAGGGGTGAAGCCTTGCGCTGAGGTCTATCTGAGTCAAAACGATCTTTTGCAGCTTCTGGAGGGTCTCCCAAAGGCTCCACGTACCCATATAGTAGGTACTTAGGCCTTAAAGTACCTATACAGGGACCCCCTTAAGGCCTAAGTACCTACTATATGGGTACATGGAGCCTTTGGGTTTTTGAAAGTCTTAACAGAGTTGCAGACCGGGGGCTTCATCAGAGTTTAGTTGGGGCAATACTCCCCAGATCCCTTGTTGATGGAGGCGGTCTATCACTCAGCGGCCTAGGTCCTGCAACGCCATGCAGCCTTACAAGACCCTATAAGAATCCGCTGAGATCTTTAAGACCCCCACCATTACAGGGTCCGGGACGGAGCCAAGAACAACACACATCCTGCCAGCTAGGGATGTTGGGGTGTACGGTTTAAAAACGTATGGTTTAGGTATCTTCTTGGGCTTAGGTCTTGATGCTGAAAGCCCTAAGGCAGCTATAAATAGAAATGCACAACCATATCCACGCTTTAGGGTCCAGGGGTTAGAATGTATAATCATAGGGACCCTTAGACGGCTAAGGGGGAGGAGGCTAGGGGACCATACTTCCTTAAACCAGCCTTATTAAAGGGTTTAGGGTTTAGGGTCCCCCAACCCTAAACCCTCAACCCTAAACCCTCCCCCACCCACCCCCTAAGGGTCCCTACTGCTGATGGACAAAATCCTGCATTACCCGTTATTAGGAATATACCATAGTTCCCATGGTTTAGGGTCCTTAAGGTCATGCAGGATTTTGTCCATCAACAGTATGATATAACCTGTCTACTTCTCCCTTTGGGGAGCCGTGAGGTCAATGAGGGGTTTGGGGCTGGCAGCGAACCCTATGGGTTTAGGGTTTTGGGTTTAGGGTTTATGTGGTTTAGGGGTTTTTAGGGTTTAGGTTTAGGGTTTAGGGAACCCTACATTAGAGCTTTGGGATGTTTTGGGTTTTTAAGGTTTTAGGGTTTCGGGTTCAGGGGCTTTTAGGGTTTTACCCAGATCTTCCAATCACACCCTTCTTGGAGTTTAGGGTTTTGGGCTTAGTGCTGGGATCCCCTCTAGTCTACCTTCAGGGTAGGAGGATGCTGATGCTCCGACTGTCAGGCGTCCACTTCATGCGGAGGAACAGGCCCCTATCAAAGAAGCCAATCCAAACCCACAAGAAACTGGATAAACATACCCCGGAGCTGTGTGTGGTGTAGAGAAGTGTCAGCCATATTGGACAATAATACAAGGAGATTTCGCCGCCATTCCTGAACCCTAAACCCTCAACCATTAAAATTAACATAAGTCAGATGCCACTTTTGTCTCTCTCCTCGCGCTGCAGACATGAGATCCTTCGACGACTCTGCAAAGCGCCCCCCGAAACTTGGAAGCTGTGGAAGGAATTAGGACATACTTTCTTGTCGCCTGTACGGCCTTATAACTCCGGACTTATTTGTCAAGTTCTCATGTCCAGTCTTGAAACCTGAAAATTAAGACCCAGAACTGGGACCTATAACCTGTATATATGTATATATACCCATATATATATATATATATACATATATATATATATATACGTATATATATATATATATATATATATATACAAATATACACATATACACATATTGTGTTGAATAATTAGCCCGTTGGGTTTCGAACTGTAACAAACATGAAGACAGCTTCGTTCGGAACTGAAGCATGGATGTAACGGTTTTGGCACTTTAAAGGCACAGGGATGTTCAGGGCTTTTAAGGTGTTTAAAGCTTTAGGGGCTCAGGGCTGAGGTTGACGGGCTGTTACTGGTTAAGTACAGGTTTTAGGGCTCAAACCCTACGTAAACCCTGAACCCTGAGACCTAAACCCTGACATCTAAACCCTAAACCCTAAAACCTAAACCTTAAAGGCTCGCAGACGTAACGGCGCTGCAGACATTCTTTACGGGCCGAAGTTCTCCAGCTTGGAGAGACCGGAGCCCCCGGCACCTCAGTATAAGCCCGTGTACCCTAAATCCTAAGCCCCTAAACCCGAAGCCCCTAAGCCCTAAACCCCTAAACCCCCTAAACAACACCTAAACCTCCTAAACCGTTTAGAAAAGTGTAAACGACCCGAAACCCTGAACCCTTTATCGCAAGAACACTATTCCTTAGGCTTCGCGAGTAAGTCTTGTGTCTCGTGTCTCCCATACCCCTAAACCATATCAACCCTTGATACACAACCCCGGAAAGCACACCCTAGGCCCTCATCCCTGACCCCTTAAACCATCCTAAACCCTTTTCTTCTGAGCCCCCAAACCCCTAAACCCTAAACCTTTTTCTTCTGAACCCCTTAACCCCTGAACTTAACCCTAAACCCCACCCCTACACCCTGAACCCTACACCCTGAACCCCAAACCCCAAACCCCTAAACCCTAACACCCCTAAACCCTTTTCTTCTGAACCCCTAGAGCCCCACGTGTTCAGATGAAGAGGGCGCTGAAGGCTCTGGGCTTCGGCCATGGCCGGGGAGCAACCCCGAGTCCCTTTCTGCTTTAGTCCAAGGGTAAAGGGAGGGACCCATAGGGCTGTGGAGTCTTAGCTTGAATTAAGGCGAGTGCTGTAGGGCTTATGGGGTCAAGGTCTTTGTGCTTCCTTTTCATGTTATATCAAAGGGGAAAAGGAGGGACCCTTAATAAGGACCCCTAGGCATATACCCTTAATATAGCTACTATATACCCATTATATAGCCCATTATAGGGTAGGCGTCCCCATGCTTTGAGTACCCAGAACCCCCAATACCCCTTAATTTAGAAATAAGGGGAAAGGGCTCTAGGGTTCCTTAAAGGGGTCCAGGAGGATATAGGGCTTTAGGGTTCCTTAAAGGGAGGTTCAGGGGTTTAGGGTTTAGCGGATAAGGTTTTAGGATTATGGGTTTATCTTGCAATTTAAGTTTAGTATACCCTCCTTAGAACCATAATAGAAATAGTATCTTTAATACAACCTGTTGGGTTTTATATGAACAAAAATAAGAAACTAATTCCTAAGGAGGCTATAGTTT